GGTTACCGCTCCCGCCACTATGATAGCTGCACAAGTACGTGTCTCTGTCGGAGCGTTGGCGATGTATGACAGACAATGAGCCGCGGAGGTTCTGCGGGCTCTTCGTGTGGGCCAGCAGCGAAGGCTATCCCAGCCGTATGGTCAGATATGCTCATTTCCCAAGTCGGACCATGAGGCCCTGCGCCGCGTGAGATCGATTCCTTCCATTCACGCAAATTGGCTCACCTAGGCAGCATGAGTCGCGTAGCTTCGTCCGCCGACGTGATGCCAGATGAAGATGGAGGTCCAAGAATTTGAAAGAATGCGCGACGCGTTCAGACGACGCGTCTCGATTGGCGGCGCCTGCTGTTCTCCTCAACACCCGACTCCCCGCATTTTCTAGCGATTCTGACTCAGGCTTTTGTCTTCGATCGGGATTGTCATCAAATATTCGAGTAAAGGGATTGCATTCGTGCGCGCCAACATATACAGGAGAAATCGAAGTACTTCTACTACAATACAGTCGATGCATTTTCTATTCACATTCGTTCTTCAGTGGGGCTGCCTTGGCCCTCTTCAGCTTCGTCTTCTTCTGCGCTCTCTTCCTCATTGCTACCGGCATCGTCATCATCGTCCTCGTCCTCTTCACTCTCGCTCTCGTTAAACGTCAAAGAGATAAACTCGTCACCGAGCTGAGCGTTCTCAGCGCTGAGAGCCGCCACGGGAGACTGAGGAGTATCAGAGCCGGAGACAGATGTTGCCGAAGAAGTTGTCGGTGTTGGAGCTGCCGGAGTAGAAGCAGTGACCGCGGTCTTGCGAACACGGTTAGCACGGATGACATGCGGGAGCTTGCAATGCTTGTTCTTGCACTCTCCACTCTCGGCAAAGTCAGGGCACTCCCGAACGTGTTGATGCTCGCAATCGAAGCCTTTCGCACAATAGCCAAGAACAGCGAAATCCCGACAGACACCCGAACGGGGAGGCAAATGGGCATGAGGGAACGGACACTGCGCCCTCGTACAGCGACCGTTGTTCGCAAAATGCACACACAACGGTGTACGTTCCGGTGTCGGATCATGAGAGAGAGCACAATTGTCGGCAGAGTTAGGACAAGTGCCCTGTAAAAATGGCCAGCAGATACCAATCGTAGCGGCGTCATGTTTGTAGGGGCACGTGAGCCCGCGATTGCATGAACCTATATCAGGGGGAAGAAGTGGAAGGCATATTGAGAATGGAAAACACGGTGACATGAGACGGCGCACCAGTCGTATTGAACCGCGGGCACGGCTTGTTAATCGACTTCTTTTGCCGCGGCCTATCCCGATTAGTCAGTAAACAAGACTGTCCAATATACGATGAAAAAACAGACTGGTAGGGCCGACGATTGTTATTAAGCGTCATATTTCCAGGTCGCCTCGAGGGCTTCGGCTTGAAAGGACGCTTCTTGTAGCCAGGTTGAGGAGGTCGAACTTGAGATGGTGGCTTCGTAACCGCAACTGCAAAATATTGGGCACTGCTGCCAGAATCGCGATCTGTCGTAGACGCACTCTCTTTTCGGACGAGAGATCGACCAGAACTTTCGAAGGCGACGCCATTGAGAGTGACGTCGCGAGGCTGCTGTGTGGTACCTGCAGCTGTGGGGTAACGTACGGGAGGCCTGCTGGTGTTGCGTGGCGGAAGGGCGTATCCAGGTCGGACATAGGAAGTCGAAGGCGGCTTGTAGTTCGGGTTGACATAGGCGTTTCCACGAGTCTTGAAGGTCGTTGTCGGTCGGGGTTGCTGATACGAATTGGTCTTCCGTTGGTTGATCGCACCTAGGTGATGTCATGATCGCGGAAATCTCTGGCGATGGCTCCCGCACGTACCTGTGAGTTTAGCTATCTCGAGCTTCAACGCTGCTTCTGAAGAGGAAGATGATGCCATGGTTATCGGCGGGGAGAAGATGGAGGGAGCGGGCAACGTTGGCTTCTACTTGGGCGCGGCGAGGCTGAGTTCTGACAAATCTGTTCTCACGACGCATCGTTCGCCACGTGTGCCTGTTGATGCATGCATGGATGCCTCATGGATACTGCCTCGTTGAGTCTGTGGTCAGGGGACTCAGGGCATGTCGATATAGTGTTGGTGTATAGTGTTACTCTACAGTATACAGCACATCATAGTACAAAGAAACAGTTGGTGCCCAGACAGGATTGAGTTTCAAGTCAAGATAATGCGCCTCTCTCAAGCGCTAGTCAACGCGTGAATATCCTCGAGCGCGTCGAGTACTGTACTCGCGCTCCATGCCTGACTCGCACAGCTATCATGGCAGTATGCGCCGTTCTCGTTCGTCAACTCAGGAATGCCCGCCCACGGGTCACGGCGGACGTGGGCCCGCGCAGGCAGAAGAGTCGTCTGGATATGGTGCAGCGTCTCGCCGATATCCTTTTGCCCTGCTCCGGCCTTGATGTCGAAGATGAGGTACGCGCGCAGGAAGTAGCCAAGCGGCCATCCCCACTCCGGTCCCTGGTGGTAGTTGCGGCCCTTCGCCGTCGCGGGATCGTCGCTATCGTTCGAGTTGTCGTAGTTCGGACGATACTGCATGTCCGCAGGGTCGAGCGTCTTCATGCCTAATGGCGAGCGCAGGACCTTGTCTGCCAGCTGCAGCGCCCCTATGGCGCGCTCGGGCGTGAACAGCTCGGGGGCAACTGTCATGGCAATCGGGAAGTTGGCGCGCAGCTGGTAGTCTGACCATTCGCGACCAGCGCCTGAGCCGTAGACATCCTTGTAGATTCCGCGGCGATTCACAAGTTTCGAGTCGAGGAAGAAATCCTTGTCCTCGACAGGGTCTGGGTGATGATGTTAGCGAGGAAGAGGTAACTTCGAGAAGACCACGGCACGAACCGAGGGGAATGTAGTATGCCTTCTCGAACGACTTTTGGATGAGGTCGCTCCACTCCTTGTAGGTGACAAGGCGACGTTCACCACCGACTACACGCTTGTCAGCTCTCATTCTTGCAGGTCGTGGGCGAGGTACTCACTGGTTGCATCCACACCCTTGAACGGGAACTGACCCTTACTCGACAACTCATCGAGCCAGCGCAGGGTACTCTTGAGCAGACCAGTGATCTCAACCGGCGCGCCATCACGCGGAGTCCCGGGCAACCCCTTCGTACCCGCCTTCTCACTCTCGCCCATCTTATCCATCCACGTTCCGCAGTTGAATGCGTTTCCGCCGCTCACCAGACCCGTTTCCCAGTCAACTTCAATGTCGATGTTGAAGCCCTCGTCACGCATCTGGCCATCAATGGCCGGACCGGCATTGTGCTCCCGGAAGTGGATGCCCTCAGCATGGCGCTGAAGGACCTCCTGTACGATCTCAGCGAGCGTGCTGCTCTCGGCATACGCGCGCTCATCGTCCCACGCGACCCACGAATCATCCTTCGGGAATCGGCGCGGAACGACCTCGTCAAGAACCTTAACGCCCTCGGGCGCTTTGCTGACGTAGTCCTGAATGTTCTGTAACATCCACCACGGGCTATCGCGAGAGTTGTACCGCGGGTTGCGCAAGCTATCGAGCAGGTTGGGGATCAGACCGTGCTTGAGCACGCTCGCGAACGCGAGGATGTGCCTCTTCGCGCCCTCGAAGTTGCCAGTCGTGAGGAATAGACCGCGTAGGGAGATGAAGACATCACGACCCCAGCAGCGCGCCCATCCGGCACTAAAGTGTGGGAGTCCGGCCGCGAGCGACGGTGTATGCTTCGCCGGGTCAGGGTCGAGAGACGCGGAGTGAACGCGGCCGTGCATCTGTACCTGCACGAGAGCAAGGTCCTGCGTAAAGCCATGACCGGACGAGACGAAGTCCGAACACTGTTCAATCGCTGCACGACGCGCAACCTTGTAGGCCTCGGTGAGCACTATAGCGAAGTAGCGCGGGCGGAGGAATGGCGGCACAGTGGCCTTAATGCGCTCGAAGCGCTCCTGGAACCACTGAGCCGGTTCGGCGAGACGAGGGAATTCATGAACTTGAGCAGCGAGACGCATGTGGGCGTACTCGAGCGCCCAAGCACCGTTGCGAAGATGACCACATAGAGGATGACCGAGGTCGTTCTCGCGCGTGATATGGCGGAGCGGATGCATCCATCCCTCCAGGCCGCAGTACGTGAGCTTGCCGAGGCCGGGCACGTCGTATGCGCCAATCTTGCCGTCCGTGGCATCACGCTCCTCACCCTCAGCGCGGTACAATACAACGTTGAGGTCGACGAGATCGAGGTTCTTAAACGCACTCTCGGCGCCCGAAGTGCAGAAGGAGTCGAGGGACGCGTCGATGCCCTGTAGCTGCGTCTCGAAGAGCATGATCGCGCCCGGTGGGAAGTAGCCCGGGACAACGATGTCGGAGTAAGAGCCCTCCTCATCGCTGCCTTGCTTGGCTTGGACGGCGTCGAGTGGTTTGAGCTTGTAAGGCAGACCAGTCAGCGTGTCCGGCTTTTCTTCTCCTTGTCCGGCAGACTCAAGAGAGACAGCGTAGATGAATTCGGCCTTGGTACCGCGCAGGCGGATGGGCTCAACTACGAATACATCAGCTTCGATCCATCAATGCAAGCGCGTTGAACTCACTGAAGCCACGGTCCTTGTTACCGCGCGACCCAGCAAACGCCGTGTGAGCGACGAGAAGGTAACCCTTCTGCGTGCTGGGCTGAACGCGGTGCATAACGATGTAGTCGTTCTCCTGATGCACATGTCCCTCCCTATAGTCGCCAAGTACCATCTCCCGATGAAGACTGTTCAACAGCCTCTTCGCCGTTGCGATACCAGCGTTCGCTCCACTCTCGCCAAGCCCCGCAACCTCGTACTGACGCTTCTCCGTGACAAGCTCGAGCAGACGGGGGTAGATCTCGTCGAAACCCTTGACTGAGCCGTTTGCGCAGTAGCTGAACGCAACAATAGCAGCACTGGAGAGCGTGTGTTCCGCGCTGATCTTGCTGGCTGTCGATTCGTTGTCGTGTGTCTGATCGTACAGGAGCGCGTGCGGCAGTGCACCGCGGAGCGGGGTGATGATACACGGGCGGATAGGACCCTTGCCGCTAGTAGTCGGGCTAGCGACAAAGGAAGCCGAGGAGAGGCAGGCCTCGTCCATGCTACCGATGGGCTTGCCAAGACCGTCGCGCCACACAATACGACTGAACTCCTTCGGGTCGCCAGCATTGCCCGCCTCACGCACCAGCGAGTTAATGCCAAGGCGACTGACGAAGATCGTATCCGTCTCTTCACTGCCCGTGAAGAGCTCCGCAACGATATACAGGTCAGGATTCACTTCACGCGCTCGGTCGAGGAGGTATGTGCCGACGTGCAGCGGTGTGCTGTGGCAGTTGTCGAGGCGGAAGCCTGCGAAACCACGAGCGAGCGTCGTCACGTACTGGGCCATGTGGTCCCACAGGAAGGGCGAGTCCTCGCGCTTAGCGCCGTAGTTGAGCTTGACACAGTCGCCCCATGCGATAACCGAGCGTTGGAAGTACGCCTTCGAAGGCAGCTGGGCGAAGTTTGCGAGTGGGTTCGCGTTCCACATCCAGCCGTTGACTGCAAGCGAGTACTTGAGTGGCTCTTTTTCAACGCCTGGAATGCGAGCGAAGTACGACTCCATGAGAGGCAGTCTAAGCAGAAGTCAGCATCATACGCCCACAGAATGATGCGAGCATTGACGTACTCCTTCGTGATAGGACCGAGCTTGGGACCATGATCATCGAGGCGGCCATAGCGGAGGCGACCCTTGATGTTGTCGAAGGCGATGCGCATGTCTTCCTCCCACTCCTGATAAAGCGGGACGTTCAACACATCCACAATCTGACCCCAGACGTGTGCGAGGCTCGCGGAATCCCCTTGCGGACGCATAGCGCGGACAACACCCGCAGCAACAGCCGCATCGACATGCACACCGAAGCGCTTCGCGTACTTTCCGAGGCCCTGAACAAGCGCACCGTCCTGGTAGCTGCGCAGGACCTTCGCGACATCGACGGAGCTCGCATCTTGGATAGCAGGGCCGCTCCAGGGCGTAACGTTCGCAGCGTCAAGAGCGGCTTTGACGCCCTCCTTCTCGGCTTTCGCGTCCAGAACATAGTACTGCCAGAAATTAAACTGGTTGCAGTAGTCGCGGAAGGCCGAGGTCAGCCTATCGACGTCGGCAGCAGACTTGACCTCAGTGGGCAAGCCGAGCTCCGCGAGTGAGCCGGAGAAGTTGACCATCGCATCGTCGAGCTCGAGTGCTGGCGTCAAGTGTGGAGTATTCGCAGGGCTGAAACCTAGATATCACGGTGTGAGAACGTGGATGTAGCGCAGCCAATATGGGGCTTACCGGCCTCAGGATGCTGCTCGAGCCAAGGGCTGTTGTTCGCCGTATGGTTGAGGACCACATCAGTAAGACTGAGTAGGCCGTACTCCTCAGCAGCGAGCGTGAGGATCTTCTCCATCTTCGCGATACCGCCATCGGACTTGTAGTCCTCGTCCTCATCAAACATAGTGACGTCGTACGCAAGCTGGTCGGCAATCGAGTAAGGCGAGTTACTCTCGCCGCGCTGCTGAAGCGGCGTCCAGTGAATCATGTTGTAGCCACGGTCGCGGGCTTCTTCGAAGAACTTGGGCCACTTGCTGACGGGGCCCATCCACTTCGAGACGATAGAGAGCATGCTGACGCCTGAGAGCGGGAGATTGACATAGCCGTCCTTGATCACTGCACCACCGTCGCCGGGGGATAACAGAGTGAGGTCCTTCGACAAGATAGGCGCACGGGCCCTTGAGCGCAGAATGGGGTCGATGTTGAAGTAACCCTGGCGGCCTGTAACGCGCGTCCCAGATGGACCGTCGTACTCAACCCAGTACGCGAATGCACCGGCATGGGAGATAGGCAAATCGATCTCGATAGGCTTGGCCACGTTCGTCGGAAGCCTATCATCTCGCTTTCAGAGACACATTCGCCGCATCTGGCAAGGGAATTGCTCACTTGCGCTCGGAGAAGCGGTTACGATCAAACGCGCCGCCGTCGAGCGGAAAGTTGGTCTTGAAGACACCATTGCGAGAAGCGGGTGTACCGCTATCGATGGATACGCGAAGAATGTAAGGAACAACTGCAGGCGGAAGACGGATGTACTGCGACCGTGATGTGAGCGGGCAAGTGCGGTCATCGTGCGGCGGAGGTGACCGACCTCTCTGTCCTTGCTAGGACCGCCGTCGGGCTCGAGTGGGAGTTCCCAGACTCTGACAGCCTCTTCGCCGGGCTTCAACTCGCTCTCGAAGAACGAGATGCCCTCATCGGCGGGCGTACGCCGACCGGTGGTGGGCGAGCTGGTCGCCGATGTAGACGGCTGACCAGGGATAGCAATCGACCCCGGCCCACGATTGCTCTTTTGGCTGGGCATTTGCGGAGGGTCGTGGGTGGGGAAAGAGAGGGAGGGTGTGGAGATGAACTTTCGAATTCGGATGTCAGGATATTATAGTACGGTCGAACGCTCTATACGGCTCATGATGCATGACGTCGGGCAGACGCGTCGCTACCGCCGCCGCGTCGAGACTCGAGAACGCGTCGCGCCTCATGTTTGCGGTGTGCCTCAAAATCAACCTCCGGTCGCTCTCACGCGTGATCGATATGATCCTCCAACGGAACACAGAAAAATTCGAGCGGACGAGGGAAATCGTGTATTCGTGCGGCGCTCGTAAGGTACACTACATTTACAACTTCGTAAATAGACGCCCACGAGAACATCCCACTCCACAGGCCTATGAAGAGCGAGAACCTGGATGACATGGTCAGCGTTTGAACGAAGGAAGAATGGGAGTAAGAGTGGAAGATTCAGTCAAGCGAACGCGACCGCCAAAGCGGCCGGCTCGAAGGTAGCTGAGATGATTTTCTGCAACGCAGGGGGCGCCCCTACTAAAGCCAAATGCCTCAAACATCATAGAGAAATAGAGAATGTAGGTACTCGAACCACAGAAAGCGTACTCACGTTGCAACTCGGGCGAGGAGGCGATGGAGGCAGGAGAAGAAAATTCGTCGGCGAGTTTATCCTGAGTTCGGCGAATGCCGTTGATGGTTGATGGTTTCACACCCCTAACGCGCGCCTCCCGCGTCGCGTCGAGCCACGCCAAACGAGACCACGACGACCATGGCCACCCCAAACGCATCTCAGCCCTCTGCATCGACGCCCGCTGCATCTTCGTCTTATGCGGCATACCCAATTGCTGCTGCGGGGCAAGGACCCCAGGCCAGCAGCTCTCAAGCGGGACCGTCAGCACAAGAGCGTGCAACGCGTGAGGCTGCTCGCAAGGACAAGAGCCTGGCCGAGTTCATGCTCATGCTTGACGATTATGAGCCCCTTGTCAGTGCTAGCTTTCAGTCAGTTGGAATTCTGGGACTCATGAAAGACTCAGATCCCAGATGAAGTGACAGATTACTACCTTCAGCGGGTTGGCTTCGATTGCCAGGATCCTCGCCTGTACGGTTATTTCTCGGATGTGGGGGATAGCAACTCCTGAAATGCTCCAGGAAACGCCTTCTGGCTCTTGCGGCGCAGAAGTTTGTGTCAGACATCTCCGCAGATGCATACCAACACGCCCGCATCCGGATGAATGCGCAAGGCGGACGGACTCGCGGCAACGCCGGTGCAAGGGTACGTTAGACTTCCTATTTTTTACATCATCTCTAAATGATATTATAGGATAAGACTCGTACAACGCTCACCATGGACGACCTCTCGTCAGCTTTGGGTGAATACGGCATTAATGCCCGCAAACCTGAGTTCTTCATGTGAATCCCCGTAAAGGATCACGAGTATAGTAGCTTCCGCTCCCGGATAGCACAGACTGTTCATTTATTCCATTTCCCAGAGTTGGGAGCTGTGATATGCGACTCTTCTCATGTATGATTCCTGGCATGCTACTGCATTTCCCTCCATTATCAGTACATGTTATCGAATTGAGTCACATACGGCCACGGCCTTCTGAATCTTGTACCTCCAAGATTTGGCGCAGAAGAGGATTTCTTCCCTACCTGAGCAGTTGTCCGATAACGGGACTTGTTACACAGCCACGCACGAGGTCAAGAGGCGCGCGAATAGTCCTCGGCGCCTCATCTGTTGCTTCCCTACACCCATCTTACTTGGAACAAGCAACGCTCACCGTCGAGATCTTCGGGGTCGACGCACTTCGTGCGCACATTGTTTGCGAGCTCATCATCGTCACTAACCACACAATTCCGTCTCAGATATACTAGATCGAACCATCTGGCGCTCCATAGGACAACATGTTCCCTATCACTTTCAACGCCATCGGCGACATTCTCGCCCTCGCTCAGATCGTATACGACATCGTGCAAGCGCTGAACGACTCCGTGCACGGCGCTGCAGCTGAGTGCCAGCGCTTCGCACACGAACTGAAGCTTCTAGGCGCCGTTATCGTGATTGCCCACCGTGCTGCCAACACTTCTCCAGATGATGTTCTCAAGGAGGCCCTACTGACGGAGGTGCGCCTCTGTTACGCTGAGATTGTCGAAGCAGGCAAACTTCTGCCTGGGTTTGATACTCTCTTGCGGACCAGCACCGGTGCCACCGTCTGGGATCGAGCGCGAGCCGTGGCAAAGAAATTGAAATGGCACTTCATGAAAGCCTCCGATGCCGCAACCTTTACGGATCGATTTCATGCTGTTCATCTGCGACTGAACGTTCTCGTCGGCTCTCTGAACCAGTGGGTCGCCCAGTCCTAGATTCTTTAGACCCTGGCACTGATCGATTCGTCTGCGAAAGGGGAGTCGTCACGGATGGGTTCGCTCATCTCTCTCTGAAGTTTGAGGAGACATCGGATGTTTCCAGGAGGCATCATCTACTCACGCATCGGGAGATCGCGTACGTGCTTGCATTCAGACGAACGAGGCTGCTCGTGTTCTCATGTGACACAGGCAATCTACCTCACGCCTGTCTGAAGAATTACGAGCTTCCTACACGTCACTTCTGTTTGTATTCTGTTCGTTGATCACCTCAACTACGGACAACTTACGCAACATCATGTTAGAGACGCCATTCGGGAGTCGCAAACCTCCGCGCGTAGTGGTGAAACCAGTTGCGCATAACTTATTCGTGACCCGCGCTCCGAACCTTCAAACTGACGACCTATTCTCCAGTGTGCCCAACTGATATTGATCGCGCAGCAAGTAGCGCGCTTCGACCTGGGAGTGACTCTCAAAACCGTGGGAGGACAATCCTGCAGGTTCCTGAGAGTGAGTCGTGTCGCCGTAGACGCAATTGCTCGTACTAACAGATCCGTCCGCTTCAGATGAGAGGATGGATTACGCCTTGCACTGGCAGCTTCTCCCGAAACACCAGGCCAAATTTACGTCTAAAAAGCCGCGTATGCACTTCGACATCCGATTTCCCGCGGAATACGCGAGTCACGTTCCTGACGGGAAGGGTCATACCCCCATCTCTCGAATATATTTCGAGAAGCCTGCCACCATGAAGAACCTGTCGTGCATGACCTTCACCAATTGCAATCTGCCCATGTTTGACATCGAAGTGCATCGACATGAAGGCGTACGGGTGTGCGACGTCTTAGAACGCGTTTACGAGCACTATCAATTGGTGCTCACGCGTGCCGAGAAAAGAGCTCATCCCGAGCGAGTAGAGCGCGCACAATGGTACTACGAGGACCGCGTTCGCACGGAGCTCCGGTTGGATCCGGCGTATGTCGATCCAGGCATGCGTCGCATTGACTTGATGGAAGGGAATGTCGTCTTCATGGGTTGCCAGTGGCGCCACCCTTGCGGCGAATATTCAAAGGGCGCGTGGACCTTGATGTTCTTACCACCACCAAGGCCAGCGACCTCCGATGCCCCCGCTTACGCGTCAGTTGCAACGCGACGTTCACATTGTCCCTCGATAGACGCAGTTGCACGGTACTGCAGAGACTATCAGCAGATTATTCCTCACCATCATTCTGTGATATCTCCGAATGGCAACCATTTTCCACGTTCGCAGGGCGGCTCATCTAGGAATGGCTATTATGAGTAACCTTGCAACCTTTCTTATACCACGACGCAGGTGAGTAACGACACGTCGTCTCTCCGGGCGCAATTGCTGATGATCTCGAGGAAAGGTCAACTTGATATCGCGCATCTTATCCAATGATACCCTCCCTGTGATCATGAACCTTCACGCAATCGCGCACTATGGAGCTCGGAGTTTGAGGCTTGATATTCAAAATGTTATCGGTCTACCTCACTCATGCGAACATAGCGTTCTGGAGAGCACAAAATGTGGAGGCGCGGCACGGCGCATCACCTGAGTGCAGTCTCCAATGTGGAGAACATGATCGGATTCTATGAGCGCGATAATGCATGATATACAGTGCGAGGGCCAAGGGACAGACTAGCCAGGTCAATGGTATCCGAAGATAAAGTACAGTACAATGAAAACGGATGGGACGTTCAATTGAAGTAGCCATAAGATGAAATGCGGACATGCTTGAATGATCCGATGTGTTGGGGACAGCGTGCAAGAGTTGGGTGCAGTGGTGTCCACTCCGCGAACCTTAGGACATCAGTCTTTCACCCCATACGAAGCGATAACTGTGAGCACGGTATAAGCCCTGTAACCCCCGAGCCAGAAGATAAATGGTGGTGGCCATAAACATGGTGAAGAGCACGCGGTATAAAGTCTTCCATCGCCAGGAAACAGGCGCCCGAGGGGTGAAGACGATGATTCGCCACCGTTCATGCCAGTCCATGTTTAACCATTCGAGATCGTGTACGAGTTGTTTTGCCTAGACAATTGCGTAGCAGATTAGCCGGACATAACATCAAGACGGATATGATGACTGACCTTCACTCGTCCCGAGTCGTAAACTCTGCGCACCTGCGCAACTTGGTCCCGTATGAGAGGTAGTCGTCGCTCCAGGTCATCGAGGACAGCCAAACTCTCATCGAGCTCGCGGTGGATGTATGGTACGTGAGTCTGCAGTGCTCCGTTCTTGGCACGCTCGGAGCTCCTCTGAGAACGCCTTTGTCAGTAACGGTGTCAGAGGTCCTGTACAAGATAGACACACCTTTATGGCAACGAACGCTTCACGCAATAAGCCATCAATAGCTCTGCAATTACTCAAATCCTCTGAGAGTTTATCCTGCCGTATGGTCAGCGCCAGCCATCAACCGCAAGCTTCCGTACACACCTCCAGTGTCTTGATTTGACCCTCGTACATCGCAGCCTGCTTGCTTGAACTCGCTAGAGCAGAGTCAAAGCTGAGATGGATAATGCAGTGGTACGACAGTAATAATCAGTAAGCCGACGGCTGTCCGAAAGAGCTTCCGTGCGGACGTACCTGAGCATGGTGGTCCCCGACGCAACCGGCGCTCGGAATGAACTTGATGACGTCGCCGGAGGCGGAGATAGGTGCGGGGAAGCGAACGAGCTCATCGTCGGGAATAATATACAGAGCTAAGGGGCGCAAAGAAAGAGGAGTGAGCGACAGCTACGGACTCGGTGATTTATACATGGGCGGAGAGGTCAAGCAGCGCCTCGTGCCAGGTCGCTTTACGTTTCAGGACGATCCTTCCCCCTTCTCACCAGCTCCAGTCCTGCTCTCCATCAGCCCGTTTCAGCTGTGTACAGAGCTCGTGATAGTGGTTGGAGATGGCAGTCGGTTACCTACACAGCTTCGAAGAGTTCGAAGGCCGTGTAGGGAGCTTGTGATGTGCTTGATTGAGCGCGCGTCGTTGCGAGCAATTGCGCTTTGGCCGACGGGCCCGTCGACGATCGTCTTTCCAGAATCCTCGATCAGAGCACCTACAGATCTCCTCGTGCTAGCTTTGGCAAGCTTGACTACGTACCGGCCCGCGGCCGTCAGGCAGCGTGCTGGCCAGGAGGCAGTCAGGAGCACAGTACAGACATCTACGACGAGAGTGGCAGCTAGTGCCCCTATCTAAACAAGGTCGGTCTAATGATCCCTGTGTGGCGGGATGCCAGCGGACATCAATGCATCTATCCAAGTTGATCGCAAGGACTACTACCAAAGATACATCTATTTACGCAGCGTCGCGACAGCGCCTGAGTACTCCCAGAAGCTCGTCCTCAACATCCGTCAGACTTGTCTCTTTCCGGGACACCTCCATGAAAACCGCTGCATCCAGCTCGCGCCGCGCCGCATGCCAATGTTGTGGGCCTTGAGTACGCGAGAAGACTTCCAGGATGTCCGCGTTGCTTTGGGCGGGTCTCAGCGGGTGTTTGAAGTACAGCCGGAGGATGTACTGACCTTACAAGCTCCTGTGCGGCGAACAGGTGCTCTGACCGCGAGACGAACTCCGTACTTGCGAGGACGCGTCCCTGCCCCTTCGTGAAGGCGAACTTGTCTTTGGGTTGCAGTATCTTCGTCGCCGAATATAAGGGCGTCTGTGGGCTGAAAAGATGTACAGTCAACCATAGCCCCACTTATAAAGAGCAAACGTACCTTGCCCCGTTGTCCTCGTCAAGAGCTTTCTTCGCTTGCCGTATGAGATTCGATGAAAGTGCTGACAAGCGCGTCATCTCTTCCTCAGGTATAAGTGACTCTGGATCCGCCAGCAAGCCCAGTGCGAGGCCTTCGTACTATGATGACTTCTTGAGTAAAACGATTTGTCGAGCTGTCCCAGACCACTCACAGTACGGTACAGCAAATGACGAGAAGACGTATTCTCCGCCCTGTCGGGTTCGGCTATGTGCACATGCAGTCGTAGAAGGGGTGATGGCGGGGGAGACTCGGGCGGAAGCTCTATGGGCTCGGAGGTTGAAGGGCTGGTGTCTGGCGATAGTGGACTGGCGCCCGTGTCGGCAGCCTCCAGATCCACAGGTGGTGGACCGGGATAGGAAGACGAGGTAGTCTCGTCATGAGAGCTCTCAACGGCATGAAGATCAGGCCCATTGGACATGGGTGATCTATCACGCTCCGATCCTACGTCCGGGGGTGTGTGTTCCTGAGCTTCCGAACCTAAAGAGCCCATGGCGTCGACGAGGCTCTCGCGGTCCACTTGGGCCTCTGGCAGAACAAGAGCCTCCGCATCATCAGCCCCTGTCCGGCCTCCCTCGTCCACGGTCTCTGGTCCAGCGCTTGCGTCGCCAGGTGCAGTGCCTTCCACCTGAGCGGATGGCGCCTTCCCAGCCTCCACACTCGTACTTGTCTCAGCAGATACGTTTGCGGTATATGGGTCGCCGATCTTGGCTGCCGAGGACTTCCCGAATGTGAGATAGCCCCAGTTCCAGCGCCGCACGTCCATCGCATTGCCTACAGCCACAAACGCGTTCCCAGTTGCATTGAACGCTTCCCGCGTACCCTCAACAATCACGTCGGCTGCACCTGACGTAACAACATTCTCCTCCTTCGCTTTCGACTCCTGCTCTGCGCTTACAGCGTCCGGTGCAGGCGGATCGGCCTGAGGTGGAGGTGGGGGTGGAGGTATGCGTTTACGGAGATGAAGTGGAAGCACGGGAGGTAGACGAGATGTTGTGTAGGATGTTGACGGTATGATGTACGGTGGTGCTAGAAGGAATAGCGCGGCCGTCTCCGGTAATAAAGACTGCTCGAGGAAGTCATCTAGTAGAGGCACGATGGCCTTGATTGACGGATGTGTCGGAGTCCCGAGGTACGAACCGAATTCGACGTCCTGTTCGATATCCCAATTCCACGCCCATGGCGTAAAGAAACGTTCGAGTTGAAGTTCAAGAGCTTGCTGACCGTGATCGCGGAGGACGGACGTGAAAGATCCGTGTGTAAGCTGCAAGAAACGGTTAGCACCAGGACACGGAACGTAGCGAACGATCGTTGCATGTGCTCTCCTCCACGTAAAGCGGCCACATGTGAGAAGTGTACTAACCTGAAATGTCTGGTGTGCACGTAGCAAGTGAGCACGAAGAGCTGCATCGCTCGTAGCGCCGTCGTGGTAGTCGAAGGCAGACTCAGGTGCAGGTTTCGGATCCTTGACCTTGGCCTTGCCTTTGCCCCTCTCCTTGCCTTTGACTGATGGCCCCGAGCGCGGGGTCTTAGATAGTTCTAGACACTGTATTCTAGCCAATAAGATTAGAGAAACCGCACAAATGATCGATAACGTACCGCATGCATCCAGAACCCAGGTTCGGGGGATACCATGATCATGCGCCTGCTCTGAGAGTGAACGTCCTCGCACTCCTCTTCCGCGAACATGCTTCAAAGCGGTCAAACTTCTCTTCAGAAATTATGATATGATATGGTGCTAACTCAGAGAAGTTGATTAGCGCTTTAGCCAACCCGACCTGGCGCAGGATGCGGTCGCGTGAAACCGCGTGCTCGCGCGCGGTGTAGAACAAGATCTGCGCCTGTTCTTCAGCATCTTCGTCGTCATCACTAGGCGGGGCGCTTGGTCTAAGTGCGGGGTTGTATATTGTGAGATACAAGAGCGCAGGCGGCTGACGGCTCATTGCCGCAAGGCATGAGTGTTGGGACCAAATGCAACCGGGCTTTGGGAAACGGCATGATGGCCTGTGGGAACGGATCACGGAATACGCCGCTTGTTGATAAACGTCTCTGACAACCTTCTGGTGCGAACGTCTATCATTGTCCTCAACTTGACTGGGGTCGTAAATCCACCTCAACTGTCTCATGGTACTCGTACTCTTGACGTGGCAGGGGATGGCGCCCTTTGTGTAGTTCTCCGCCTTGGGTCACCAGACGTACTACACGAATTAGTGTGTATCAGTCCTCTCGGTCAAGTTCCCGCTACAACGAGGGGTTCCGCACGCGCTCAAGAATACGTCTCGCGGAACTATGTCATACTGTGCGGCCAGTACAGCATAGTACTTTGGCATGTCGGTTGATACCCGGTAATCTGTTTCAAAACACTACATACCTCAGTCGGGGCTCTCAGGCAGATCCGATACACATACATGCTCAGCGCTCATAGCCAACCCCCGAGATCATCGCCGACTCGTACGCAGTGATGAGGCCTAAAATGCGCTAATTCCTCATGCTCAGGGGCTCCCGGGTCCGACCATCGCGGCCACGCAGCATACACGCGCAAGATGGTGGCTCTGGCAAGCGAGGCGTTCCGCCGGTCTCCCGTCAAGATCCGCAACCCTTTCTCGTCCAATAGCGTCTTTCATAAGCGACGTGAGGATTTTGGTTTTCGTATCATCATTAAACTCATCTAGTGTAACCAAGGTGGCCAAGATAGCACCAATGAACGTCTGCGAAAACACTCGTGCTCACTCAACATGCGTTGAAAACTAGCGCGTGTCCGTGGTTATCGTATACCGAGCTTCCGAAATGACTCAATGTACTTACCGAACTCCGGCCGCACTTGGAGTAATGGCATGACCCGTCCAGGCGATACGAAAACAATGCCCAGCAATACCACATCACGTACACTTATGTCTCCTGGGCGCGTTCCGATCCTCCAGCGCCCATTCGACCAGTGCAGACGACCAGGATCTTGTGCCTCACATTGCTATATGGCCGAACTATCAGCCTGGTGATCTCACTCGAGCAGGTTCAGAACCTACACCCATGGCGTTCCTCACGGCACCAGCTATCAAGAAAGCCAGACGCTGAAGGCTTACGCAGACCTTCGGCTGATTTGGAGTCGGTTGAGTGCGCAACTGTATTTGTTTTTCGACAGGTTTGTAGTTGAGCCACTATAACCAGATGTGCGGTCAGTGTTAGTACCTTCGTCAGTTTATTAATTGTGACCAACGTGGAGCGCAACCTTCAGGGACGACGCCTCAATGCGCGTTGGTCTGTCAGGAAGACAGTCAAAGCTACTCTCAGCGATTGGCACTCCGAGTTCGGAATTCTTTTGCCAGAACCACAGTGGTAACATATCGGTCCTGTCTAGCTCTGAGTTTAGGCGGGTCAACTGGGTGGCGTACGGAACAACAATGGTAGCCGGGATGATGCGTGTAGGATCGGGCACCCGCACGTCTAATATGCACCAGCGAGTGCGAGCAGCATCAGCGGTCTCGATGATGTCGCTGTAGTGAATGCCGGCATCCTCGTGTGCTGCGAACGCGATGGCGCCGGGAGGGATTCCCTGAGGAAGATTTCCCCGGCTGTCTGGCTGGCAATAGGACCGCAGAATCACCTCGTGGATGGGAGTACGGTGAACCGTGCGTTTTGCTGTTGTCTTTTCGGCCATCGGTACGACCAAGCGTATGGCGCGATCGCCAGCGACCTGTGGCCCGAAGGTGACGTTGATCACAGTGTCGCCCTTATGCTCGCACGCGATGACCATGAAAGCAGGTCCCTGGCTCGACATATTCTAGAAACAGATGGTGTGGTGCGAATACCCTCTCTCTTTCTCACTCGCGTCCTTAAGTATGCCTGTATCCACTGACAGCTACTCCAAACTGCGTCCATCCGAGTACAGCCAGTACAATACGTCGCTATAGCTGGAGGAAAGTGGATGGATGAGGCGGAGCGACGAAAACTGGAGGAGAGTATGGAGGAAGCACAGCTATTTACTGTATTCCCGGACAGGTGCGCAAATGTTCCGGCTCGGGACCTACATACCGAGCTGCTTTCGGTCGAATGGATCGGTCGTTATCTATGATCATTTGTGAGGATCATTGCCGTGCAGCTGTAGTCCTGGAATAATATGACGGTGTCTCGAAGACTGCGAACGTGAGGCTTGCTGACGGCGGCGCTAGAAAGACCCATCTCATGTTGCCAAGCGCTGCGATATGTTCACCCTTCAGAGTCGTTGCAGTTGCAATACTCCTCGTAGTAAGACGTGGGTGATATGACCATGATCTAGATTCAACAACCATCGGCACGAACAACTATGGGAGGCCGACTCAAGACTTTTATCTTCCCGGCAATCTGAAGCGTTCAAGCTTTGCTCCGTCTCAAGGTGCGTGTCTAACTCTGTGCGAGTCGAGATCAGAATGAACTACTGGTATCACATAACGAATGAATCATCGAGCCGGCATAAACGGCAGACAGCACATAAACACTTGGAACGACATGAAGCGGCCCACTGACGTTTGGAGCCTAGTGGCAGTTCACAGAATGGCAAACCCGCCCCGAGGACGTGCGAGCTGGAGGACTACCTGGAACGCGCCAGGGGAGACGTGCACGACACCGACGATAAGGAGTTCGTCCAGCCTAATCCCCCCTTCTCCGATTCTCCACGGAGCAGAGAAGGGCGAGTCATAACTCCCCGAGATGGGCGGGGTACCCGTCAACTCCCGCTGTGGGCGAGGATCAGACACACTAGCTTGTAGCCGAAGGTGGAATGGCATGCCTCGAAAAGAAGCTGAACGCTGCGCCCCACGTGCTTCACGAGTCGAGCTAGCGTAATAGGACTCCTCTGTTGAGTTTGGTCTCGCGTTTGTATCTGCCGCTTGAATTCCGGTATGCCCGGCCACTACGCACATCGGCACGCTGATAGGTACCGTCACAACCCAACAAGCAGCAAAGTGACGCACATTGATGCAGATATACGTTGAAGACTTGCCCCCTAGACGGGCGGGTTCCGTTACGCCGCGTAGATGAACACGCCCACTGAGCGCATCTGCTACCGACAGTCCAGGTGCACCATTGTCCTCTCGCTGAAAGAAGATGGGAAGCTCTAGGCGAGCACCAGTTAGTCGTGTGCGCCCGCCCGGGAAGCGCGGCGCTGCCAGCCGTTGTGGAATAACAGGGCCCCGACTAGTACCATCGCCCGAGTAGTAGGCCACGTTCATGTCCAGAAGAGCTATACTCGCGGCACATGAGAGACACGTAGGAGAATCTGGGGGGGCAAGTCCGCGAATGTCTCGTATGAAGAGTGTTTGTGGAGACTGGATGCATGTGTCGTAGCACAGCACCGCGTTTAAACAGAGAGTGATCGTAGGATCATCGGTCTTCAATAATGTTGTCCGGATGTAGATGTATGCAATAGTGGCCGTAAATGTGTGCGAAAGATAGCCTTGAGCGAGGCTGGGTGTGATAGTTGCTCCATCGCCGTGCGCAAAGAAATTGGGCTGTTGGGTAACGTTACTGACGTGGGCACCTTCTCAGTGAATACTCAGCGCACCTGAGGAACATACACATTCGAAAAATTCTGTATGCTAGTGAATGAAGTCAACATCTGGAGGGTCGAAGGAGGCCAGGAGGGTCAAACGACATCAGGCTGCTTTTTAAGCGGCGCGATCGCTCGGTCCCTGTCTTTGACGCATGGCACGCCCATGACCTCTCATCGAGGATGGGCGCAAAGAGACCCCGATAAAGATTGACGCGCAAACAGTACTCATCTCAAAGTCGATGCCACAGGGCACGCTCTCCAAGAACTTCCGCTGAAAGTTTGACATGTGCATTGAGATGGCACTTGAGTCTCCATGAGAACTCAAGCTTTTAGGCAGTACCGGAGACCGATCCACGTGGCCCATGGATAGAGTTGCTAATCGGAAGAAACATAAGAATATGAAATAATGGCGCGCATTTTGCGAAAAAATAACCTGGAAAGCGCGGCTGAGGGCGAGAATCCCAAAGGTGCCACGATTCGGTAGTCTTCATAAGATGGGATGAGGTAACATGGGTGGGGTGATAATTGTCACCAACCCTGTAGAACTTCACTATCACACCCGCCGACATACAAAGTGCACCACAGGTTGGCGACTCTCCTTCTGAGCCTAGTACGACATGCGTAAAGTGCAGGATTCGTGGAGGGCAATCGGAAGGGGAGGGGTCTCTGCAGGCCCGAGACGGTTCTATGAGACGTTCCTAGAGCCTGAAGGCCGCCTCGTTCAGGTCTCCCTCGACGCCGAGCAAAAATGTCGCAGGTGCTGTATGCGACAATGACATTATCGCCTATCATAACGAAGATAGGTCTGATCTCGGCTGACCGTGGTACCCGATACCTGCGTTGACGCCAGGCGCTCTATCTGCAGGTGGCCGAGCCTCATGCTTTGTAGGAGGCTGTACCAGATGAGTGATACAATTCGAATAGCACCGGCGCATTGCGTATGACAGATTGAACTGACGGAAGAGAGGACCAGCCGTGACACGCCATGATCGTCGAGAAGAAGGCGCGCGGCCCGGGGCTCGAGGTTGACTCGTGGCCCTGTTGATAGTGCCTAACCTGGGAAAAGATACCGAAACTGCTGTTGCTTGGGCTAATTCATTGAATCGCCACGTCTGCGTGAGCCTCGCTCGTCTATACTTTCCCTCACGTCATGATTAATGATGAAATTGGGTCTTAGACTCGTCCTATGGATATGTTACACACTATGGCAATCGCCGATAGCTCCCACGCTGTGGCGACAGCATCGCTGCGGCTTGCTTCGAGGCGACGTCTGGCGACGTGCATGGCATGTCCTCATACTCATTTTCGCGCCTGTGGGCTGATAGATACTAAGCGCTCGTGTTGTCTTGCAATATGCTCGGAGGCGCGTGAGGGAGGTGCAGAGTCTAAGGTGATTGGCTGTTTGTCACCAAGCCACACCACCAAGCCATACCAGTGACGCTTCGGGTGTACCATGACGAATTTCATGTACATGGGAGGCTGTCCTGAATATCTCACGGTGTTTCCAGCGCTGGTGCATGTTCGCAGATATCTGAGCGCTAACTTTCTCCGCCCAAGCCGGACCGTCGGGCCGGGGGCGTACCAATATCGACCCTGTAGGCTGTGATATCACTAGATTAACCAGGGCTCGTAAGAGCCGCACACCGATGACAACGGCGTTGATGATCCACAGGCCCTATGAGTAATGTCGACCCCTAAATCTCGTGAAGTCATAGACGTAGATAGATCCACACAATATCCACACTGATCGCACACTTCTAACGCTGATCATGGCCCGCGACGGCCGGTCCCTCTCAGGCTATGTGGGATGCCAACCGCGTCCTCTCCGTATCCTGCTCTTATTCCTGCGATCATCAACGGCCGATGTCACAAAGTTCCGCGCGGGACTCACAAGAGCAAGCCAATGCCAACTCGGTACCCATTCCTCGCTTCCATCTCCCTTCCATTGCGACCAATGTACTCTGGCGCATGCTCTGAGCGAAATGATGCGCCCGGGGCTGATATGACTGATGATGCTCATGGTCCTATCAGGCCACGGTGCTCCCGCCGGCGCGCCGCCGTCTCCTTGATGAGTGTCTAAGAGCTGAACTCGACCTTGCTCGTTTGCCATGTTGGAACCCAACCTCGCTCGCCATTGTCTTCTTTGACCGCGTAGGACCAATGCTTGAACCGCTTGTACACCCTCAGCAGGTCGCCTTCCGAGACGCTGAGTTCCTCGTCGTCCTTTTGCGTGTAGTCCATCAAGACATGCTCCAGGAAAGATTCCGAGACGATATGTTGTGGATGGATGGGCAACCAAGGGTCGACGTTGCCTGCGCGTTCCAGGTTCATAGTCTTCTTCGATGATGAGGGTGCCAATCCTGCAGATAATGAGGTGTAGGATGCAGTATGTGCGATGGCGCGAGCAACGGGGATACGCGTTTCGAGGAGACAACCTTCGGGGGCCCAGCCTCGTTCCGGCGGATCGGTAGCGATCGTATCCGTCTCCAGACGATCGCGTCGGAGCAACCATCGATCCTTGGCGCGAGAGAGAATTGTGAAGGTATCACCACTAAGAAGATGTCAGGAAGCCCACGAAAGAGGTGAGGACATGACAGCTTACGGAGTGACGTCGAGGTTACCTTCTTGTTTTGCCGTATATGAATAGATGGCAACACAGTAGCCAACATACCCCCCTCCATGGCCAGTGGAATCGTACACAGTGGCGTCCTCATGCGTGTTGTCACCCGAAGAGAGCGTAGTCGTCGGTTCGTCGAGATGGAGCGTCGAGCCAGGCTCGTACATCCGAAGAACAACATGTGAAGTGATGCTTGTGGGGGTTGGCAGAGTGTCTGTATCTTGTCTCAGTGATGAGAGCATGAGGTAGCTAAGACAACACACACCTTGCGCGGTATGCGTTGCGGCACCACCCTCATGACTCTGAGAGGAGTACAAGGCCTTACGCGCGATAACACAAGGAGACGGTAGCCTTACGACGTGCACGAGGGTAAGAAAAGGGTCTTGAGAGTCGTCTTTGAGCTTTTGATAGAGCACCAGGGGCTTCTGGTCGTAGGAAAGGCAGCATTCAGTGCGGTCATCTATCATGCAATCAATAAGTGAAGACCGAGCAGACCGTATAAGAGGATGCATACCCTGTGGGCCGTAGGAGATCATCATAACGTAGTCCTGCCAATTGCCGGAGACATTGTATTTGTGCATCGTCGAAGGGAGGACCAGATACACGGGATCGTTCATGGATACCTTGAGACCCCTGCGATCCATCGATCTCTTCTGCTTGTCGAACAGTGACTGGCGCTTGACTTCACGCGTAATTGGCACAGGCTTATCTTGAGCGTGGACGGTCGGAGCACTGATGCCGGATATGTTACTGAGCCGTCTAAGGACGGCGACATCATCTCTGATGGGCGACCGGTCGGCGTCTTGTCTCGGCTCGTCCCCGAGTGGTGTGGTAGCCCGCTCAAGGATGGTTCCTCCTTCCTCCAAGACGCGTTGCAGCGCTTCGATCGCTTCCGTCATCTCTCGCGGGCCAATCTGCAAGAACTTCATAAGGGTGCCATCGTCCGCTTCTTGCAGTGCGATGTGGAGAAGCTGACGAAGGTTGATCATGTCGAGGGCGAGATCACTGATGTTCTGCGATTGTCGGTAGAGGGACAGCGACCTGCGTACTTGTGTAGCGTCCTGTATATCGTCGGCGTCAGGCGGGACAGGCAGGGCGTGCGCGGACGATGGGGCAACGTCGGACACAAGCTGTACAGCTCCGATTTGACTAAAGCGCGCTTCGCTCTCCTGAACGAGTCTGAGTGTGCGTATCTGGATCCTGAACTATATGAACATGAGTACTGTACAGATCTATCACGTCTGTATCGGGATTGACGTACACTGAAGAGACCGAGAGCATCATCCAGCAGTGTATCACAGTAGAGGATATCGCGTTGCGTATCCTCACGCTTCACATAGCGAAGCCAGAATGGCCGGCGGATCTGCTTTTGCAGGCTATCGTGGATCTCCTCGAGAGCGCTGTGGGTAGCTATGAGTACAACTGCGTGCGTGTGGCGAGTGTACAACGCACATATGCAACCGCGCAACAGGCTCCTTCAATTCTTCTGCCACCCCTGTACCGCTTGCACCGATTTCCTCTCGAATAGCTAGCAATAGTTCGGCGGAGCGCTCGGTTAGGCGTAGACATGACAGACGATTGACCTATTCCCCACATGGTCAGTCAGGGCCCAATCCTTGCAGGGAGTAGTCTCTATCCCACCTCAATCAGCTCTACAGCGTCCCAGATGCTCAGGAGCATCTTGCCCGCGACGTCCAGCGCGGGTACTGGCACAAACTGCAGGAGGTCGACTCCCACAAAGAGCGCTTCATGAGCGAGATTGGCCGCTGGTCCTAGGACAGCCGAGGCTGCTTCGACGACGCGCTGGACAGGGTGTATAACAGGTCAAAACAAGGTAGCGTGATACAAGCTAGGACAAACCTTCTTGGCTTTGCGGTAGTTCTGCTCTTGGGCATTGAGGGCCATTCGGGGCACTGAGACTGGGGTGAAGCGTGCGATGGCACGTATGGGAGTAGTACGACGAAGGGTCAGTTGGAGGCCTTCATTAAAAGCATTTGCGTGCTGATATCGATAGACACTGATAGCAAGGCCACGCGAGGCGCTGTACTACTGCACGTTGCTTTCTTACCGCATGCACAGCCGAAGCACTTCGTTCATCCCTTCGAAGTTCTAGCCGCTGTGGCGTAAAAGAGGGCAGCCTCGAGGGTGTACAGCAAGAGTAAGCTGCATTCGATTCGAACAAGTTTGTATAGCCCACAGGTTGGACGACTCGTCATCGACGTTCGAGTCGACGTTCCCCTCGGCTCGCATTCCGTGGATCAGCTATATTTGATGAAATTCTCACGTTCCGAACGTACACGCTGCACTTCGCCTGCCATCTTTTGCTGCTGTATATCCCGCGCAGGCCCCATAGGTATAAACCAAGTCCTTGTATATATCGGAGCGAAGAACGAGAGATTATAGAGAACAAGAGTCCAAGAGCGCGATAAGTACTACTAAGACAAGCTGGGATGAACTGAGCGAGAGGAGCGGACAGCGTAGAGGATAGATAGACGAGTCGAGCAACGACAAAGGGGAATGAAGAGAGTGTATGGTCGTCAATTGAGACGGAGACTGGGAGCGTAACGTGTAGGTAGCAGTCGTAAAGGAGCGGCGACGAAGATCGAAGAGTATATCCACATTAAAAGAGAGTCACGAAACCAGGGAGATGTCATGATTGTATATGGCACAGCAAGTGACAAGATGCGAGGAAGGATGCGTAGTGGCACGAATGGAGTTGATTACAAGTAGGTCGACGTCCGGCTGACGCTCTGCTGGGGCGGGAATGCCGAGCTCATAGGGCTGACAGCGGGCATACCGCCCACGCCCGGTCCCGCACTTCTATCGAAGCCCGCCTCACTATCCAGCGTGATATTGGCCCCTCCACTTCCTCCCAATATCCCACTCTTATCCCGACTATCCGCGATAGCCGGGGTCGCGGGTGTCTGTGCACTCGCCGCGACCTTTCCGATGTACCAACTCGGCACCCAACCGCGCTCTCCTCCATCCTCCTTGACAGCGTACGACCAATGATTATACCGCTTGAACACCCTCAACGCATCGTCCTTCGACAGATCGAGCTCTTCGTCTCCCTTCTTCTTGTAGTCCATCAATGCGTAGCCTGGGAAAGACGTCGAGACGATGTGAAGCGGCAAGATGGGTGTGCGGGCGTTAATGCCGCCTGCTACGCCGTTTGTTGGTGAGGATGGAGTGGAGCCTGGGTTGGAAGATGGGTTGGATGAGGTGGACGCGATTGCCCGTGCAATCGGGATACGTGTCTCGAGTAGACAGCCCGCAGGGACCCAGCCTTGCTTTGATGGATCGCTGTCGACCGTCCCAGTTCCCTGCGGATCGCGCTGAACAACCCACCATCCGCGCGCACGCGAGATGATCACGAATGTATCGCCACTGCAAGAGCAAGAGTGTCAGCAACGTGGCTACTAGAACAAAGGAAGAAAGGGCACGTACACAACAACGTCGAACTCATCCTCCTGCTCCGCCATATACGGATATATGGCCACACTATAGCTGACATTCTCTCCTCCAACAGGCTGCTCCCTCTCCTTCCCACCGTGCCCTCCATCTCGCCCGTGTCCATCACCACCAGCAGAGGAAGCCGTAACGGGCGCCACAGCGCTCTTCGGCGCCGACTCGTTGATGCTTAGGTTGGAGTTGGATGCTGATGTGTGTAATCCGGGTCGAGAATCACCGCCGGCGGGACTCATGAGTTCAGGCCATCCTGTGGCAGCGCTTCCGCCCGTGTTCAGCGGTGGCTCCGTAGACGCCTGCGCCGCATGAACCTGCAGTCGTGGCGGGCGCGAAAGCGTGCGACCGTGGCCCTGCGCCCCAGTCCGCGAAGTAGAGGAGGTGGATGTGGTGGAAGTATTAGGGTTGGTCGTGGATGCGTTTGACGCTTTACGCGCGGCCTGCTTCTGCTGCGCGACGGCGATGGGAGAACGGATGTCTTTGATGTGTTTGAGCATGAAGACGGGGTTTTTGGACGCGTCTTTGAGTTTCTGGAAGAGGAGCAGTGGTTTCTCGTCGTACGACAGACACCGCTCAATTCGGTTGTCTAGAACCATTTATCAGGATTCTCAGGCTCCATGAATGTGTAATGGGCGGAGATACGCACTAGGTGGACCGTAGCAGATGAACATGGCATAGTTCTGCCAGTCGTCGTTGTTGATCTTGTATTTCCGCAGGGCGGCTGGTAAGACTTTCCACGCCGGATCCTCCAGCGAGACTTTGAAACTCTTGAGATTATCCGAGCTCTCTTGCCTCGTCGGCCTTGGCGGCCCGTTCCTGCTCCCGTTCGCACTACTTGTGGTGGTTGGTGTAGGTGTCGCCTGTGCCTGAGCGGTGCCTTGAGAGATATTGCTGGTGGGCGTCGAGGAGGAGCTGGCAGTGTGCTCGGCGCGTTGTGGTGATGGATGGGGGCTCTCGACGTCGGACGAGCCGTTGCCGTTCTTGACTTTGGCCCATTGGAAGGCGCCCGTTCTGGTCACGGGACTATCGACGGCCGTGTGTGTGGATGAGGCAGCGGTGGAGACAGTCGAGGACCGGATGGACTGCAGGTCGTCCAGTGCACCGTGCACAGAGTCGCTTAGGCGCCGGTGGTCGGACTCGAGTGAGCGTAGGCGCTGGTCCTGGTCGCGCAGAAGGTCGTATAGCCTATCTATGGTCAGGCTTTCTCGTCCATCGGATTCAGCTAGAAATGATTCAGATATTTGTGCGGGGCAGTGCGTTTGTTGGACGCACAGGGCGGAACATAGGCGTCCTGGTCAATCGTCACGTTATGCAGCAGCTTGAGCTGATAGACGGCCTTCAATATCTGCAGCCGCTGCCCCACGCTGGCGACTCCGAATTCCTTGAGCTCGTCCGGGCCCATAAGACATAGCGCGTCGCCCGAGATCCCATGTTCTAATTCGCACAATCAGAACTGCGCATCCAACTATATTAGGATATAAACCTCGTATTTGCGGTTCATATTGTGGTAGGCCGAGGTGGGTGAAGAAAGTCTGCACGTCGCCCTCATCCCAATCGCCGATCTGCTCGTGCTTGACGTCGAGCGTGTGGAGGTCCATGGCGAACCCGCGTTACCGTCCCAGGCTCTCTCGCGCGGCGCGCAGTGCCATTCAGATTCCGTCGGACACGTGACGTTTCCCTACCGTAATTCCAGTCGTGTAATGCGGAAAGTGTGAGTTGCCTTCTGCCATGGACGATCCATGGGGCAACGCCTGGGGCGAACCTTCTACCACTACTACCACCCATGACACCTGGGATGTCAAGCCCGTTACGACTTTGACGACTTCGCCGCCTCTGGGTGATGAGGAGGCTGATCTGGGCGGCGCTTCCGCGGGCTGGACACTTGACGGCGCTGTTCGTTGGGATGAGGGCGACGCCTGGGGCTCTTCTAACTCCGCCTGGCAACCACAAGATACTTTCTCGAATATCAAACTCGAGACGCCTGTCGCTGCTGCACCTCCAGAATCTGAACCCGAACCAGATCTTGAACCCGAACGTCCCGATTCAGAGCACGCTTCTGAGCCTGAACCAGAGCCCGAAGAGGAAGTCGACGAGCCGCCTCCGGTGACAGTTGATGCGCCGCCAGATACCGATGAGGAGGCGCCCGCGGCCGTGAGCGCTCCCCGGACGCCAGATCCAGATGCCGACGGCTTCGGGACGTTCGACGACGGCACTGCACCTGTATCAGCAGCAGCGGCACCATGGTCACCAGTCGCACCTGCCTTTCCGGAAGACACCGACGGCGGCTGGGGTACTTCTGCTGAGTCCGCTTGGGGTGCTGCCGACCCTGCCGAGAAAGAGGAGGAAGCCGAAGAAGAGGACGAATGGACCAGGGCAGCGCGCGCCAAGGCCGCGTTGGATCGCGCGCTCGTGCGTGAATAATGTTTTGCATGTGCATTGTGTACTCTGTCGACTGACTATGCGACTGTTGCGAAGTAGCCGCCTGAGTTGCTCGCTTCGATAATGCAGCAAGTGCAGGAACTCGCCGATGCCGCCTGGCCGCCACAGGAAGGCGATCATGCGAAAGACACGCCGCCTGACTGGGCGAGCAGCTGGCTCGCAGGTATGGATGGTGTACCGGGTCTGTGAGTACTCTTCTCGTGTGTTCTGCCTATATACCGAAAACTCATGCAAACATAGTGAATCACTCTTGTCGACATATGTCCCTCCAGACCATACACTTCCTCCACCAACTCGCTTCGCCGCAACACACACATCGAAGTCCCTCAGTTCATCCCTCAAACTCACCCGACATACGCTCCCGGCACGCAACTCGCCTTTCGCATCACTCATGGCAGCCCGCGGATCCGCCGCCTGGGAAGCCGCTGTGAAAGCGCGCTCTATGCCCACAGCTGACGCAGACGCAGAGAGCGCCGTGCCTGCTGGATGGCGAATACTTGAGAAGGATGAACGGAAAGATGGAGATGCGAAGGAAGAGGGTAAAGAGGAGAAGAGGGGCTTGTTCGCGAGCTTGTGGGGTCGCAGGAGCAGCACGATGAAGCCTCAGACTACGGGCGGGAGCATTGGGAGCTCAGGATCAACGAGGCAGAGCGTTGAGGTGCTCAGCCCGGTGTCCGCACCTTCCACTGGTCCTGCAACGCCGCAACGAGCTGCATCACCCGCACCGTCTACGACGTCCACGCCTGCGCCTACGGCTTCTACACCAACGGCCGAGGCACCACCTGCTCAACCTGCTCCTTACGACCCGCCCACGTTCGAGCCGATCCTTCCACCTTCGAGTAGCGCGTCACCGCCGCCCCAAGCAGCGCCGGCACCAACGGGCGTCTCCCGCTTCTTCTCACGCCTTACCCGCAATCGCGCCTCGTCTCCCTCCCCACGGGCTTCGTTAGCACTCAGTGGCGACGACATTGAGTTCCTCGGGGATATTGTACCTTCCGCATCTGATCCAGATGACGAGAATGATCTGCTGGGTTTGGGAGGAGGAAAGGATAGGGATCTGAAGATGGCTGGACTAGAGAGTCTGTTGAAGAGCAAGCCGATAGGCGGGAAACTGCCTGCACCTCTACCACCGCCTCCGAGCGTACCGACACTAAGACCGGTATCGAGTGCGAGTGCTCCAAAGCCCCATCACGCGAGCCAGCCATCACAAGATCTGTTCGCGGGCTTCGACGTGCTACAACCTTCATCGTCGGGAGGAACACAAGCCTCGGGTTCAGCAAATTTCCAGGCGCTCCCGACGTCAAGCTCCCTCGCGTCTACGAGCGCGCAACCTTTTGCACCTTCCATATCGACCGCATCAAGCGCTCAGCCGTTGGCGCCTTCAACATCAAGCAGCGCATTTGACGACGACGACGATTTTGCAGACTTTCTCGGTTCACCGTCGGCACATACAGGTCCTTCAGCAGCCGGTGGTCTTCCGCCTGCTCCCGATACCTCCACGTTCGGTGACTTCTCGAGCTTCGCGGCGCCATCAGCTTCTTCTGCAGCAGGTCAAACTGCGACGAGCGATTCGTTTGGTGACTTTGGAGGGTTCATGTCGACACCTGTGCCATCGTCTGCAGCGACTGTTGCGAGTCCGCCTCAGCCGCTTGCGCCGCCACCTTCGGCTATATCGACCCTTTCGCCGCCGCCGCGGTATGGGACGACGCCGGTACTGCCGCCCCCTGGCTCAAGTACGATATCACCTCTCCCACCACCACAAAGCGTAGGAACGGCCACGCCTCCTCTACCACCGCCTAGTGCGGGCATGAGCAAATCTTTACTTGACCGACGCCTCAGTCGCCCCGTGGGAAGCTCGGGTTCGAATTCACCCGTTTCGCCCGCCGCCCCAGCTCCCCTCGCACGAGCCGGGTCAGTAAAGAACGGAAAGCCACTCTCGATCACGCCGCCCTCACTGGACCTGTTCAACACCGATGCCAGCTCTGCCGACAAGGAAGACACGAAGTCGGGCGTCGAGGCTTCCCACACGCGTACGCGCTCGCTTCTCGAGAGCGCCCAAGCACGCGCGGGCATGAGATGGCCGGCGCCGCCGTCTCCGCTTCCTGAGGCGCTGAGTCCGCCGCCAGATGCACCGGCTACGTTCACTTCCGCTGGTGTGGACCTTCTGGGTGTTGGCAGTGGACTATCTGGGTTCGCGGCGGCACAGGTGCAGGGCGCGCCTCCAGTCCAGACGTTCTCGCCACCATCACGCGCACTCTCACCGCCGATGCAAACGCTCTCCCCTCCACCTCTCGCCCCTCCGCCCGGAGCAAATCCTCCGGCGCACAAGATTCCGCCAGCACCATTGAACTCGCTCGCGCCTCCAACAGACTTGTTCGATATGGGGACGGGAGTAGAAGAGACGCCGCCACCCACGCCTCCGAAGCCTGACTTTGGCTCGTTCGCGAGGTCAAATAGCCGCCCGTCATCGGTCGTAGGCTCTTCGACGTTCTCGCCGCCTTCAAACCCGTCACCTTTACCTCCCTCAACGCTCTCGCCGCCCAACTCGTCGACGTTGCCCTCAGCAGTCGGGATCTCGCGCTTTCCGCATCATTCGAGTCTACCGGTGCCGGCGTCGACGTCGAGACCTGCGTCGCGTGCAGCACATAAGGCTGTGACGATGTCTGGTGCTTCGACGAGCGCGGGTGGGTCAGCGCCGTTGTTGCCGCCTCCGCCGGGTGGGGGTTCACCGTTCGCGCCTCCTCCGCGCGCACCGTCCGTCGTCGCGTCTCCGCCTCCCGTAACGATGACGCCGCCCACCGCATCACTGTCACCTCCAGCAGGCTTTGCCCCTCCCCAACGCAACTCATTCGCCTCACCTCCACCAATGAACCCATCACCAAACAACGTGTTTGCTGCGTTGCCGCCGGGTAGGGCGATGAGCTTGTCGCCACCCGCGAGAGACGGATCGCCCGATGATAGTGTGCCGCTTGCGGCGCTTGTGCAGCAGAGGCATCAGGCGCAGACTGTCGTGAAAGGCACGGGCGGGTTGAGCGCGCAGGATCTGAGCTTCTTCGAAGGGCTCTGATACGCGAGCGCGGCGCGTCTGCTCGGAGAGTTGCCGCCGGATGCTAGAGTCCCGCATAGCTCCGCGATAATGACGAAGCTGGTATAGATTTGTCGATTCTGTCGCACGTGTACTCTATTTTATCAATGCAAGGATCTCCTATTCACTACTTACATTCATGCATTCTGCGTCATGAGGACAGAATGCCGTGCGGTGGAGGTGGTTCACCTCTGTGACTTGTACAAATGGGGATGACGGTGGCGAGTTCTGCGGCCCCAGGGCAGCTGATTGGTCATGTCAAGGCTGAGCGCTGAGCTCTAGTCGTTCATCGACGATTCTACGTCTCAGACTCACTCTTCCGCAGAAACTTGCCATCATATTTCTCCGTCCGAAAGTCCCGTCAAACCCATCCTCCAAGGGATCTGCACCTAGTAAGCAGATGAAAGTGCAAACCCTGGGCACTCCAGTCCTCCATCAAGTCTACATAGCACATGGCACAATCTACCTCGAGACAGGTATCCTTCCCACCACTAGTCTCAGGATGCGTGAGGGATTCGCGAGGAGGCGGGTCCCATGAAGAAGGATCATTCGTGTCGGCGTGCCTACAAGTGACGGGATTCAGCGGTTGCTGCGGGATCTGCGATCCTATAACGAAATCTCGATGGCATCTATCAAGCATACTTGGATTGTTTCGGGCTTGAAGCGGCGTGGCGCGAAAAGCGACCAGACCCTGGCGAACGATTACCTATATGGCATGTCGAACCCTCCCTGCCATTCAGTTCTTGAGCTTTTCTGCCAATGACATACGCGACCTGCTAGTACAGCCTTTTAGCCGTGTGTGCGTTGGCGGATCCTCTCTGTGTAAAGACTAACGTACTCAGTATGTGCATCCCGGCAGTGTGGGCTTTTGAGTTTCTCGAGCCGCCGATTCCGATCCTCGAGACTGGAATTCTGTATCTGGCCGCTCTTTAGTTTGTCTGTATCAAAGTTGCTGCCCGTGTAACATGTACTGCATGCAGAACTTGGAGTGGGTATCCAGCACGATTGTTTCTTAGACGGTAGACGACATACAGGGCTATAAAGTGTGCAACTCGCAACGTGAATCTGCCATTCCGACCATCGAGTATGTCTGATAGCACACCACCCACCGCTGGCGCTCTCCTTCATATCGCCAGGGAGCATTCCGATCACACCATACTGAGCCTTGTCTTTGGACGGGGAGTAGCATGCGATCGGGCCAGTCGCTTCGTTCTGAACATGATCGCTCGTGGCCCCACAATGCCGCTGGATGTAGGCATTGACCGCTTTGTTTCCAGATCTTACGGGCACCTCGCAGTCACCACTAGATACCCTGGATTGTATGACGATGCCATTACGTTCACGGTGCACGACGGTCTTGTTCATACTAGCGATACATTCGAAGTCAGAGCCCACGGCCAGGAGCATCCCAGTACTCGTTACTGTGTTCTCGATGTGCGGGTCTTGGATCCGGCTCGCATAATACCGGCTCGCCTCATCGTCCCTTATCAGGATAGCCCCTCGCGCCTGAATAAGGAGTTGGACAGGACAGACATGCTCCCCTTATGGTTCTGGAACGATGATGGGACATTGGGCGCACCGGTTGATACTGGCGAACTCAGATGCCCACCGGAAAGACTCACGCGTATTGGAGCAACGTCCTTGAAAGTGGCGATATGGGTACGTTTTATCATGCACCAGACGCCGAAGCGCACAAACTGATCCCATATGTTCTCCGTAGTGGAAGGGTTACGAAGCCGTGGAGAAACAAGTCCAGTTGAGGTCGAATCCATCATGTGGCCAGCCCAAGATCAGGGTGTCGTTTCATCGTCTGGCGTCTTTGGTATCCGGGGCTGTTCGGAACGCTATGAGGGTACGTTCGAGACTATGCCCTCGTCTGTATGATTGCGAATCAGAAGCGACAGGATTACGAACGCGCCAACGTTGAAAGAATGGAGTGGGCATGTCAACGCTGGAGGATCGGTAGAGGTCCTGGACGCATTGGCGTAAACGACGTGGTCTTATTGGGCGTGGTCTTTGTCTCCCCTGGGCGTATTATGCCACTCCTTCAGGTCAAACCTACCTTCGGTCAGCTCTTCAGTTTTTATTTGTATGGACGTGACTTATCTAACGCCCTCACAAGCCTTCATTAGTTGCACTAGATGAAGTCCGCACAGCCCATGTAGCAAGCAATCAAAGGTGGCGAGTTGCCGTAAGGAGTTATAGCTGGTCGTGACTGCGTAGACCAGACTATGCGCATTGAATCCTAAGCCTAAGGTCTCAAGAAGTACAGATGGAAGGAGCGTGTATGGGGCTGGAGCTTCACATGCGTAACCTCTGTAGCGCTAAGAGCTCCGAGTCTTTCAAGAACTTCCTCAATATAGACGATGTTGAGACTGTGTGCACTGACTATCGGGCGCGCTCGAATTTCCGTCGTGGCGCGGGAATGAAAATAGCGATGTCATGTAGCGCACATCGAGCGCCTCTAAGGGCCGGAGGTGGACGATCAAGCACGCCACCTAAAGGGTTTAACTATCGGACATGCGGCCGTTTGCGATCTTACCGACAACTGTGGTATTTTCACCTACGCAGGACGGCGTTCATTTGACAGCAGACCCGCGTCTGTATGTATAGGCGGGTAAATGGAAAGGTCGCGTACCACCACTCCCAAACTTTGTAGTGGTGGTTCCTTGCAAGAAACGTCGCTCACGGGCGACACGGCTTTATCGTAATCGGCCCGATCTCCGGAGGCGGTTCTCTCCTCTCTTTCATCTGCTCCTTCTTCCCTACCCGCATGTTCCTTCGATTTGCGTCCCCGTTCCGCTCATACCCGATTCAAGTGGATGATTAGTCTGCGGCCAGCGATTGTGCTCGTGCGCAAGTGAGAACAACACGCACGGCCATGACTCTGATCCCCAACGGGAGACCCGGTGCGCGTTACTCGCTGTTCCTCGCCGTATTGAGTTCGCGCTGACAGTGAGACTCATAGCCGGACAGCCATGACACGTCTCCTCTTTCAGCTCCTACTGGCGCTTACGCACTACCTCTATCGTCTCCATCGCCGCGGGCAGCCGAAGCAGCAAGAAGCGCCGCTTCTGGGTTTTTAGGCTGGCTTTGACAGGAAAATTCCAGGAAACCTTGCGCTCAAGGGGGACGTTGAGCCGCGACAACTCGCCAGAAACTCCCGTCTGCGGGTCCGATGCTTGTCAGTACTCATGCAGTTCAATCATCACGCGGTGTTATTTCTTACACACATACCAAGCAGCTCTGGCTTCGTGACAAGGGTTATAGTGACATCTTGAGGTGTCTATGAGAAGCCAAGTACGGTACTTACTATTACCAAGTTACCTCCTTCTCCCCTGATGTGGTGGCTGTGCTCTAGGCGATACTCGCGGTACAGCCCCTTGAGCACTACTTGCCCTTGCGGCCAATTAAGCGCCATGTTTCGTCTGCCAGCGCGGCGTGAGAAGCGATGAGAATAGCCAGGGACAGAAGCGTCCGCTTTCTTGAAACTTAAACCATTCCGGTGAGAACACCAGTCCAGCCGAAGAAACTGCCTGAAGCGTATCAACTAGGTGTATGAGCGTGCTTGCAGCCTCCAGTGACTCCGATCTCGACCTGTCTTCGCTACATACCTGGCTAAACCTGCACCTCCAAAAGCGGACACGCGATGCCACGTGCTGGGTATGTGGCGGTGCGCAAGTACAGCAGTATGTGGGATGGCGACCCTTAACGGGAATGCTTGACACAGGTAGCGGTCTCTTAATCTCTCGCTCGCCCTCGCACCCTCGCAGTAACGCCCCAACACTCCGAATCCTATACCTTCGCCATCTCCTCAGCGTCACAATTGGTGAGCCTTTGACGCGAACGTTTTCAACCATTATCTGACCCCGCGCACAGACGAACTCGCCTGGATCAACATTGTGCCCCTGACTCTTGTGGTGCGTACCATCTGTAGCCGCAGAATGTCACAACGCTGAAGCCGTAATCAGTTCGAGCGTTTTTCACCCCCGTCTGCCACATCTTGATGGCTTCTACTACTCCCGTAGAAGCTTCCGCCGGGCCACTGACGCCACTCTGTGTCAATATGGTCCGTCACGCCAACCGACCGTTCGCGCCGATACTGAAGTCGGGAAACTCGGCAGGCAATCTCATCGGCCGATAACTGCAACGAACATGCAACGGACAACCTGACTTGCCTCAGTCCTCTCGCCGCCTGGTTCAACGAGAAAAGTTCTCGTACCTGGAATAGCTCGCTTCAAGGTGCTGACATATCTATCAAACATGAACAGAACTACCATAAGGCCAGAAAGGTTCGTAATCAATGATGATTCTAGAGCCACATCTTGAGAAGAGCGCAGCGTGTTGTAGAGGCCGTCTCGTCCGTGCTCGGTCCTGCGGCTAGTTTAGCCCATGAAGCGCTCTTTTTGGGCGTGGACTTGCTTCAGTTTGCTCCTGTACCTGCACTAGACGTTGCCGGGCAGGTTCTACTGAGTATCTGGGACGCAGTAGAGATGATGGAGGCAAGTGGCCGGACGCTGTGTAGGTCTGAACTACTTCAGACACCCTTTTTGTTTCCAGACCAATCGTCTCTCGTGCTTGCGCCTTGCTGAGAGGTGTGCCGAGCACCTATTGGCTATCTGGGAGGAGGTCGTTGCAAACGGCGAGGGCATCGCCGACGAGCTTCGAGACCCTGTAACTCGACTGCACACGTGAGTATATACGTCTACTACCCATTGTTGTACTCATGTATCAAGTCAGAGCTTTCGCAGACATCAATGACTGTCTACAAAAGCAAGTACATCGTCCGTTCTGGGTTCGCTATGTCAAGCGCGAGGAGATACAAAGCAACATCAGTCATTGCGATGCCCTACTTAATGACGCCCTCCGCCTGTTTGATGTGCGTATACCGCGTGTGTGATGCAGCGGTCAAGAGCGCCGTTGATATTAGTTCCAGATCCGGGTTACCATACGCACGTTGAAACTTGTGAAAGCAACGGACACACGATTTTCTCACGCAGGGGCGGCAGACGGAGATACGCCCATACCTGGGTCTGGCCTTGACTCTGTCGCTGTAATTGAAGACCCCAACAAGCTGCACCACTCTATTGAAGTTCACAAAGCACTCAACAGCTACAGAACTTCGCAAAACTCCGACGATCTTGCCGGCGACATGGCAGAATTGCGGCAGCTTCTCTATGCCGCTGTTCAGGCAGAAGATGACGTCAATATGATGAATGTGCTACAAGTCGGTCGCCACGAGATGCCACAGGCCATCAAAGTACTGCAGCATGCTCTCAAGCGAGAGTCATGGTCTGACCTGTCGTCTCCGTTCCAAGCTCGAAAACCTCTTCCGCAAGCGTCGAGTGATGGGAACCCCGACTACCTGGCCCAAGACTTCCTCAGGAGCGGCATCAAGGCGCTCAAACGCCTCAGTTCAGGGGTTGACTTCACTCCGCTCATTAGGACGACAGCGGACGCAGACGAGGATACGAGTGAACCGAGCCCGACTTCGGGGGATATTGTGCCTCCAAGTGGTGCATTGTTGGCGGAAACAGGGCCCGAAGATGGGGACGCTCGAATGTCGCCGTTGGTGATCAGCCGGGATGCCGGTTATTGCGCTGCCATCTACCCTTACATGACAGAGCACATAGGCCATCTCGATGTCCTTATGTGCGTCTTTCTCCTGCAGTCCTTGCGTGTTTTTCTCATGGTTGGCCGTTAGTGGCGATATGTTTGTGATCATTTCCCGCGCCACCGGATGGTGGCTTGTTCAGCGCGACCTAGAGGGCAAGGGGAACATCATCGACGCCTCGAAGTCCGGCCAAGGCTGGGTTCCCACAAAATGCCTTCTCGAGACGCGTCTTCCTGTCCTCTACGCCCTCGCCTTCAAGTCTACCTTTGCCGGGTCTCTTACGCTAGACTCGATCAACACAGTGCCACGTGAGATCACCGCGCATACGCCGATCCTCTTGCGTTACATCGTGACCTCCAGTTGTCGACGATATGCGATCGCCGATCATCGTAGAGCCAATGCCACGCAACTCGATATATCCAGAGGCGACGTCTTGCGCGTGTTCAAGAAGTGTCAGACTTGGGCATATGCAATGAAGGAAGATAACGGGGAACGTGGCTGGGTACCAAACTGTTATATGGCTAAAGAGCCACCTTCAGATCGATGACCGGGACCCCTCACGTACCAATTTCCATCCCTCGCGACCCGGTATATTTCTGTCACATTGGGCAGGTGACCCACGTGGCCTCGGAATCATATAGCGAGCCCCGTGTGTACCGCAGAAGTAGATCATCTCATACCACCATGACCCCGTGGCACCGCGACACAGCCCGGGTCCTACGCCCTAGTGCAACATTGTAGATTGCTAGACCCACAGATAGATCTCTCGAGAACCACTAACACTGCCTATTTTTACGTTCTATTGCCGCAATGTAGTCGATGACATAAGTAGCAGGTGTCTAATTTCCTATATGCACATACAAGAAGCCGTTTACGCCGACTCACAGGATATCAGCGAGCGGCTGCCTTGACACCGCGGTGGAACTCCTGATCAGCCTACAGAATGCACTTGTCATATTATGGATGGGTTACTATGGGCGACCGAAGCGCATACCGAGTCTTCCCATCCCTCTCAATTTCCTGATTGATATGAACGACAATACCAGCAGAAGTATTGTGGTCCGTCGCCCGGCCGAACATGTTTGCTCCGCTCACAGACCCCAGCTCAAGAGTGGAATGGGTTCCAGCGGACCGACCCGCAGATGATTCAAGAGAAAGGCTGAATGAAACTAAAGCTGTGACCCAGCATGTTCAAGTTGTGGTCGACGACCAACCCCGGCCCAAGGCCAGCCACAGTCTGCAGCCGTCCCATCACATTCCCACGCGTTCCTCTCCGGACTGATCGGGATTCGGCGCCTTCGCCTTGCGCATGTCCCTCATGTCCTTCGAGAATCGAGATGTGCGAGCCTTATATGGCACGGCTCAGGAGGAAGTAGTCGCGTTTATTGCGCTCTCTATATCTTGAAGCCCTGCCTGCTGCCCTGTCGTTTGACCGGAACCCACATCATGGCGTTCTCTGGCTTTACCTCTCTTATGCGGTCGGTGTTCGACCAGGGTATGATGCGCCAGTTCTATCCGCCTACTGCCACTTTCGAGCCCGAACGCGATATCTCTTCGCAGGCTGGTCAGGTGCGCAGAGCTTCTATGACATGCGTGGCGAAATTGACCCCGCGCTAGGTTGCACTTGTCACGGGCGGCAACGGCGGGATCGGCTACGAGACGTGCAGACACCTCCTGCTGAAAGACGCCAAAGTATATCTGGCCGCCAGGAAGCCCGATGCTGCGCAGGAGGCGGCAGTCCGACTGTTGGAGGAGACAGGACGCGCGCCTGAGATTCTCATCCTCGACCTGGGCGATCTGGAGAGTGTACGCAAGGGTGCTGAGGAGTTCAAGAAGAGAGAGCCATTGCTGCACCGCTTATATAACAACGCGTACGTCTCTCGGTTATCCTTATCGAACAGGGACTCAATATAAACACACAGTGGCGCAGTTTGGGTGCCTACAGATATGCTCACAAAGCAGGGTTATGACCTTGCCTTCGGCACAAACGTCCTTGGTCACTACTTCCTCACGGTATGTTCAAAGCCCACTTGTCCTCGTTGTGCCCGTGCTAAATGTGATGGTCAGACGCTGCTCATGCCCGTTCTTGAATATACATTCGACGTCACAGATGTTCGCCCACGTATCATCAACGTATCATCGTCTGCGCATGTAGTCTCGTACGGTGTCACAGGCATCACCTGGCCTTCTATCACCGACTCTCCGGAACGCCAGAAGCTTGCGCCCAGCATGGGGTCTTATGCCCTCTATTGCCAGAGCAAGTTCGGTGTCATCATGCTCTCGTACCTCCTTGACCGCCACCACGGCGAGAAAATCCTTTCTATTGCGCTGAACCCTGGCAACTTCGAGTACGTGCCTACACGGCCTAGAATCCGTGGAGGAGTACTCACAGATTGCCTCTTTATAGGTCCGGGGCGTACCGATACGTGAAGGGCATGCAGAAGAGTACCGTAAATCTGGTACTATACACCGTCGAGGACGGCTGCAAGACGCAGTTATGGGCGGGTACGGCGCCCGAGGGTACCTTCAAGGGAGGCGATGTGCGTCTTCGTCTGATTCCTCATCGGCGCACTCTAACCCTCTTCCTTGTGGATAGTATCTGATCCCATGGGCACGCGAGGGTACATCTGACAGTCGCACGCACAATATTGGAGTGCAGGAAGAGCTATGGAAATGGTTGCATGCGCAGTGTGAGAGGTTCTAGCTACATGAGCTGATCGTTGCGCGACTATGCACCCGATTGCGTTGTCGATAAGATTATCTAGTGTAGTATCCATATTTTTTTGCTCGGTCGCAAGACAGTACGCGAGAGCCGATTTGTGATGCATTGAGCTGTTCAAGCAATATATAAAGAGGTCGTTTGGCCTGTCTGCCATGCGCTGGATAGTGATTGGGCAACTATAGCCCAGAGAAGAACCCTTTATCAGCTACATCGACGTCGTTCCTACCCTTCTTCGCAACCCGTCCCGAGAGCTTGTCTTTCTTCTTGCGCTTCTTCACTCGTTCTTTCACGCCTTCATCCGAGTCCGAGTCCGCATCCGCTTGTGGCTCTTCTTCCGCGACTGGAGGTGCCTCTTCGTCATCCGAGTCAACGTCAGGATCGATGGCGGTGGCTGGAGCAGCAGCGGTCGCGGTGTCTTCGTCCGACTCAGAGTCGGAGTCAGACGAATCGGCGTCGAGCGCGGACGGCGCGACAACTTGTCGCCGAGGCGAAGCGAACTGATCTTCTCTCTCGCCAGCCTCTTCTTCTTCGCTCTCGTCCTCTCTCGCATCCGCATCTCCCTCTTCACCATCCTCATCCTCAAACACCTCCCTCAGATCCGTCATCCGGAGTACATCCTCATGACCAACACTCCCCACCCATCTTCCCTCGCCGCCCCGATCAATCTTGATCCGCTCAATAGGCCACTCGCCGTGATCCGCTACGACTCCCACAAGCTTCGTAGGAAACAGCTCTACGACGCGCAGGAGTCCGTCCGAGGAACCGGTGAGAATCGTGTTTGTCGAAGACGGGTATGATGAGGGCAAGGCACACAGCGCATCGACGCTATGTGGGTGGCCCGGGATACGATCGACGCAGTCGCCCCAGCCTTTTTGACGGGAGAATATGGATAGGACGCCGAGTTGGGTGCCTACTACAAACTTTGTTGCACTAGAAATGAGCGTCAGCGCCTGTAAGATAATGAGACGAGGGTTTGTAAACGTACCCTCGTATTGGTAGAATTGAGAGTAGCTCGTCTTCTTGATCTTCGCTATGCGCGAACGGCTCGATCTTCTTAGCTCGTACATCCATGACGCTGAGCGTTCCATCTCCGCTACACCACTATCAGTCCCCACTTCCACAATACCATCGGCGAGAATAAACATACCTGGTTGCAACCAACTGCTTCTTATCCTCCAACCACAAGAAATCACTGACGAAGTCGAAGTGATGGGTATACTCCCGCGTCGGCTTGCTCGCGTCTGAGAGTATGCGCGGATCCCAGAGTTTGATGACACCGTCGTCGTCGCCAGTCGCGAGAAGTTGGGGTGTACAGTGTAGCATGCAGTTGATTGGGGCGCTAGGGTTGGCTGAACGTTATTGAGCTTGCACGGCTAGGGTGGGAACTGGGAGGAGGGACTGACTTGTGTGCCGAAGACAAGTTGGAGATCTGGGTCCCGGTTGTCGTATCTATCGTGCTAGGAGTATAATCAGTCGACGGGCGGACAAAATAAGGATATAGCGCGTACTGGATCGCCTTGGCCTTCCCCGCAGCGTACAACTTTCCACCATCGGGCGATAAAGCCAGAGCTCGTACAGAGCGTTTCGTCGGTCGGAGAGTGAAGCCAGCCGTCGAGTCTCCCGTAGCATCGTCATAGGCGAAAGAGTGGATCGAGCCAGTCAGATGCGCGGTGTAGACGACCGAGGAGGTAGGGTGAAACGCGAGATCGAATATCTGGCTTTTGACGGAGATATCCGGCATCTTTGCAAGTGACTTCGCTTCACTTCAAGACCAAACTATGTGACGGGAAGGCCGAGATGGTAAAGCGTACAACCAGAGAGTTGGTAGACGTCGAAGTCAAGTGAACTAACAAAGAAGCATGAACCTATCCGCAAAAATGATGGCGGGCCACGCTGATCGTGAGAAGGCATCGGGTCGCGCCGCGTTGAGCGTTCGGGCGCGGTGAGCAGGTCAGTCAAACCACCACTCATCCCCATAAACCTAGACTCGATGGCCTCCCGTCTCGTCGCCAACTCCATCAAGGCGTCCGGTGCGTACTTATGAATCCGGGTGGAATTTTACTGGAAAGAATGGGAAGACTGACCGGAGTTTTGTATCCGACAGCCGCACGCGCTGTGCGCCCGACGGCCGCGGCGGCGTTGCCCCAGCTTGTTCAGACGTGCGTGTTTTATCTGATTCGTATGGTCAAATACTGACGAAGACCTTTGCATATTATTTCCACCACACGACTGTTGCCGCCATTCCAACCTGCACTTTGAACTTGACACCATGCAGGCGCGCCATGTCCTCGCAGCCGCCAAACGAGAAGGCGTCTGAGCTCATCAACAAGCTCCCCTCTCAACCCGGCCTCGTCTCCAAGACTGGTACCGCCATCCTTGGCTCTGGTCTTATTGCCGCCGCTATCTCCCAGGAGCTTTACGTCTTCAACGAGGAGACCGTCATTCTCGCTGGCTATGCTATCTTGTTCGCGTACATTGGCAAGGTGAGATTCTGTCTTCAATACACGATGAAGCGTGTCGGAGTGTGCTGGAATTAGAAGCTGACACCCAGTCAACTGGGGCACGAGACGCGTTCGGGAGGTATTGAAAGCATGTGTGCTGACTTGCGTTTTGTAGACTCTCCAGGGCCCGTACAAGGAGTGGGCTGAGGGCCACGTCAACCGCATCAAGGGTATCCTCAACGGTGCCCGCGCTGAGCACACACAAGCCGTCAAGGACCGCATCAACAACGTCTCTGAGCTCAAGGACGTCGTTGCCCTGACTAAGGGCCTCTTCGCCGTCTCAAAGGAGACCGCACAGCTCGAGTCTGACGTCTTCGTTCAACGCCAGAAGGTTGCGCTCGCCAGCGAGGTCAAGGCCGTTCTCGACTCTTGGGTCCGCTACGAGCAGCAGGAGAAGGAGGCGGAGCAGGCACAGCTCGTCAAGAGCGTTATTGACAACGTCATGAAGACGCTTAACGAGGAGAAGACGCAGAAGGATGCGTTGGCATGGGCTGTGGCCGAGGTCGAGCGTGAGTTCTTTTCATTATGACAGCGAAGTTCGATGTCTGATTGGCGCGCGCAGAGCTTGTCAAGAGCAAGGCGATCTAAGTCTGCGGGAAAATGTAGTGCTGGCGCTAGGATAGATCATCTCCATGTGCTCGCGAACCTAGTATAAATCACACACTCGTGAACACTACCATACATATACCTCCAGTATTGTTGTGCCGAAAGCCGAACGTAGACGAAAGGAAGAGTGTGAAAGCGATGGCCGGCTGAACGCGTCGTTCGGGAAAGAACGCGACGCGACGTCAGTGTACGGTCACAGTGCCAGCTGCCGTGGCGACGCGACGCGCCTACGAACTTTTGCCTTAACACCAGCACGCGCTTCATGCCATTGCCCTGCTCTCAACTTCCATAACGCGTCTTTACTGCCCCTTCACGAACCTGCTCCTTTCTACGAAACCACATATATAAACGAAGAGACACGCGTATAAACTAGACTCCGTGCATTCGCGCCCATCATGGATAGCGACCTCATCAAACTCGTGAACAAGCTTCAGGATACTTTCAGTAACCTGGGTGCGTACCAGAGGCGTCTATGTCTTTATGAGGTCAGCGGACTAACTGGTGGCATCTAGGCGGGGAGCTGGACATGCCTCAACTGGTGGTCGTGAGTACTTGACGTGGTTGAAGGTAGACCCAATTGCTGAGCGCGTCCGCGTGCAGGTTGGCTCCCAGTCGGCCGGCAAGTCCAGTGTCCTAGAAAAGTATGCTCTCTCCAATTGCTCTACTGCCGTACTCTGAATATGTATAACCTCAGTATCGTCGGCCGCGACTTCCTCCCGCGAGGCCAGGGCATCGTCACGCGCCGACCACTCGTCCTCCAACTCATCCACAGCCCTAACGACGCCGAACACGGCCAATTCCTCCACCTCGACAAGCGCTTTACGGACTTTGGCGAGATCCGGAAAGAGATCGAGGCGGAGACGTTCAGGGTTGCGGGTCAGAATAAGGGCATTTCCAAGTTGCCGATTCATTTGAGGATATTCAGCCCGAATGTGTTGGATTTGACGTTGGTGGATTTGCCGGGGTTGACGAAGGTTTGTGGTTCTGACTGGTGGGTGGCGTGGAGGGAGAGCTGACGAGTTTCGTAGATCCCGGTGGGCGACCAGCCGAGTGATATCGAGAGGCAGATTCGAGGATTAGTGTTGGAGTATATCTCAAAACCCAACTCGTATGTACAATCTCGCCTCCGCCGTGCCCCCGGGCTCGAGTCCTTATGCTGAAACCATACGCTCACAGTGTTATCCTCGCTGTATCCGCTGCAAACGTCGATCTCGCCAACTCTGAATCCCTCAAGCTCGCGCGTTCTGTCGACCCGCAAGGTCGCCGCACAATTGGTGTCCTGACCAAACTCGACTTGATGGACGCCGGCACCAACGCTCTCGACGTCCTCACAGGCCGCGTCTACCCTCTCAAGCTGGGTTTCATCGGTGTCGTGAACCGCTCCCAGCAGGATATCAACGCCGAGAAGAACATGCAAGACGCACTCTCCGCCGAAGAGGAGTTCTTCCGCTCTCACCCGGCGTATAGGAATATCGCGCACAAAAACGGGACAAAGTACCTCGAGAAGCAGTTGAACAGCGTCCTGTTGAACCATATCCGGGATAAGCTGCCGGATATGAAGGCGAGGTTGAACACGCTCATGGGCCAGACGCAGCAAGAGCTGAACTCGTTCGGTGATGCCGCGATATACGAGGACGTTAACCAGGTACGACAACACTCAATGCTAGGACGACCCCGCGCAACCGCACTGACTCGCGACTTACAGCAAGGCGCGCTGATCTTGCGCCTCATGACGCAGTTCGCGCGCGACTTCGTGTCGTCTATCGAGGGCACCAATGTCGAAGTCAGCACGAAAGAGCTGAGCGGAGGCGCGAGGATATACTACATCTTCAACGACGTCTTCGGGCATGCGCTTGCGTCCATTGATGCGACGCACAATCTCGACAACCAGGATATCCGCACGGCGATCCGGAACAGCACCGGCCCGCGCCCATCACTCTTCGTGCCCGAATTGGCGTTCGACCTCCTCGTCAAGCCACAAATCCGTCTTCTCGAGGCACCGGCACTGCGCTGCGTAGAGTTGGTATACGAAGAGCTCGTCAAGATCTGCCACAACTGCACCGCGAGCGCCGAGCTACAACGCTTCCCACGCCTTCATGCTCAACTCATCGAGGTCGTCTCTGAGCTCCTCCGCGAACGCCTTGGTCCCACAAGCGACTACGCACAGTCTCTGATCCAGATTCAAGTGGCGTACATCAACGTCAACCACCCGGCGTTCATCGAGAACTCGGCTCGCGCGGCTACGCAGAGGATTCAGCAGCCTGCGAAGCCACCACCTAGGCCGTCGAGTGCGGAGCCGTCGCTTGGGAATGGAAGCGTCGTCAACGGTGATGATGGGGAGGGCAACGAGTTGGAGGAGCCCATGAGCGCACCTGGTTCAAGAGCGGTTTCAGGCGTACACGACAGACACTCCTCCCCCCGTAACTCGCTCGCCATTCCCACCGGCAGCGGTACCCTAAGCAAAGCGCGCGCCCTGCAACGTCCGGCATCGGCGCACCCTGCTGGCCCGTCGGGTTCACCCCCCGGTTCAGCTCGCGAGACGTTCTTGAACTACTTCTTTGGGCAGAATGGGCCGGGGCCTATCGCTGGGAGCTCGTTGGATCGCGCGGCTGCCGGTGGACCTGGAGTGGGGCATAGTGGAAGGGACTTGCAGGGTGCAGATGCGGGTGTTGGTGGGGGTTTGTTGACGCCGAAGAATAATGCGGCGTATGATATGAAGAGTCTGGGGAGGCATATCGAGGCGGTATGTTCATTCTATAATCACATCGCGAGGAAGGCAGAAACTGACTGAACGTTGTTTACGCAGACTGCGGCAGATGGCGGCGCGCACCTCTCCATGCGCGAGGACCTCGAGATCGCCCTCATTCGCTCTCTCATATCCGCGTACTTCGGCATCGTGCGAGAGTCTATCCAAGATCTCGTACCAAAAGCCATCATGCATCTCCTCGTCACCCATACCGCCCAGCACGTACAGAACAGGCTGGTAGCGGCATTGTACAAGCCCGATCTGTTCGGGGGACTGCTACACGAGGACGAGAGTATTGTTGCGGAGAGGGCGAGGGTCAAGGCGCTGTTGGATGCGTACAAGGATGCGTTCAGGACGCTCAGTGAGGTTGGGCTGAAGCATACGTAGAGAAGAGGGAGTACTGTAGATGATTGTTAATTGTTTCTGCATCGTGCGCTGTGATATGCTTTGGAATACACGGGTGCTTGGCCCTTCTGATTCTGCTTTTGCTCTTGGTGCGATGTGTTGGTAGAGCCAGACATTTGTGAGATGGGCCGACCGCGGGGGGAACAAAGCCGATAAAGGGCAAAAAGCCATGTGATCGCGTCATTCATATGTCAGGAGCGTGAGCTGCAGGACGAACTCGATGTTGCGGCTGATCATCATCATCATCATCGCGACGTCGAGCGCCTGAACGTAGGACTTTCGACAGGACTCGGTTGACACACATGGCAGTCTTGCACGATCTAGCGCCCGAGCTGGTAGACGTGATCTTGTTCTTCGTTCCACCTCGACAGCTCCCCGAAATCTGTCTGTGCAGCCGGTGGCTCAACGACCTCATCTCGCGCTCTTCTCTCGCACAATACCGCATCAAATGCACTGAAGTAGGCGTTCTCGAGGATATACTCCCCGGACCTTCCTACCCAGAACGATTGTCTGCTCTTCACCGATACCTAGAAGCATGGCGCACTCTTGAGGTGCAAAGACGCGTCGAGGTGCAGATACCATCTCTGTTGGCGATGTTGTACGACTTTACGGGCGGCCATCTGGCCTTGTTGGACTCGAACACAGCTCCTTACAGCTACGCAACGGTGAAACTGCCCAATGCGAGGGAGGGTGCGGGGAGGTGGACGCATACTGAAGTGCCATACGGGATACTGACTGAGTTCGCTTTCTCCGTCGAGGACCACGATCTGGCCGTCGCCCTGACGTAGTGTGTGCTCATACCGTTCTTGATGGAACTTTATACTTGTGCTGACAATATACAGCAGAGGTGGGCTTCAAGCGGATCCTCCTCAAACAAATGCTGCCGGTAGTGCAATCTGGGTACGATTTCACGCGGGAATATAGTTTGGTCGCTATCGCTCATCAATCGTCTCCGTATTTAGGTACTGCGGTTCGAGTTGCACTTGCACTCTTTGTCCGGCGGTGATGCGCATCCAGCCGCCATCTTGCCTATCGTCCCTGTATGCAACGCCTTCAGTTCCGCGACACTACCATCCGCGTCTGTCTTGGTAGCGGGCGAGTGTGTGCTCATCATGCTCGTCCATGAGGATCCGGAGCCATTCGACAACTCGGATGACGTCCTATACTCTGTACACTGGAAGACAGGTGCAGTTCACGAGGTACTGTCTAGATTCTGCTTTGCGTATCTTATAAGTCTCTGAATCACTGTATAGGTTGCGAGATTTCCGAGGAAGACTCACATGGGGCTCGTATTTCTACGCCACGATATCATACTGTTTTGCAACATGGAAACGAAGGCATTGGAGGCCTACGTGATCTCATTCGACCCACACACACCACAACTACCCATGTCGCTCGTCTTCTTATGCTCCTTGATCTTGCCCCTTCCTGGCGTCATCAATGGCTATCAGTGTCGCTCAGAGCCCAACGTGCAGTTCCCCACGACGAGTGCATCCGAGCACCAAACCCGTTACCGGCCCAAGATACGCAACGATCCCAAATATGCGCTCGTACACTTCAGCATTCAACACGATGCATCTGCGACTAAGCTCGTCGTGCACCGGCACAAGCTGCTCGCCGCAGCCCTCGTGCAACAGGGTAATCTCATGGTCCCATACGAGCAATGGGGCTGCAATATCTGTACATGGCTCGAGCACAGTATCGGTGGATGGATAACGAATGTCGACGCTCAGCGCGTGGTTAAAGTGGAACTAGCAGTTGGCGCCCATCCGGCCGGCGGTCCCTGGAATATCAATGTCTACGATTTCAATACTTCTACCGTGCGGCGTACCAAGGAGGAGCTCGGGGACGGACGAATGGCCACGCTTTGGAATGGAAGCATGATCGAGGTCCACGAAGGGACGAGCGTGCCGATGCCGCTGCCGGATGCGCCGGAGCATAGGCTCGAGTCGCGAGTGCCATGTGTTCAGACGACGTTGAAGGATGCTGTGCGCTATGTCGATGTCATGATCGATGGCGAAAGAATATTGGGACTATACCGAGGAACTGTACGTTGGTTTATCAATCTCTTCGATTGTGCTTCTGCTGATTGGGCTCTGACAGGCAGCTGACTCGAGATTTACCTTGTTAGAAGTACTGGCGTTTGCGTAGATGCGTCACGGGTGTTCTACGACTACGGCTGAATATCAGAACGAGACGGGCTCCGTAGCACAGTACACTACTTGGTTGCTCCGGTCTGTCTACAAGATCAGCTAAAACAACCTCGCGTCGTGATCTTATCATGAGGCCCTCTATAATATAGTGACTAACTCATGTGATCGTGTTCGGCGTCTGTCGTGATCTATCGCGACGACGCGTCCACCGCTGCGCACCTCTGTTTACAACCACCATCGGAGCCTGGCCTCAACACCGGAGCTGCATGCATTTCACATTGGGCGATGAATCTCACTCCACTTTGCGTACGAGTGCGACAAGTGCGAGACATTCGCAAATAAAACATTCGCAAATAAAATCGTAGTCAACTTGATTCCGGGCGCGGTCCCGTGCCATGAACTCGGAGCAATAATCGACGCGACTTCGGCGACGCGGCGCGACAGGTTGCTCTCGTACCACCACCATCACCTTACCCGCGTGATAGGATGTCGTTCCCCGACCATGGCTGCTCCGAGTGCGGATGACTCCTTCGACTACTTCGGCTCAGAGGACAGCGCGTTCTTGCAAGAACTCCGAGTCGCCGAATTACCGGGCGATGCCCCTACCCGCGATACCTCCAAACCTCTACTCCTTCGGCCCACGTCAGACTCATATACGAGAGATGTAACATGGGATGGTCCTCCTCTTGCCCAACCTAGTAAACGGCGCCGTCCCTCGGATACCCCTCTCCAATCCCCCTCTCACGACCCTCCGCCCGCGAAACGGCCACGGCACTTCAATATATCTATATTTGATGACATATCGAGCGATTTAGACTCTGATGACTCCTCTCCCACACGACCTCAAATCAAGGCCAAACCCATATCCGCTCACCCACGGCCACAAGCTACGAGCTCGAAAAACGACAAGCTCTCAGGCAAAGATACTCGCCAACCCGCTACCTTCGGTCGACTACAGACTAACGACGATGAATATCTTGGAGAAGAAATATACGGCGCGGCTCATTTCGGCGAGTTTGGCGAGTATATGCGGCGCAAACGAGCCAAGCTCCAGATTCAAAACACCGAGCTGGAAGAGGGTAGTGGGCGAAGCCAAATATTCAAGGACCTCTCTATCTATGTACGTCACATCACCCGTATCGGGAAGTCCGCGCTCATGCTCAGAATAGATCAATGGACATACGAAACCTTCAATACAAGACTTGCGCAAGCTCATTGTCGATCACGGCGGTGTCTTTCAACCCTACTTGGACAAGAAAGTATTAGTGTGAGCTCCTTCCTGCGGATCATGTCTGCTCATGTCTCATGAAATATCAGAACGCACATCGTCACCTGTTCGCTTACGCCTGCGAAGGTCCGCGAGTTTCAGCTCATGAAGGTCGTCCGACCAGAGTGGCTCGTAGATAGCGTGCAGAAGGGCTTCCTACTCAACTGGCGCGATTACATCTTCCAATCCGGCGGGCGAGTCGAAGGGTTTGCTCAGGGGCGCAATGTACAGTCGTCAATGCACGGGTTCGCTCCGCAACCAGCACGAGCGTCTGCGCGCACAGGTGTCGCCGGTCCGTCCAAGGTTCAAAACACCCTGTACGGCGTCCAAACCACCAGAGCTTCAACATCAAGACACCCTTACGGGGCTTCCAAGCGTGCTCGGGATCCTTCTCCTGATGCTGATTACGGATACGACGAATCGTGGGCTGGCGGCGATGGCGACGACTGGGAGCGCAGCTTCGACGCGGACGATGCACCGATGGCGCCCATTCCGCGGCGGCCTTTCCCTCGTATTCCTGTATTGGGTGTCAAGCCTGGTCCCTCCACTCGCACGAAGGAACCCCCTGTATATGCCAAAGGGCCTAACGAGCACGCGGCTCGCGCGATGCAAGACCCGGCCTGGCGGGCTGCTCACACCTCCGTGGCACCAGGCTTCATCGAGGGATACTATCGCAACTCACGCCTCCATTATCTGTCCACATGGAAGGCTGAGCTACGCGCGCTCGTTGCCGATGCGCAGGACCGCGCCGAGAGGGGGGACGTCCCTGGCGCTGATGCTCGCAAGGCCTCACAAGGACTCTCGATGCGAGGCGCGAAGTTTACGTCGCCCAAGGGGAAGGGCAAAGCACGCGAAGGTAACCAGCGCGTGATCATGCACGTTGACTTCGACGCCTTCTTTGTCAGCGTTGGACTTCTGAATCGGCCGGAGATGAGAGGAAAGCCTGTCGTCGTGTGCCATTCGCAGGGAGGTGGCGGTGGCGCGAGTAGTACAAGTGAGATTGCCAGTGCTAGCTACGAAGCTCGTAAGTTTGGGATCAAGAACGGCATGAGGTGCGTGGGCGACTTTCTCTCACTCTGTATGACGCTTAACGTGTTGCCAGTTTGCAGCAAGCGCGGAAGCTTTGTCCTCATATTGCTACGATACCATACGAATTCGAGAAGTGAGTAACATATTGTCTGACGTCCGGCCCTATACTCATGCGCTCTCCAGGTACAAGAAGCTCTCCTTGAAGTTCTACACCATCTTGATGTCGGTCGCGGACGACCTACAAGCCGTTTCGGTTGACGAGGCATTGATCGATGTCACTTCGGCTGTCGAGCAAATGGCTTCATCAAATCCTGCGAAGGACTTCGCTGAATCTATCCGGGAGCAAGTGAAGGAAACGACGGGGTGTACTGGTGAGTTCTCATGTTCTCAAGGCTGCGAATTTTGCTAATCATACATCGGCAGTGAGCATCGGGATCTCGCACAACATCATGATGGCTCGTCTTGCTACACGCAAGGCAAAGCCGGCCGGCTCCTTTCATCTGACTAAAGACGAGATTCCTACGCTCGTGGCGACGCTCGACATCAAGGATCTGCACGGTTTCGGTTCGGCGGCTTGTGACAAGGCGAAAGAAAGGCTCGGTTCGACGAACCTGGGAGAGCTCGCAATGCGCAGCAAGAGTGCTTTGTGCGATGCTCTCGGCAAGGGTACAGGAGAGACGCTCTGGAAAGCCATCCGCGGCATCGACGACCGGAAGCTCGAAAGTGATAAGCCTCGCAAGTCCGTCTCCTGTGAGATCAACGTGCGTACATAAGTTATAGTTTGTTGCCTGCTTCATGGACTGACTGGTATTGCAGTACGGGATACGCTTCGAGAATGAAGAGCAGGCAGAGCGCTTCATTCATCAGATGGCGGAAGAGGTTACTCGACGCATGAAGGCTATCGACAAGAAGGGCAGAGCATTGACGCTCAAAGTAATGCAACGCGACCCGGAGGCTCCTGTGGAAGCACCAAAGGTTTGTACATACTACGAAGTAACGTGCGGCGTGCTAATTTACGCATTCTAGTTCATGGGGCACGGAATCTGTATTACTCATAATAGACAGTCGCCGCTTTCCGGACCTCTAGGTCGTGCAACGGACGACCCTGCAATCATCGGAACCCTGGCGTGGAGGCTCTTAAAGTCCGTGAGAGTTGCTCCACAAGAACTTCGCGGCATCGGTATCCAGATTCAAAAGCTCGAGGACGATACCGTTGTTATCCCACGAGGACAGGGTCAAATACAGTTCCAAGCCAAAGACACGACCGTGCCCGCAAATCACGGACGTCTCAATGATGCCTTGGTCGCTGAACCGGATACACTGCCTACCCCTGCTGCAGCACAGGCTCCTCCGGCTCTTGATTTGCCCACCCTATCGCAACTGGATCAGTCTGTCTACAACGCGCTCCCCGACGACATTCGTGCTGAGCTCTCTTTGGAATACAAGCGCCGGTCTGTAACCCCCGCCGCCGGACCGGCCGCAGCCGGCGAGTATGTGGCGGGTCCTTCCAACGTTAACGTTGGCCTGGACGGTCCGAACCCCAACCTGGCGCGCATCGCGCGAGCGCTAGCACCGCAGGGAAAACCGAATGTTCCCGTGCAAAGACATTTATATAAACTCTTCGCTCGACCCGCTCCGAAGATCAGGATCCCTCCTCCGCGCGTCGACGAAGCGGAACTGATCGCGCTCGGTTTCGACCCCGTTGTCTTCGCTGAACTTCCGGTTAAGTTTCAACGTGATGTGCTCGCAGAAGCCCGTGGTAATGCCTTAAGGCTGTCGCAGCGTCCAGCCGAGGCCGTGAAGCCGTTGAAGGCACCGAAGAAGCTCGGCGAGAGGTTCAGATATGTTGATCCGTTCAACGAGATCATTCCGCCGCCACCACCTCCGTTCGCCGTTCACGTCGTATTGCCGACGCTACGCAAACCCAAGAAGAACGCCAAACAAGTTCAGGAAGACGCGCAAGCGCTTCTCGGCCAGTGGTTCAGCGGCTTCCAGGTGCACGTCCCGCACAGACGCGATGTTGGACACTTTGCGAAGTACCTCGCGCTCTGCGTAGAGAGCGATCTCGGCATTGAACAAGCCACGGCGCTCATGCGCTGGTGGGGCGTGCTTTTGCGCAGATCTTTCGGAATGTGGGAACACATGGAACGCGACGAAGAGGTTCTGGAGGTGCTGGAGGAATGGGTAGCGGGTAAAGTCACCTTCGCGGACATCCGTCCTAGTGAAGAGTTGATGGGTTGCACTTGGTGGAAGGCGTTCGATGAGATCAAGTGCAAGATGAACGAGGTTGCGCGCAAGCGTTTCGGTGGATCGCTCTCGTATAGATGATCGGTCCAGATCGTTTGATCTGGGTATACCCTTCTCATGGACTCATGGAATCGACATAGATTACTTTTCGTACATGTATTCTTAGCAACCCCTCTGTATTCCTACACGTATCTGTTACTTCTCCGCTTTGGCATTTTGGCATATCATTGGTCACACAAGCTCCTGTATCGCTATCAATCGCGAATCGAGACTCCCTTCACCTGTCTACGTTGACCTCGAGAAGCGCTCGAACCACGCGAACACCTCATTGAAGTGCATCAGTCTAGATTGAGGACCTGTCAGCAACATCTCCAGGGTACGAAATGATGATGCATACATGTTGTTTCTGTTGGTAAAGATATGCGACTCCTTCTCAAAGACAATGAGACGGCTGGGGATACCTCGTCTTCCAGGGCGCAATCTAGTCAGCCTCGCGTTTCGGCGCTTGGGGATTGAACGTACTGCTGTAGCGCGTTGAAAGTGGCAGTCCCCTCCGTAATAGGTACCCGGTAGTCTTGATCTCCGTGCATGACGAGCTGCGGTATCCGCCATCTATCCACGAACTTGTGCGGACTCAAAGCTTCATGAAGACTTCGAGCTTTCTTCTCCCACGGCCAGCCAAGCCAGTCATGCCGCATCTACACGATCATGTGAGTTGTTGAAGGTGGGATACCATGTCCAGGATGGCACACTCACAAAGAATAGTTCATCCATTGTATACGACAGGTACTCGGTGTTGAATATCCCGCACAAGCTCGCTACCGCCGCGAACTCCAGGCCCAGCGTAGCTGCTTGTCCTTGGAGCAAGTTAATCATATATCCGCCGTAACTCGCGCCGAATGCAAAAGCGCGTTTCGGGTCTATCTCCGAGTATGCTTTGAGAGCACCTTTGAACCCTTTCGCGATGTCGCGAAGTGGTGTTCCTCCCCAGTCGCCGGTCACGGCATCCGTGTACTCTAATGCGGGGTCAGTTTCTTTCAGATTAGATCTAACAATGATGCAAATCTGACCTTGTCCGAAGGATATGGACCCGGATGGGTTGATACAGACGACGAAGTAACCTTGTTCGGAGAATATCTGCGTATTAAAAGGGGCCGACCATGCATCGCCCCACACCCATTGCGGTCCTACCCCAGGTCGTTCAGCCCCACATGTACCCCTCAATAAGGCGACATGTACCTCCATGGATGAGTAATACTACCGGCCATTTTCTCTCTGGGGTCCAGTCCTTTGGCTTCAGCACGTAGCCATGTATCTTGCGTGAGTCGCCGTCGAACCAGAACTCCTCCATCTTGGAGTATTCACGCCGAGAGTCCTGTATATTGGCGGACGGATCGACTATGACCTGTTTTGTGAGAGTAGAAAGATCGGAGAGATCTTGTGGGACGCTGAGTAGATGGATGCTCCCGGGACTGGTGAGTGTCGTGTATGTGTAGGCCAATCGACTATCTGGTAGGGGACGAAGTCCGGTAGCCTCTCCAGTTTGTGTGAGCTGGATGGGAGTCGCCGTGTCCAGGCCAGCAGAAGACAACGAGAAAGCAAAGATCTTGACGCGCGCGGCATCAGGAGCCGTCAGATACAACTTGCTGGAGTCTGACGAGAACTTGTCAAGTCAGTCATAATCGTGATGAGATAGTGAGACAAGACGAACTACGATAGAGCTGGGTGAGCGATCCCATTCTCGTAATACTACCGATCGAGTTCCCGTCTCTATATTGTACAAGACAATCTGGTTCCTGATTCATGTAAGTCACGCAATGATATGTTCAATCGAGTTCGGAACAAGTACACACTTTGCGTCAAAAGTCGCATCACTTTCCTGCTCCAGCCATGCGACCAGTTGGCCGTCTGGGCTGAACACAGGGGTGAAGGCCCCGCCGTGCACACCGGATGTGAGCTCACGGGGAGGAGAGCGACCGTTGATATCAGTCACGAAGATCTGGACAGTATCAGTCTGCTGCAGGCGCTGGACAGAAGGGTGTTCGCTTGCATTCTTCTTGTATTGAACGGCCTCGCGAAGACTGGCGTCTTTTGTCGTATACACCACTTGCGAAGCCGAAACATCAAAGTCATTTCCAGGAGTGTCTTCGGACGGTACTTGCTGTAGATCCATTTCAGGATGAGGACATGTGCAATATAGGTGCGGGATGATGTACATGCGTCGTGCCTTTCAATAGGTCAGTATAGATACCGCCGAGCTCCCATTGTTCTCCACGCGCCAAGAGAGACGTGGTGAACAAGGAAGAACGCATAGGGCCAGTGTAGTGACTCCAATGCCGGACATATGATTGACCGTTGTACGCGCGAGCCGTATCTTTCCTGCCGTCCCAAGCGCGCTCCTGGGAGACAGCGGTTGCCAATTCGCTGTCTTGAAAGACTTGCGCCGTGAACACCAAGGTGTGCGCATCCGGAGAGTATCGGAAGTTTCCTGCGCTGTCTGTTGGTAGTCTTCCCACTAGCTCTCCGATCTCGTTCACAGTCGTCGCCACCTTCTCGTGCTGTCCACCACGTGCGACGGGACATGCATAGAGCGATGTTGTATGCTCAGATGCATCTGTGATAGGAATTACAAGTGTATCATCATCGTACCAGAAAGCATCGCCCGGATTTTGTAGACGAATCTCGTACAAGACTGCTTCGGACTCTGTCGGTGCACTGATCAATGAGATGCGCAAGAAGTTCAGCTCGCTGAATGAACAGTCACTACATTGATCATGACAAAAAGCATGACCAATACCTACGTATCTCTGTCATGAGACCAAACGGAGTATGGCAGGGCGAGCACTGTTCCAGCCGGGTTCGGAAGGCTGATGCCTACGGACGGCAGTTGAAGGAGATCCTTCGGCGTGAGCTTAGCGCGGCTTCGGTCAGTCTCCAGGCGACCATTGGCGTTCCGGGAGGAGAGAGGCGCCCTCGCTACAGCGTCTGGAAGTAAATCAGAGAAAAATTGCATCTAGACGTGCTGTACAGTACACCGGGATGACCGTTCGCGCTGAAACGCTTGCGCCATCGGTCAGCGTCGGCCCCGTCGCGGTGACTCCGTGACGTCACGGCTAGTAGTCCTGGCACACATTGGACGAACAAGGGTTTTGATTCTGACTATCACCACGGGTGCAGACCATGCGCTACTAGTAGCACACACGTCATGCGTGCATATCACATACGCATTTGTCCTACACCACAGCCTGCACTTTCTCGCTCACAACCTCACCCGTCTGATCGTTCTTTTCTGCCAACCTCGATCTGGCAGCATCTACCTACCCATACACCCAAGGACGCGGGTCGCCGCAAGAACAGAGCACCCCCTGAGACAAGACATCCTGACTATAGATTTGGTCGTCTCAGTGTAGATTGGGTTGACTTTGAGAATAATATGTCGTTCGCCCAAGCCACAAGAGGTATGTTGAACATCTAAGCGCACGAAAAGTCGCGTTGTACGACGGCACTGCACAGGGCCGGCGGTTGCATCATTCACGCCAATCCGTACGAAGTCCGGGACAGCAGACCTTCCAGAGGGCATCGTACGCGTCTTTCGCGAAACAGCACAGAGAGCGCCGGAGGAGCCGCGAAGTCCTTCAGCACAGAGCGAGCCCTTTGAGTCGCCCATAGCTTCCAGAGATGTTCTCCTCGAAGGTGCCGATGCAGATGGTGTCACGCTCGGTGTACTCGCCGTACCTGCTTGGATGACAGCATCAGACTTCCTGACATTCGTCGCGCCTGCTCAAGAGGGTATGGCACATCTACGCATGATTCGGTGCGCGGCTCTTTGTCTTACCTCCTCGATCTCGTTATCTGATAATAGCTCCAGGGACTCTCAAGAGAATCGGTCTTTAGTTCTCATCAACTTCCGCACAGCAGAGGCAGCGAAGGAATTTGCGGAGGAGTATAATGGACGCGCATTCAATTCACTCGAGGTAAGCGCCATCTCTATAGCAGTCGTATGCGACTTACGCAGCCTAGCCAGAAACTTGCCATGTTGTACGCGTCGCTTCAGTTCGCATTGATCCCACGGACTCCCTCGCTCAGAGCATCGCACGTCTCGGCAGTCAAGCACCGGTGTATGAGCTACCGACGTGTCCTGTCTGCCTCGAACGAATGGACTCCGCCGTGACGGGCCTGGTCTCAGTGCCCTGCTTACACACCTTTCACTGTGCATGTCTCAGCAAATGGGGTGGCGGACGCTGCCCTGTATGCCGCTACAGCCAGACACTGCAGGCATCGCATCCCACATCCTCTTCAACACGCACGAACGTGCCCATTCCCTTCGCGGATCCAACCAGTCCAGCGCTGTCGCGCTGTGTCGACTGCGGCTCTACGGGCAATCTATGGATCTGCTTGATATGCGGCAATATCGGATGCGGGCGCTACGGCCGAGCTCATGCTCACGCGCACTACCTCGCAACGTCGCATTTATATGCTCTAGAGCTAGAGACCCAGCGGACATGGGACTACGCGGCCGATACGTATGTGCACCGGCTCATACAGAACAAAGCGGACGGAAAGCTCGTGGAGTTACCCTCTGCGTCCATGGCCTCCACCATATCCGGTACCACGCAAGGCGGCGGGCCCAGCACGGCCGATGGTCTGACAGCCGAAAAGATAGAAGCCATAGGCATCGAGTACAGCTATCTTCTCTCAAACCAACTGGACACACAACGTGCCTTCTACGAGGATCAGATGAGAGCGCTGCGTACACAATTGGATGAGGTTCGCACTGCAGTCTCACGCCTGGAGAACGTGGCCGCGACTGCCGCTACTGCAACGGAGACAGCGAAGCGCGCTGCGGAGGAAGCAGAGGCCGCGAAGAGAGAACGGGATCGTTCTGAGCGTAAAGCTCAGAGATTGGCGGAAGCGGCGCGCGCTTTCGAGCGCGAGCTTAAAGGGGAGCGCGCGGTAAGCGCCGGACTCATGGAGAATCTTGAGGCTGCGAAGGCCAAGACGTTGGCAGCCGAAGAAGACAGGAACCTTCTAGTAAAGAAGGTTGCCGAATTAGAGGACCAAGTGCGCGACGTGATGTTCTTCCTAGAAGCTAGAGACAAGATTGAGGGCGGAGAAGGCGATGTAGCTGAGGCGGCAGGAGGGAGTTTGGAGATCGTCACGCCCCAATCTGATCAGAGGAGTACACCAGGGAAAAAGAAGAAGAAGCGTTGATCAGTACGCGCATAGTACAAGCGTGTAATCCAGATCCAATCATGAATAATAGTGTATGAAACCGCCGTCAGCGGGGAGGCCTTTTCCTAATTCGATGAAAGCCGCAACCAGCGCATCTCGCGTGGCACCCATCCTCAGGCCGCTATCCGTGGATCCGGTACTGTACTAGTAGAGGTTGGCACGGCACCTTACAAACAAACGGTGGTCGAGTTGGCTAGCGTTTCCTTGTACAGGCGTACAATACCATACAGGATAAGCATAGTAGCATAGTACGTAATAAGAGACATATACATCCTGATGCCAAGTTGGAATACACAAGTCCCATCCTCACGCCGTTTGAGATTGTTGACCGTCCGGTGATCCCTCGTCGTCATCATCGTCTTCAATGATCACGATCTCCGGTTCTCCTGTGTTGGCAAAGTGCGTGAGTGCAACCAGCTCCCTCTCCTCCTGCCGCATCTCCAAGATCAATGGCAGTCTGTCGACGATCCAACCCCACGCGGAGCTCGACCCAATGCTGCTTCCAGGGCTACCCGCATCGGCCATCGGTGCAATCGCGCTCTTCAAGCTCGTACCGGGGCGGAGGATCCGACTGAGGAAGCGTATTACTTCACCGCGACATCCCGTCAAGAGCGGAGAAGCATGCAGTTGCAGATGCATACGGGCCGGAAGAGCCGTTACAAGAACGGGGTACTTGACGTCTGCCGATGCGTTCGCGTAGAGCGCGAGACTGTGTATACGCGGGCAATGGGATGATATGTGGATCATGGAGAGCAATGTGAGTGCGGGAGTCCCTCTTGTACGGGGTGCAGGGTTTAGAACGAGCCTGCGAAGACCGGGTAGACGAGAGCACATGTAGCGCACATCTGCATCGCAAATGAGTAATGGCTGAGCGTGCACGACGCTGATGCGCTGTAAGTGATGTAAGGTTGCGAGTGGTCGTAACGTTTCGATTGTGAGCGGTTCGGCGTCCTCATCTTCGACCCAGAATATGCTGTCCTCCTCGGGAGTTGCACCCGGAGTGGATACGGGGCTTGCTGGAGGTGTCATCAATAGGAAGAAGTTGGTCAGAAGGCGGCATCTGTCAACGAGTTCTTTGATGATATCACGGGTGTCAGCTTCGCTCTCTGAGCGGATGCCTCGTATGACTAGCTCGGAGAGATTGCCAGTAGGGAAATGGGGGTCTGAGAATAAGTCGTGCAAGTCGGTCAGGCGACCACAGATAGACAATCGGCGCAACGCTGGAAAGGCGCCCTCTTCAAGCTCGGGGCGCAAGAGGGCGACGTCGTGCGGATCGCCAGCGTTGTCGGTAGAGTGTCTCAATTCTGAGAACTCGAGTGCAGCAATCTGGCTCGTCGAGAACATCGAGAGCACCGTGGATGTCAGAAAATATGGTGGCAACTTCAAGACTGCGAGCCGAGGGAGATGCGCAGGAAGTGCGCCTATGGCTTGTTCGTAGTTCCTCGCGCGGTGGCCCGCGTGCTGAGATGCTACGAGGGAGAGAGAAGTCAGACCTGGTGCGCCAGCAACCAGGTCTTCGAGGAAGTCTCCTAGAGTATGCCCTGACTTCTCAGTTGGCATGCTGGCGTTGAGGCTCGTGAGGCTGGGGGAAAGGAGCAGCGTCATGTACGCGTGGGGGAGATTCGTCGAGACGAGATCGACGTGCTGCAGGTTTGGGAAGATGCCCTCAGGCGGTCGCGTGACAGCGATGTCGGAAAGTACAGCGGTAAGGGATGCTTTGCATTTCGTTTCGCTGCGCGAGCTCACTTGAAGCACGCGCACGCGCGACGCGATAGGTGTGAAACGCCGCCAATCGGCTTTCGTAGGTATGCGCTCTATAGTCTGTGTATGGTTGAGTATATATCTAACGCATATGAACCGGTAACGCACGTGTCCATTTGACTGATGGGCCTTCCCAGGACAATGAACGGGGGCAAGTACCCGAAAAAGCTGACACGGCGTCTCCACAACGCGCCAGATATGGTCTTGCGCAGGGCCAAGCCAGGTCCTACAGACAAGCGCGAATCTGGCGATCTCCTTCCGAGTGCAAACTACGAATATACCATCCAGAAGTTCCGGCGTCGAGAGCACGCGCATGCGCGACATATTATCCATCCCGGTCATAGAGTGAGTGATGTCGATGCGAAGGGTTGAGCATGCCCCTGCACTATCGTCAGTGGCGTGCGCAATCTGCCATACTACGGGGCGTACTCGTTGAAAGCACTGGTACTGATGAGCCTCCAGATACTATTTTGAGAGGACGGGACAGCAAGCGCTCGGTGCACGCCTGAGACGATGGCGGTTGAAGCCAAGCAGCTTAAACACAAAAGACCGACTCGCGCGCGTCGTGTGGCCCGCCTCCATTCATGCTCTCACAGACGCGTTCTCAGTCCGCTCGTGGCGTTTTAAGATTCATATGCATATGTATACAGCGTACAAACAGTCTAATATCAATGACAACACGGAATGCGATCTATGTTAGAGAGTGCCCGGCGCCGATTCAGCCCGCGCGGGTGTAGGGGATTCAAGGCCAGACTCCAACCTCGGCCTCTTGCTGGAACGCGTGATGGGACCAGCTACCGTCCTGATTCCCGCGAGATCAACATCGGCGTCGCTGTCTTCGGCCTCCAATTGCTCCTCATCACCACGCCTACGCTTCCTCGTGCGTTGTTCGAAGACAAAATGGTCCTGTCCTGCGTCGTTGTCCCGCCAGCCGTCTGCTGTGAGCGCTTCGTTGAAGAAGTGCTCGACGTAGATAGCGGAACCGACACGTTCCTCCTCCAAGTCTTGGACCTCGTCTTCAACTACACCTTTGAGGGTGTAAAGAGGCGCGAAAAGATCACGGAGATCGGAGATGAGCTTCGCCAGCGGAGGGGGTATACGAGTCTCGAAGTCGTTAACGGCGTGGGCGATATGCTCGTTTGTCGGGTGATTGTCAGTGCCGAAAAGAAAATGTTTCTTGCGCTCCCCTCCTTTGGGCGTCGACTCGCCTTCCTCTTTCTTGTCGTCAAACAGGTAATGGACATAAGCTTGTACCTCCGCCCAGTCCATGTACGTTACTTGACGTTGTGGCATTGTTGGTCTGGGCCGCTTGCTCTGCTTGTTCGGTTTTGTCGACGGAGGTAGATTGAGTTTTGGAAGTGCCTTCGCCTGCGACTTGTGGGCAACGGGTGCCTCCAAGTGAGGGAGGCGATAATGGTAACGCAGAGTCTATGACATGATCAGAGTATGATTCCGGGAGTTCAGCGCGAGGCGAACGTACCGCATAAAGTAACAGCCACATAAACGATTCCAGGTCGTGGCGCAACGTATGCGTGGTACTCCTGGGGCTATCCAGAAGCTGTGCCGCGATGAACTGCCAAGTCCCCTATGGCACGCATTAGGAACAAGAGGGGCAGTAGAAAGGTGACGACTACTCACAGTCCTCCATGGAACGCGAGGCTCGTTCTTGTCCAGGTGTTTGCACATATCCCAGTCTATCAATAATCCACGCCCGTTTCTGATGAGTATGTTGTTGATACTAGCGCAACGTCAGGACACAGAAACTTCTTCATAATGGGGAGACAGTGAGACGCACCTGATATCCCTGTGCAGTATATCGCCGTCGTTGTAAGCGATGGTATGTGCTAAATGTGTGATTTAGCAGATAATACCAATGATGTGTGCGAAATGTGTACCTTTCAGCGCATCCGCCATCGCCTGAACGAGCTCCTTCGTATTCTTGAACGTCGTCAAAGGCCGACCGATGGTCTTGAAGACGATCCGATAATGCACGTAACGGTGAATATTGTAAGTGTGCGCGGCCCAGTCGGCACCGACGTGGTCTTGCGTCTCCGTCGCTTGTTTCTTGCCCTCCGAATCGCGGACATCCCCAGCGCACAAGACTTCAGGGATCAGACCCTCGATGCCCTCCAGCTTCGTAAGCTTAGCATATGTGTCGCCCTCCTTCTCAAAGCCATCCACGGCGATACGCCAGGCATCTTTCATCCAGCACACGGAATTGGTCTCCGGGTCGTAGGCGGGGAAGCTCAGGGTGTAGCGCCCTAGCGGTGAGAACGAATGCTGTACGGACGGCGCCACGATCAGCTCGCGCGCCGGCGGCGCCTCGCTCGGAGCACATGTGTACTCGTCCCATACGATGATCTTACGCAGTGGTGTCTCTGGCGTAATCACATAAGGCAACTCGTCCTCCGCGTTTGCAAACGCCTGGCGCGCCTTCAACACGACGTCGTCGTCTTGCGCGAGAGGTGTGACCGACGTATCGACGCCCGCCTTGCCAGTACCATCACCATCGAGAGCACGATCAAACCTCCAGAGGAACTCCGTAAAGAGGTCGCCTTTCGTGTAATCGAAGGCTTCCGTGACAATGACACCGCTGTGGTCGGTGCGCAAAAGGCGTGCTTGCAAGCCGAAGATCAGGACGGAGAAGGCATGCGTACAGTCCTGGTGCTGGAATTGATGTAGAGTGTACGACGAAAGTTGACCGCGAGCTTCAATCGCCTCCGCAGTCTGATGTTCAAAGCCTTCCTTCTTGCGCTCTTCGGACGTCTTCCCCGTTGGGTTCACGACGATATCGACCGCAGGAGGTTTGAGTTCGATGGGTAGACGAAGCGCTTCAAAGGAAGGCTTCGGTACAGACCCGGGCTTCGTACGGATGAAGGCGCTGATGTCGACCTTGCGATCAGCCCTCTCGCTCTCGGGAAAGGAATCGAGCATCGAGAGCGGAGTGTCGGACGTGTTTTGGAAGTGAAGGTTGCTGAGAACCTCCGAATCGTTGATAGCATCACACTAAACGAAGTCAGCGTAGTTCAGAATATCCGAAGGTCATCGAGCAACACACGATTTTGTCCTCTGCCGTCTTGCCGCGAACACGCTTCTTGAGCTTGAAGTCGGCTTCGCGCACGGCGATACTGATATTAGGACAGTTACGTTCCGTCTCGCAGGGCAAGAATCTCTTGAGGAATGTCATGACCGGCATCGGGCCCAAGAACATGCCGCGCATCTCCTTCGCGAGACTCTTGTACAAGGGCTTGGCCCGTATGAAAGCGCGGCCAGAGTGGTTGCGCATGTAACCAGAAAGCTTGAGACGTTGAGGAGTAGACTCAGAACCGGTAAGAGTACGATCGGGTAGAGCAAGCTCTGGGTCGTCGGTATTCGTGGAGGTGACCTTAGTGAAGGGCGGAGGCGCCATGGTCAGCGCGGCGGGTGGGAGGAGAAAGCGAAGTGCGAACCTGGCAAACGCGTGTTCTTAAGGAATCTCAAGAGTGGTTGCCAAGCACGTGTAAGCCTTCTGACTCGGACGAGAAGCGTTAGGAGGCTGTGGGAGATGGTATGGTTGGTGTTTGGTGGTTGGTGGCAAGTTCGACTTGATGGTGGTTTGATGTGACCGCCATGCAGGTAACGCGCCTCGTGTTGCCATGTGATCGCGTTTCTCCCACGCCCGATTAGATCATGATGAGGCGAGCGAGAAAGGGTGACGTTCCAAGCATTTGAATAACATGATAGAAGGAAAAAAGAAGAGGAGAGTATACATTGTCAAGAACGCAGAGAGAGATGAAATCTCCGGGAGCAGATGCAGCGAGCGAGAGATCTAGCGTCTCAAACTGAGGCGGAGAGCGTGCCTGAGGCAAATACGCCGCGGGAAAGGGGAGGAATCAGATTAGATTGCGCGCGGCGCTTGGCAAATCAACAACGGGAGAACGCACCTCATGATATCAACCAACCGAACACCGGCCTATATAGCATGGGGACGGGTCCAGATCGTGATGCCCTCCCCATGGTCGTCGTATGATGTCGCGCGGGCACGGGGCACGATTGGTCGTCGTGTGTGGTGGTGAGAGATGAGAGGATGAGGTGGGTGGTGCGTTTCGGGTGGAAGAGAAGAGTGTATGTGAGTTTGGAAAAAGGGCGGGGTGCGTCCGGGGTGTTACCCATTCTTGGAGATGTACTTAGACATGATCGGGCAGGAAAAGCATATGCTCTTTCATGTTGTGCTTGTCGTAGGATAGTAAAGCTGTCATCGAGATACCCAATGGAACCGCCGAAGCGCAAACACATCTGCTTAGTAGTGCCGCGGTGCCGGGTCGCATGGCCATCTCATTTGTACATCAGCGGAAAGTAGTCTCGCACTCTTTAGCACCGCGTGAGGCAAAGTACTAAGGTGTCTTATAGGTACACAGGCAGTCAATACAAATGAATACTAAATAACATACGCCCATGCATCCGAGACTTAAGCAAGACTCCACTGAGGTAAACAAGAGGTTAACGCGGAAGTCCGTTCGATCCTAATGCCGTAGGTGCAGATTGAATATGACTACTACGTGGCCCTGAGCCCTCACCAACAGAAAGCGCCACCCTTTTTGAGCGGCGCAGTAGCGCTGCAACACCGGTAGACCTGGCTTTGAGCGCCTCCGGCTCGCAGTCGTCGTACTCATCCTCTTCCCGCTCCCTTTTCGGCACACGAGAGCTCTCAGGCTGGCGCGACGGGCTCTTGAAGACGAAGTGGTCAGGCTCCGCAGCGTCATCGTCGAGCCAGCCTCCACTCTGCAAGGCCTGGTTGAAGTAAGCTGCGAAGAGCTTGGAGTTCTTGAAGGCGTTTTGCGCATAGGCCACGTCGTTATCTTTGTACACCGGTCTAAAGAGTTGGCGAAGGTTGGCAACCAGTTGCGCAAGAGGAGGCGGCATCCGTCGCCCGGCGTCGTCCACGGCGCGTCCAATCTGTGCGTCGCTTGGATGGTCCGGTCGGTCGGGACCTCCGCATATGAAATCCCTTTTCCTAACTCCGCCTGTCGGGACCGCCTTGCCTCGTACAGTGGAGTCGTCGAAGAGATAGTGGACATAAGCTTGAAGCTGGGACCAGTCCATATGTGAGCCCGATCCCGCTGCAGCCGGAGGATCGAAATCGTCGTCGTCATCGTTCTCAGACGAAGCGTCATCGTAGAGAGAGTCAACGAAGCCTTCGTTGATGGTGGGAAGTGCGTTCTGAGCACCGGGATCCTCACGATCGCTGTCCAAGCTTGGAAGTCTATAATGATAACGCAAGACCTGCGGATATTGTTAGGCGATAGCGAAAAGGAGTCAGTCGTAATACACACCACATAGAGCAGGAGCCAGAATATGGACTCGAGATCGTCGCGAAGCCGGTGCGTCGTGTCGTTTGGCTTCATGAGGAGCTCGACGGAAATGAATTGCCATGTCCCCTGTGTATCAATGAGATTGACTTCACAGTAAGGTGATGACGAGACGTACAGTCCTCCAAGGCCGGCGAGGGGATTTTGTGGCGTCCGTGCGTTTACACATGTCCCAGTCAATAAGTAGACCACGCCCATCCTTCCCTATGAGAACGTTCCCAATCGAGATATCCCGATGTAAGATCTTGCCAAACTTGTACGCGATGTAGTGAGCTGAATGAAGTTGCGTCAATCACAGTTACTGGTACATACAAGGTGTGAGTAACGCACCGTCCAACACGTCTTTGAGCACCTGAATGAGTTCGCGAGTGTTCTTGAACGTCGTGAGCGGCCGACCGATGGTCTTGAAGACGATGCGGAAGTGAACGTAGCGGTGCACGTTCTCCGCGAGAGCGGCCCACGGCTGTCCCAGATAGTCCTGTGTCCGCGTCACCCGAATCTCGCCCTTCTCGTCGCGGACGTCTCCTGCACACAAGATCTCCGGTATATGGCGCCCCATGCCGTTGAGCTTAGCTAGCGTCGCATACGTCTCGCTCTCCTTCTCAAACCCCGGTTCGTCCAACCTCCAAGCCTCCTTCACCCAGCATACAGACTCCGACTCCAGGTCGTAAGCAGGATAGCACATAGTGAAGCGTCCGACCGGAGAGTTCGAATGGTGATGAGCAGGGGCGGCGATGAGCGCGCGCTTCTGCGGTATGTCGCCGGGCGCCGTCACCGTGGAATCGTCCCAAACATACACTTTCCTGAGCGGAGTTTCGTCGGTGAGAGGATATGGGATCTGCTCTTTCTCGACAGCGAAGGCCGCGCGGGCCCCTTCTACGTTCTCGGAGTCGTCCTTCTGCAGGGGAACAACAGACGTGTCGACACCTTCGTCGAGGCCAGCGTCGCAATCGAAGGAGCGGTCCAGCCGCCACAGGATCTCGGTGAGCGTGGACCCGGTTGTCCAGTCAAAGCGCTCGCTGACAAGAACGCCGCTGTGGTCGAACCGAAGCAGACGTGCCTCAAGACCAATGAAGACAAGAGACCATACATGCGATCGCTCTTGATGCTGGAAGTGTTGAAGAGCGTAGTGTGCCAGCTGTCCACGCGCGCGGATAGCGGCCAGAACCTGGTGCTCAAAGCCTTCGGTTTGGCGCTCTTCAGGCGTAGTGCCCCGGGGGTCTACCACAATGTCCTGAGACTCCAGCTTCAGCTCAACTGCGAGGCGCAGATTGGAAAAGCTGGGGATGATCTTCGATGGGTCGACGTCGCTAGACGAGCGATAAACAGCCGAGATGTCGACCTTGCGGTCCGCAGCCTCCGGCACGCCCTGCGATAGACGGAGGACCGTGTTATGAGTATCTATGAAGTATAGGTGCTTCAAAACGCCGGACCCGTTGATCGCTTTACACTGCCAAAGAATCAGCTACCTGATAGATATGGCAGAAGTGGTAGGCACTCACGATAAGGTCCTCAAGAGCCGGGCGGAAGGGAGCATCGAAGTGGTGGGCGGTGACGCGTATATTGATATCAGCGCATGTGCGCTTCTCCTCGCAGGGCAAATGTTCGGATAGCATATCCACCACTGGCATAGGACCTAAGAACTGGCCGCGCATCTCGTTAGAAAGTTGATCGTATAGGTCGTCGGCCAAAGATATTTCCGGGTCTGAGAGGTTCGGCACAATGCTTTGCAATTTGAGAAGAACGGGAGTTGACTTTGAGACACCCTTCACAGATCCAAGGTTGGTGTGCTCGGGGCGTTTCGCCGTGGTGGAGGTCGTTCTGGCACGACCCATGGTGAGCGAAGGGAAGATGGCGACAGGGAAGCAACGTCAGGCAAACCTTTTATACGCCTCTTCGTGATTGATGTCGCGTGCAGAAAAGCAAGCACGTGTAGGAATTGAATCGTCTGGTTGGTGGTTGGTGGTTGGTGGCAAGTTCGACTTGATGGTGGTTGAACGTGACCGCCGTGCAGGTAACGCGCCTCGTGTTGGCATGTGATCGCGTATTTCCCACGCTCTGCGCCACCTCTGCAACCATTGCCAACATCGGAGTTCGCTTGCGGGATGAGCCGCGTTCAGAGAGATGCCTTGGTTCATTATCACAAGTTGTTCTCACTGATTGCATTGACTCAAGTCCCACAACAACACCGGTCATCTCTCCGATCTCAGCGCCAGCGCTATGTAGGTCCCCCCAATCTTGCGCCACAGCAAAAGGCATAGAGCAGAAATATACGACACTGCGAAGGTACTTTATAACTGAGGCATCTACATACTAATAGAGTCGCAACAAGCACAGCACGGTCCTCCGTATGGGTTTACAGTAATGACGGCGAATACTCCAACACCGCCTTAGGACCCTTCTCCGAGTACTCCGATTTGTTGACGAAGTTCTTTCCATCATGGAATGTGATCTAGAATTGCCACTTAAGTATCCTCGACTGGCAAAGCGAAAGAAAAAAGTACAGACCTTGGCGACAATGCTGGCTCCGAGGAACGCGGCGAGACCATCACCGCGATCGCGGAACTCGGCGAAGTAATCTGGCACGCGCACTGTGCGCGCTTGAACGGGCTGCACGTCGTTCATCTGTGCATTCTCCTGGTTTGAGAGCATGTATGGGGCCAGACGCGCCGTCAGTGTGGTACCAAGGCCTGTGGTGGAACGAGGTAAGTTCGTGCTAGGCGCTGAAGATAAGAAATCACCAACCCTTCACGTGCGAAGCAATATCGCCTGTGACCAGTAGCCCAGAGTAGATATCGCGACGCTGGTCGACTTCGCACTCTCGTACAGCGTGTACGACGGCTTGTGGTATCGTCATCAACATCCCCTTATCCACCACAGCTTCCCGTTCGCCCATGGCAACCAATAGGCCCGCATCGAATAGTGGCTCGCAGAAGCGATGCCTCTCCCGACCAAGTGTAAGCTCGACTCCGCGGAACCTCGTAGTCACAAGGTCGAGCGCCTCAATCTCCCTTGCGCGTGCCTGCTCCTCCTTCGTCTGCTTCGCTGTCGCCTTCTTCTTCATCCCGCTCTCGATCACCGCACGCTCCTTTCCGGCAACGACGACGGCTGCTATGTCCGTCACACCTTCATCCTCCGGAGCGGGCTGATCCACGGCCCCAGGTGCGCGAACAAGTCCAGAACGCCATGCATGAGCGGCGAGCTCTTCAAGCGCCGCTTGACGCGCGGGTCCTTGGATGCCCAAACCATCCAACGCTTGCGCTACGCTTGTGTTCCCACCCAAAAGCGGTACAAGGTATCGCGCGCACATCTCCGTCCCAAGCGGAATAGTGATCCGCGCATTATTGATCGGAAGGCCGTCGTAAAACGGCGTGATATCAGTGTGCGAACGACCGATGTCAACGGCGACACCCGCCAGTGCATTCGCGGCGTATAGCTGTGCTGTCGGGCGCTCAAGGATTGAGAAGCCAGCTACGTTCAGGCGCTCGAAGAATATTTGGCAGGTATGTTCATATGTTTCGCGGCTTAAGCCTGGAAAGAGGGTAAGGAGAACGGGTGATTCATTTTGGGCGCGTCGCAGGCCAAGACCGTTGAAGAGGACGTGTTTCCTAAATGAGCGTCGGTTATGGCGGTATCCACGAGAGAGCAGAGTTAAGATGACTTACCATAATGCTTCTGCCTGGGTCCAGTCACTCACTGTACCGTCTGCAAATGGCCAATATACAGCGATATCCTGTCCAGCCGCAAGTGCTTCATCGAGCGCGGTGCCGACAATATAATCGTTGACCCTGGCACCCGGAGTCGGCCCTTGGGTAGCCGCGCGACTTGTTGAAGCAGCGGGAGTGCCCTCATTTGCCTGCCCAGAATTGGCGCGAGACATTGGAGGTGCCGCTAGACCGTGTGCATGCCCATGGCGCAAGCCAACGCGCGCTTGAATTTCCTGCACATTTTATATAGAGGATTCAACAGTGTTTGTATGAGAGCAGCGTACAATAGATGGGACATGCAACAGGTCTCCAAGTCCGAGTACACCTTTGACAGAATCGCGAGAGGTATCAAGAATGACGACAGATGAATCCCGGAAAGTGACCATGGTCGGAGGAAATGAACGACAGGTCGCGTTCGACGCGTTCGAACAGACGCGCCGACGCGGTCACGCTCCTTGACAGCAACTCCCACAAGAGTGGTTCGATGCAATATTATTGTTGTGAAGCTACTTTGGCTCTTACCGTCATCTGCTATGTGGCACCCGCTTGATATTCCGGAGGATGCGAGCAAGCCGTGGACTGACTATTCGCGCTGGCGAATGCAGGACACGCGGGATGGCGCCCACATCTGGGAGTACTTACGCACCGACGAACAGGTACAGGCCTGGCCGCAAACTGACGCGGACAAGTACTGGACAGGGCAAGCCCTGGTAGGCATCATACACACGGGCTTTCATGGCCTCGTAACTGAAACGCATGCATCAGAACCTGCCTTCCCTACCGAAAGCACGTACTCCATTGGACGCCGCTCGTAATGGGTACGACTTCTATAAGCACCTCCAAGCAAACGACGGACATTGGGCTGGCGAGTATGGAGGACCGATGTTCCTTGTGCCCGGTCTCGTCATTGGCTCTTACGTCTCCGGCATGAGTTTCAAAGACGAGGAGCGCCTCGAGATGATCCGTTACCTCTTCAATCATGCCAACGAGGACGGTGGCTGGGGCTTGTAAGCACGAGCCAGGTGACGTCGGGATGGTGCTACGTGCTTATGAATAGCTGGTAGACACATTGAAGGGCCTTCGACATGCTTCGGGACGAGCCTGAACTACATCGCGTTGAGATTGCTTGGATGCCCTGCAGAGCACCCAGTCACGATCAAGGCGCGTGCATGCCTGCATTCGATGGGTTTGTCACCGTCACCAGTACCCCGACGATCCTTGACTAATAGACTCTGTACAGGTGGCGCGGTAGCTTCTCCATCGTGGGGCAAGTTCTGGATGTCGATCCTTAACGTCTATGACTGGGATGGCAACAACCCGATTCCGGCAGAAGCATTGTGAGTGTGTCTCACTGCCCGTGCCCACATACTTTGAACCGACATGCTTCCTTAGACTACTACCCTATTGGCTGCCCGTGCATCCCGGTCGGTGGTGGGTTCACTGCCGTATTGTCTTCATCCCGATGAGCTATCTCTACGGGGTGCGATTCACAGCACCTGAAGACCCTCTCATTCTCTCACTAAGAGAGGTGAGTTCTCACATGGCCTACTCACGAGACAGAAAACGCTAACAGCGAAACAGGAACTATATGTCCAACCATACGCCTCGATTGACTGGCCCGCTCAGCGTAACAACTTCTACCATGTGGACCTCTACTACCCCCACTCCAAATTGATGGACCTCATCAACCTCTTCCTCGGCGCCTACGAATCTAATTGTCCCTTCCCGCCCTTGAAACGGGCTGCATTAGCGCGCGCCTACGAGCTCGTCGTAATGGAAGACGAAAACACGGGTTACCAGACCATCGGCCCAGTCAGCAAGATGATGAATCTCGTTGCTCGGGTACACGCCGAGGGCCGCGAGAGCGACGCGTTCAAGATACACGAGAAGAAGCGCGCGGACTTCCTGTGGCTAGGCGCCGAGGGCCTGATGATGTGTGGCACGAACGGCTCGCAGCTCTGGGATATCGGCTTCGCGACGCAGGCGCTTGTCGAGACCGGGCTCGCGGAATTGCCTGAGAACCGCGACAGTTTGGTGAAGGCGCTTGAGTGGCTCGATCAATGTCAGATTCGCGAGAACCCGAAACATTATGAGAGCAACTTCCGGCATAGGTCGAAGGGCGCTTGGCCATTCAGTACGCGTGAGCAGGGATTCACTGTGAGCGACTGTACAGGCGAGGGTCTCAAAGCCGTTCTTTACCTTCAAAACCAGCTTGAGTACGTGTCCGCCTTTCAGCGCCTCTCATCAAAGGGTATCTCATGTTTTTCGCCGCAGTTTTACGCCAAAACTTGTCTCGGAGGAGCGCATGCGCGACGCGGTCGACACGCTGCTGAGCATGCAGAACCCTGATGGCGGCTACGCGAGCTACGAACCGGCGCGTGGATCACCTTGGCTCGAGTACCTCAACCCCGCCGAGGTCTTCGGTTCGTCTTTTTTGCCACTGGTCATGAGATGCACGACACCAATATCTCCTTAGGCAAGATCATGATTGATTACAACTACGCGGAATGCACGACAAGCGTGATTACTTCTCTCTCAATCTTCAGGAAACACTACCCTCACTACCGAGCCTCTGAGATTGAGTGCGTTTGTCTCATCCTTTCTTGCGCTCTGAGCTGATTGTGGGCATGAAATCAGCAAAACTATCACATCGGCCGTGTCGTTCATTAAGCGCATCCAAAAGCCCGAAGGAGGGTGGTACGGGTCATGGGGTATCTCGTTCACCTACGCGACAATGTTCGCTTGCGAGTCTCTCCAGCTAGTTGGCGAGACATACACCAACTCAACATGTGCGCGCCGAGCGTGCGACTTCTTGTTGAGCCATCAAAGAGAAGACGGAGGCTGGGGAGAGAGCTTCAAGACCTGCGAGCTGGAGGCTTGGGTCGAGCATGAGCAGACCCAGGTAGTTCAGACGTGCTGGGCTGCGCTTGCACTGATGAATGCGGAGTACCCGCATCCGGAGCCCATCGCTAAAGCCGTGAAGCTCGTGATGAGTCGTCAATTACCGGTACGTTAATGTCTACCCATCTTTCTTTGATATTTTTGCACGCATCAGTGATTGGTCTGACTTTGTTGATTGTAGGACGGTAGCTGGCCGCAAGAGGCCATCGAAGGCATCTTCAATAACTCCTGCGCAATCTCGTACCCCAACTTCAAGTTTGCGTTTACGATCTGGATGCTCGGGCGTGCGCACAAGTATTTGAAGGCACGAGATGCGCTGAACCGTGTTAACGCTTGATGGGAGGTGCACCGCACGGTAACGGGGATGAGCGTGTCCGCGCTGAGGTGGAGAAGTTAGACCGTAAGTAGTCATAGTGCTTGAATCTAATGCCGTTGGGACAGTGCATGATCTAGACAGAGACCTGCTGCCCAAGCCTATCTACGCGTGAACTTCACCTCGCACAATCTGTACCTATCGGAGAGCCGGGCGGCGTCTTCTTGCAGTGTATACGCTGATATCGACCTGTGCCCTCCTTCGAAACAGGGACTTCGAAGCAGTTTGGGCGCACCGGGTCCATCGGTATACATGGTCCGATCCTACATGTCTTCTTGTCCGGATCTTCGAAGGCATCTTTCAATCCGGCTTTTACTCAGCCTCGGAAGTTCCCCACATCCCCAGAACCCTACGCGCTTCTCCTGTCCCCAGATGATAGGTACGGCAGGCCTTCCGCACGTCCCCCATGGGACCCAGCGCCCAGCGAGAAGCCGCAGTTGGTTCTCGCGCGGAGGCCCGCATCTGGGGATGAGAGATGAAAGATACACGCGACCCTCGACGTACATCTTTCAGCCGGAGGATGCTAACATCAGAATTCCTGATTTTACAAATGAAGAGGCACAGAGGAAAACCGGAAGCATGTTTTCGCGGATGCTGCCGTGCCGATGTGGAGGTCGATACCACAGGCAAGAGTTCTCCCTGGTCGTTGCCTATATCATCGCTGATATACCTCTTTAGTGTAGTAGTTTCACTATAGTACTGAAGCACCGTCTACCTATATCCGGATGTTTCATAGTCGTGCTACAAGGATAGTACGTACCACGCGCGCTTCGCGATGAGACAGTCCGGAACCTCGCGCCGAACTTCACCGTCGTCTCCGTGCGGCGCTTGATCCGCATCCGCCCCGGGCACGGACGCTGACTTTTCTGCGTGTGCTCGTCATCCGCCGGCACTTTTGGTCAAGCTTTTTCAACCCAGGGTTGCGCGCCTTCTGCGTTATCTACACTATCCTTACCGAGCTCAAAGCAGGAGCAGGGTATAGGGATGTCTGTACGTCGATGTTCCAGTCGCGGCCATCTCCACAGTTCACTCAGCGCTTCTTCCTCTTCTGCATGCAGCTTCTTCTTGGGCCTTGCGTTCGGTAACGAACATGATCGGGCGGTGGAGCCGGTGACGTCTCACCTGCGGTTTACGGCGCCCGGAGCCAACCACCCGATACTTTTCTCGCTGCTGGGCCGACGGTAAGAAATATATTGCCCCACAGGTCCTCCAGTTTAAAAGGCCCTTAGCCTGCCCGCATGATCACCTCGTACCTCTCCCCGGGTCTGCTGACTGCTCCTCCGCCCCTTGTCTTTCCCTCGGCATCCCAAGATGGAAAAGGACTTGAGCACGCTTAAGCCCGACGCGGCGGCAGATCACCACGCTATCACGCCCACTACGCGCTCCTCCTTGTCTGACCCCGCCGAGATCGACAAGACGACCCTTGTCAGCCGCTTCAACCGCTCCATCTCTTACTCCAAAGCACGAGGCGACGGCAAAATCGAGCTCAAGGAGACAGATTGCTATGAAGTTACGGGTTACAGCTACGCGACATGGAAGAAGTGGTGGATTCTCTCGTGTGTATAATTTCTTCGTGCACTATCGCGGTGTACTCACCTATTGTCTTTAGCGTCGTGTTTGCCGTTCAGGTCTCCATGAACCTGAACGCGAGTCTGTACTCGAATGCAGTCTCAGGCATTGAAGAGCGCTTCAGCGTCTCCAACGCTGCCGCGCGCGTTGGCCAGATGATTTTCCTTGTCGCTTACGCGTTCGGATGTGAGCTCTGGGCACCATGGTCCGAAGAGTACGGCCGTTGGCCCATCATGCAGCTCTCGTTGCTCTTCGTGAATAGTGAGCGTCTATACCGGTCGCCGGTTGACATATCGCTGATCTCGTCTCCAGTCTGGGCTATCCCTTGCGCCGTTGCGCAAAACTACGGGACTATCATCGTCTCGCGCTTCTTCGGCGGTATCTGCAGCGCCGGTGGTGGTGTCACCCTTGGTGTCGTCGCTGACTTGTTTGAGCCTGAGAACCAGCAATGGTACGTGGGAACTTCAATCCGGGGTTGCGCCACTCGCTAACCCGACCTTGCAGGGCTGTTGCGTTTGTTGTGCTTTCGTCCGTCGGCGGTTCTGCAGTCGGTCCTATCATCGGTGGCTTCATCGAACACAACCTCGACTGGAGGGTACGTACTTGCTATCCATGCCATCGAACCACTCGTGTGCTTACACGTTTCTTGCAGTGGAACTTCTGGATTCAGCTCATCATCGGCGGTTCCGTGCAGATCGCCCACTTCTTTACCCCTGAGACGCGCTCGTCGGTCCTTGTCACCCGTGAGGCTAAGCGCCGCCGCAAGGAGGGCGAGACGCTTCTATACAGCTCCAAGGAACTCGAGGGCAGCGTTCTCAGCGTGAAGTTCGTTCTGACGACATGGGCACGCCCCTTCGTGATGTTCGTTACCGAGCCTATCGTGCTCTGCCTATCGTTGCTCAGCGGTTTCTCGGATGCGTTGATCTTCATCTTCTTGGAGGGCTTCGGACCCGTGTTCGCGCAGTGGGGCTTCAACGACATCACCACTGGCCTCGCCTTTGTCCCGTGAGTTCATTATGCTTGATCTTCGCTGCCTTTCAAGTACTGACCGATTCTACCCAGGATCATGATCGGCTACTTCCTGGCTTACTTCATGTTCCTCGTTGTCATCTGGCGCGACATCCGGGTCAAGCGTGCCCACCCCGAGAAGTTCACCCCCGAGTCCCGCCTCTGGTTCTTACTGTTCAGTACGTTAACCCTTCAATTCACGCGTACCCCAGATCCTGATAAACGTGTAGCTGCGCCTCTTGAGCCGATTGGTCTCTTCGGCTTCGCATGGACAAGCCAAGGCCCTCCCACGACCCACTGGATTGCACCCATGATCTTCTCCTCGCTCATCGGTATCGCCAACTACGCGATCTACATGGCCACCATCGACTACATGGTTGCCGCATACGGCCCTTACGCGTCATCAGCAACAGGTGGTAACGGCTTTGCCCGTGACTTCCTTGCTGGTATCGCCGCGATGTACGCGACCCCGATGTACACCAACATTCCCGGCAAGCCGCTCGAGTACGCCTCGACGATCCTCGCTTGCATCGGTGTGCTCGTCTGCATCCCCGTTTACGTCTTCTACTTCAACGGCCCGTACTTCCGCGAGCGCTCCAAGTTCGCGTTATCGCTCGCGGCCGAGCGCGAAGAGCACAAGCACATCGTCGAAGAGGTTCAGCGCAAGGCCACACGCGGCGATGTCGAGCAGATCGAGGACATTAGGGAGAAGGCATGATCTTCTGCCGGGTGACTTTCTCATGACCGCACGACTATGTCCCCTTTCGGATATTCATGACATGGATGTATACCTCCACTTCGGTGTTGTAATCGGTATACCTGTATTACTAGATACGCTTCGCTCCTGTAGAGCAGCCTTGATACTATTAGAGGCGCGTTTTGTCTCCTACATCCAAAATATATGTTTCTTCTAGAGCTCATGCAAGGTGTGTTGAGCGACTCGGAACCTGTACATGTTGTACGGATGTTGCGTCGGCAATACTGAGTCTCGTGCGCTTTCATGAGGACCTATAGATGGAATAGATGCAGCAAGTAAACGACAAAGTGTAGCATGTGTCATGGTACCAGCCATAGCGAACATCGTAACCTAGCATAAGTAAGCATCCACGCTTTCTCCAGTCCGCATCCGCGACCAGGTAATATCATATCCGAGCACTGTCCGTTCATCAAATACCAGTCACCACTGAGAACTCCTACTGGACAACGTTGTCCTCCGCATCACTGTCCATCGTGCGGCGTGCAAGCGAACCACGAGAGCCCGTCAGGCTGGCGCGCTTGTTGTCAGAGATACCAGAGATGGGACGGCGTGGCGAACGCGGTGCGTCGGTCACCGACTGACGGTTGAGGTTGGAGACCATCTGGCTAACGCTTCCGCCTCCGCCTGTACGAGGAGGACGCGAACCCCGAGGGCCACGAACGGCCCTAGCAGCTTCGTTGGAGCCGGTACGCGACACAGATGCCTTGCCAGACGTCAATGGCGCGTCCGGGTTGCGCAGCGGTGAAGGACTGCGTTCGCCACTCGGCGAGATGGGCGACTTGACGGTCAAACGGGGGCTACCGGAGCGCGTCGGCGATAAGCTTCCCTGCCTGGACGAGAACACCGTAGGGTCCCTCTCAGGCTCGTCCCCATGCTCGGGAGGTGGGTCGGCAAAGTTCGGGCGCGGGACCGGGGTGACATCGCTGAGGTCAGGCTCACGGAAAGCAGGGGGACGGGGCGGCTGATCATCGACTTCCGGGGGAGGTTCCTTGAATGAAGGGCGGGGCGGCTGGTCGTCCTCCTCCGGCGGCGGTTCTTTGAATGAGGGGCGTGAGAGCTGATCGTCAGCTTCGGGTGCTGGTTCCTTGAACGCAGGTGGCGGGGGTACGCTAGAGAAGTCCGACTGTGCCGGTGGGGAAACCGGTTTGGCCGCGGAGGCAACACTACTTGGGGACTCTGGAGCAGGAGAGTTAGCCGCTGCTTCGGACTTGGGCGAGATGACCGATCCGGGCTTGGATTCAGGTTCAGACGCTGGAGCTGCAGGCGCAGGGAAGGCTTCGTCCGTGGTAGACGTATTAGACGCTGGGGGAACGGGAGTGGCGATCTTAGGTACAGGCGGAACCGGTGCAGGAATTTTCCCGCTTAGACGCTGCTGAGCGAGCCAATCTCTCGCCTCGGTACCGACGGACATCCTACTACGGCTCATGCGCAGGTCGATGGGAGCGGTGCGCTTCCTGATGGGCATCCGGCGCTCGGTCTCATTCTTCTTCTTCGCGATGGTCGGAGGGATGAGATCCTGATAGAGGTCGACGAGATCGATGAAGAACATGGCCGGGTGGCGGTCCTGGAGAGAAACCGGGGACTCATGCTTGGGTCGAAGAATCGCTAAAGAGCGATGTCAGATACGAACGCGACTCTGAATCTCAGGGACATACTGCGGCCGAGCGTCAAAGACAACTTCGCGATATAGACCTTGTTCTCTTCATCCGAGTTGGTGTTCTCGATCAGACTGAAAGCGCTTAGATCGTGCACGAACATAGGTTACGGGTGAAGTACTCACGTGCGGATATGCGAGATCAGGGCATCCAACGCGTAGAGGTGAACCTTGGGGAAGCGCTGGAGTACGGCACGCAAGGCCTCTTGATGCTCTTCGCCGGTTGGCGCGCTCTTACCCGAGCCCACTGTAATAGTGGTTAGCGCTCGTGAGCGCCTAAACAGGCCGAGCACGCTTACCACTAGGATATATCTTGCGAATGTCATCCCAACCATCCCACATGGCGAGTGGTGGATCCAGCTCGAGCAACCATAACTTGATAGTGCTGGCGAGCACGGGTGCGTCGTACTTCGTCAACAAGTCTGGCGGGATAGGCAAGTCCAGATCCGAGCCATTGAGCGCTTCCCGAGCATGATGCACGGCGCGCAAAGGCACCTCGTAGATCCATGCCTTGCGCCTCTCTATTGACAAGATCAGCAAATGATTTGAAAAGTTGCGAAGGAGGACAAACCTTCATCATTGGGCAGCTTCGCGTATGCCTGCGTGATAGCGGTGAACAGGGCAGCGAAGACGGGATGGACAAGTTCCTTCTTCTCTTCATTCCCGGCCAAAGCACCCCAGCCACCATCGGCCCACTTCCTGAGATCTATGCCAAACACAACATCCGGCTCATCATGCGCGATACTTTCGTAAAGCTGTGGCACCGGGCGGAACGGACCGGTCCTGTAGCGCTCAATGAGAGCGTTCAGGTCGGTCTCCGGGATGTATGCGGCAATGTGTGAGCCGGACAACTCCAATGGGCCCTCGAGTGCTTTCGGCAGATTGGAGAGCGTGCCGTGGAACTGAAGCAGGACGGTCTTCACAGCACGGAGGCGGTCCATTTCCATCCTTTGCAGGTTCTTGAGAGCTTCTTCGATACGCTCCTCGAGTCCAAGCCTCTGGCGATCAAGCTTGCGGATAGCGATGCGGTATGTGCGATCAGCCGCTTCGGCCTCCATCCGAGCGCGAACATGGCGCGGCTCGTTGTCGTTCGCCAACGCTTTGCTAACGACATTCAGGAACTTGTTCGAGCGCTTGAAGAGGTCGTCGGCGCCCTGGGTGATCTTCAAGGGGGACGCGACACTGTCCAGTGTGGATTGCCGCGCTGCAGCGGGTTTGCCCAACTCGAACGCCTTGGGACGGAATTGGTAGAACGCCTCGTCTGATGGCTCGAAGAAGTTACGGAACTCCCCGATACGACGGAGAAGACCCTCGCGCTCAGTCAAGTCCTTCGCTGCGTCTTCAGCCCGATCCCAGCTACCGCCCAGCCCATCGACGTTATCCCTCAGCCATGTTGCGAACTCCTCTCCAGTAAAGCAGTCGGGATACTCTCCAAGCAGGGGGAACCGAACAGGGCGGAGGGGAAGTTCGGACTGAGCCCGCCGCAAGAGATCTGAAACGGCAGATGGAGGTACAGATAGACCAGCGAGTAGCATGGGCGCGGGCGGCATCGGGGGCATCGGCGAACCAGGTGTCTGGACTTCCAGTTTGGGCGGCAGAAGCGGTGACATGGGGAGTGGCGATGCACTCTCATCCGGAATGGGGTGTTCGTCGTGTGCACGCTCCTTGCCCTTGTCCAACTTCTCCTTCTCAATTAAAGCTTCTTTCTCTCCGTCGTCTGCACCAGTGGCCGTAGCAGTCTTCTTCTGAATGTCACGCAGACGTTGCGCAATGCGTTCAGAGACACTGAAGCCGCGCTGTGGCGGTGCGCGACCCTCTTCGGTAGTCGCGTCTACTGGCCGAAGACGCGGAGAGGTAGTGTATTTGTCACTGCCTACTTCACTGCCGGGCGCGAACTTGGCACTATGAAGTAAAGCATAAGCATCTCAATTATAGCCGCATAAGTCCAGCACTTACTCGTCCTCGGCTTCATCCGCCTTGCGTACTTTGTTGATGTACTGGTTCTTGAGTTTTGCGACCTATCTCCCGTAAACATCGATGCTGAAGGTACGAGACGGACGGCATATCGCTCACTTCGACAGCAGAACCCTCATACGCCCGGATATGTCCTTCGATCAAAGTGTTCTGGGCCGAGTTCAGCCTGTCCTATTTACAGATCTCAGTATGTGAGGGACAGATCAATGATATATTGGACATACACGATGTCCCTTTGCCCATTCTGCAAATGGGTCGGCGACAAGGGTGTCAAGTTCGTGGGCTATGTTCTTGTGGACGCCGGCTTGTTTCTCCGTCTCCGCTTGAAGCCCACGGAAGGCCATGAGCAGCGTAGCACCATCGTCGGCGGCGAACCCAGTAGCTGCATCATATTGAGGACTGTGTGTGCACTGGCATGCGTATGCTGCGCACCATTTGATCCTGGCGATGCACTCTGCGACAGAGCAGCCGCAAGGTTGGCTTCAGCTACAGCACGCGCCTGTAGTTGGGTCAACTAGGGTTGTGGGGCAACCTGCAAGACTGGCACTGACCCTCACAAAGCTAATGATCTCCTCGTTCTCGACCACGCCCTATATATATTTCAGTCTGTGTATTCAGGAGACGACCAAATACGCGCATACCTGTTGAAGTTTGGCGAATATGACCTCAAGACCGCGGCGATAGTCCTGAGTCCAGAACGAGTTGGTGAACGAGAGTGGAAGTGAAAGAACAGCCATGCTGCCCAGAACACGTCGTGTGAGCACTAGATGTGCGTAGTATGGGGACTTGGAGGTGGTGGAGGTTGGAAAGAGAGAAGGATCGGCGCTGTACTCCGCGCGTGGATTGCACTGCCCGGCGCTAACACGCGCGGGCCACTGCCTTTCCAGACATCAATAAGGCACATCGGGTTTGCCGGGCTCAACTGCGAAGATACGCTTGGCCATATGTCATCACAAGGAGTGCACAGAGGTCATAATGAGACCGATACGATATCTGGGCAAGTGCAGAAGGCCGGTAAACTTAGATTGCAGCTCCCTGTAGACATATATGGGTCCGTGGTTAATTGGCATCACTGATGGGCTTTTACGAGTGGCGTCTGTTGACGATCTTTGGCTCTCGCTGTCATCTGCGGCGAACGACGAAGGAACCAGCGGACGCAATAGTCCATCGATACTGGCCGTTATGTGGGTGTACAGTACGAGTAAATGCCCATGTCCTTTCATCTATGCGATGCGTGAGTCCGGTGGCCGCGGGCTGTGCCCCTCAGTCGTTTTTATCGCATGCTCGTGTCCCACTCCAGCTCACCCTCAGCCGTCGGCCCCCTTCTGGCAGCTCATACGGCTCTTTCCACTCTCCGTGAGCACAATGAACGCTGTCGTAGACAGATGTCTGTCTGATGAATGCATTGACTGTTGATGCGGACCGGGCATTCGCAATTGCGTGTATGCCAATCTGTCTTTGTTCTGTTAGATGCAACGGGCGCTTCGCACATACCCCGCTCTGAGCCTTCCTCAAGCATGAACCACCTTCGTACTCTCTCACAGAGTGCCTCAGTGCCGTACAGTGCTACTCGGTCCCGCACACGTTCGTTATATGTCGACCTATTATAGAACATCCGGACCGTGATCGCACTGGGACTAGCACTACCACCGAGCTTTCCGAATCACAGTACCGTCAGTACCGCGCGGTTCCTTCTATGTATGCAGCGGCTGACATAAACCCGCAGGTCACGTTCGATCTCTCCGCTCAGTGCGAATGGCTGTTCTGTAATCTATCCGACTGCGGACAATGCGCGTGCTCGTGCTTCTCGCTGGTCTTGTCCCCGTCATAGGCACGGCACCGAGTTTCGAGATGAGCGCTCGTCGCGATACTATAAAGCCCGCTTTGTCGACCATTCCTCCGCGGGCTTTCTGGTCTGGTCATCCCTCCCGACGTTTGGCGGAGCTTACGACCCGGTCGTCATGGTCGCCCTCGTTGCCCTCGCCGTCGCGCTCATCCCGCATGCGCTCGCTATCTCCGTTCCAGCCAAGCGTCAATCGATCACGCCCTTATCTACGGCTCAAATTGACGCTTTCACCCCGTACTCGAACTTCGCCGCCGCGGCGTATTGCACCGCGGCTCAGACAGCGGATTGGGATTGTGGACGTACGTATACCGCCCATATCTTTGGGTTATCTGGACCCGTCTGACCTCCTGCCCTATAGCACTTTGCGACGCAAACTCGGGCTTCGTAGTCCAAGCATCCGGTGGGGATGGCGATGGTACCCAATTCTGTATGTGCCTGTATCACGTCGACACTCTACAGCCTAACACCTTTCGTCAGGGTATGTTGGCTACGACCCCTCTCTCAAGCAGGTCATCGTCGCGCACCAAGGGACCGATCCAGACCAAATCATGTCCGACCTGACCGACGCGAACATCATTCGTGGAAAGCTGGACTCGACTCTCTTCCCTGGCATTTCATCTTCCATCACTGTGCATGAGGGTTTCAGGAATGAGCAGGCGAAGTGCGTCTTCGGCTACATTCAGTCATAAACTCCGCTCATGATACCTGACTTGGTCATAGGACTGCCTCCAGTGTTCTTGCCGCAGTAAAGGCATCGATGTCTGCGCATGCTACCAGTTCTGTGACCATTGTCGGCCATTCGCTCGGTGCGATATGCATATCGTAGTTTGCGGTGCGCGTCACTCACACGCTGCGCAGGCGCTGCTATCTCACTGCTTGACTCCGTCTACCTGTCCCTCAACTTGGGTTCAAGTGTTACCATCAAGTTCATCGGCTACGGTCTTCCTCGGGTCAGTACATCAAGTCAAGCTTGTGCAGAGCTGAGTTCATAGCGTGCTTCTAGGTCGGAAATCAGGACTTCGCCGACTACCTGGATGCGAACATCGATGTCACCCACATAAACAACAAGGTTCGCAGCATCATCACGCTGAATGCACCGGTCACTTCTCACCGCCTGTGTGCATACAGGAAGATCTTGTTCCCATTCTCCCCGGGATGTTCCTTGGTTATCACCACCCTTCTGGGGAGATCCACATTTTGGACTCCGGTGCTTGGGATTCGTGTCCTGGTGAGTGCTGTGATTCATCAGCGTGTCGGTCAGATCTGATCATCTGTACGCGTAGGGCAAGATAACGAATCGGACTCGTGTACCACTGGAGACGTTCCGAGTATCTTCCAAGGCGATGAGGTGAGCCATCATGTAGAACAATAGTCGTGTCGCCCAATCTGACGCGCTTTTCAGGATGATCACGACGGTCCCTACAACGGTGTATCGATGGGCACAATCGCAGCCGACATGTGCACATAGACCTACGACCTTTCTTATGTAGCTCTTACACCGCTCTTGTATAATTACACTTTCGTTCTATACACGAGGATCACTGTCAAACAAACTCACCAAGATACCTTAGCTGCGATCACCAAGATGAATACACGCTCACGTGGGATTATGTTCACTTCTCCGGTCCTCCGATCCCGAAGATGATCCCGGGCGCTCAAGCGCTCATAGCCTCATGCGCACCGTAAACACGAGGTGGCCCCTCAACTTTGCTTCGATCCACCACCACCAGGTCCACAGCTGCAGCTGATCATGGCCGGCTCGCTGCATCGGCCTCGAGCTCTACCCGCACCATGCGGCCGACGCGTACTCAAGCCGCCAGACATGCGCGGACTGGCTTGCGCACTGCTGCTCATGATGTTCGTTGAGCTTCCTACGGCTGTGGACGCCCGAGTGCCTATAGCGTCCCCTATACCTTCTGCTAATGACGCTTCATCATCGTCTGTGAAGCCTACTTCCACTCAAGTGCGTGTGGTAGTCATATGCCGTCTTCCGCGTCTAATACGTCCTCGTCAGGTTCCTGTTCTGTATGTTGTGCGTATTTCTAAGAACTTCATGAGACCTCCAATACTGAACATACCTCGTAGATCGCTGTGTATACCGTCGTATTATTTGGTTTCTGGACTATCCCCATCGCTCGTCGCATCATCGTCCCTCTCAAGCTCTTCGCCATCGGCTGGCATGAGTGCTGCCATGCCTTACTCGTGAGTCACATACCCACTCTACCCGGATCTGAGACCTGATACGGCGATTCTAGGCCGTTCTTACCGGCGGTAGCATCTTACGAATATCTATAGACCCCTTCCTGGGAGGCTGTACCATCGTGGAAGGCGGTTATCCGTCTCTCATCTTACCCGCGGGATATCTAGGCTCCACATTCTTCGGAGCTGCATTCCTACTCGCGGGCTTCGACACCCTCATGGCAAAGGTCATGAGCTTCATTGCCGCAATCGGACTACTCGCCCCCTTGGCCCAGGTGCGCGACAAGATGTGCGAGGTTTCGTGGAGCGTGCGCGTCCGAATATGTTTTCTGACGATCTTTCCAGCACCATCCTTCTCACCATCTTCTACGAGGCGCTGCTGATCGGGTTCTGGTTCATTGATCATGGGTGCGCGCATAGCTACATGGGCGAAGATGCTTTATTGAAAAACTGCAGGGAGGCGTTACGGTGGTATATGCTCCTCTTGGGCGTCCTACAGTGCGTTCTCTTGAAACCATGTGTTTCATACCAAGAACTGACGGATTCATCTTCCACCATTGCAGTATCTTCTTTGCAGTCTGTACGTGTCTTCGTTACCCGAGTAGTGACGCACGATGCTGACTTCTCACCAGGGGATGTGACCGACGAACGGATATTCCGCAAACCCAACGACTCCGACTGCACGCAATGGGCACTCTTGGTTCCTAGCGTTCCTTCACATGTCTGGGCTATCTTCTGGATCACGTTTGAAGTCGCGGTTCTCATCGCGTTTGTCCTGGTCGGCATCGTCGCGTTCAAGCTCACGCCCGAGGAACTGCAAGCGCAAGCTGGTGCGTAGTACCGGCACAGCCCACCCGCTCTTGCCCAGATCAACTGACGTTTTTGTCAGATACGTTCCTTCCAACACGATAGGTCACCGCATTGGGCTCATATCTCTGCTGTTTCATCCGCGTCGCACGCCATCTCTACGCTCTCCTCACGTCCCCGTCACGCTATCATTCCTCTCCTGTTCCACTTGCTCTCTGGACATTCCATACTGCTTTGTCGGTTATTCCATTGTATGTACATTCACGAACGCTGCTCGTAGCATTCCATCGTTCTCGTAGTAGCAATCACTATACCTGGATCGAGACCCTAGATCATCATCGCCTGTACTATAGACAATACACATCCATACATCTGCCTTCTCAAGTGTGCGTGACGCTGAGATTGCGAATCTTGTAGGTCGTAGTGCCTGTCGGACCTGGCGATCCGGAGCTGCCCTCCATCTGCAGGTCGAGGATCCTATACGCCCGATGTTAGTATGGAGCCCTGTGATAGGGCATGCCAGGGTACGCACAACCAGAGCGCCTTTCCGACGAACCCAGAACCGTACTGTGTTGCCTTGTGTACACCGTCCATGGAGAAGTCGATCTTCACGGTGGTCCCGTCAGACTCGGCAGTGAGGACTGCCTGCAGCGAGTGGAAAGAGAGATCGGTGGGCCACGCCACGAGATCAGAGCGAACGACGGAACTGGTGTTGAACTATGTATGCCACCTAGAGTCAATACACGTCTCAGTGATAAGCCTACATATGCTTACCGTATTGTACCAGCTATTGGCGGTACCCTTCCATTCACCAACATCAACCTCGGGCGGCCATCCACTCACAGCCGTCAACCAGAACGCGGGCCACGTCCCAACAGCCGTCGGCGCCGAGAACTCTCCGTACACAGTATAACTGACAGTCTTCGTGACGGTGATCTGCGACTTGGCGTACACGGTACCACTGGCGTAGTGGATTGCAGGGTGGGGGTCAGCTGTGCTTGTCGGCGGGCTCGCGTTGGAGGTGGGTGTGGCTATGAGCGTTAGGGTGTTGCTGGCGGCGTTGATGTGCGAGTGGTCGCTGGAGCTGCCGACCATGCGCCCAGCTGTATAGTGTCAGCGTACTGCATGTGTGGACGATAACGAGAAGGATACGAACAGCCGTTGTGGTCTGAACCCCATGGGTAGAGGTAGTTCCAGTACTGCTCGAGAGTCGAGATGCTCGAGAAAGAGTTTGACGGAATGACGGTCGTCACGGCGGATGTACCGAGTACGGCGGCAAGAGCGGAGAGGGCAGCGTTGTGGATACGCATAACGAAAGAAGGAAAAACCCAACTGGGCCTAAGCTGACCCTCCTCGAGAAGATAGGCAACACCTTATGTACTGTCCTCTATAGAAGCTCGAGACCGGCTACAGTTCCAAGCTTCTGACGCCATGTGCAGCAAAGATCGCCTGGACAGTCAGACTTGGGCGGGTATAATTGTCGGCATGAGGGGAACGGTCAAGTGAGGCCAACGACTAACCCTTCGAATGACGCAAACGGGGCAAATACCCAGGTAACTCCCGGCTTCTTCTCGAGGCTAAAAGGCTGTTGCGGCGTACGCACAAGGCTTCGAACGTTCCGAGGAGCCACTGAGCATGCGTATCGCATAGGCATGGGCAGTCCAGTGCCGTATTGATTGGCCTATTGGACGGGCCGGGTACCGTAGTGGGCCGCTCAAGCTGGTATTGATACCGGCTTTCTTGTTCACTAGTTCGTGAAGCGCGATGCGTTGAATCTCATGGCCTGCCAAGATCAGCTACAAGACAGTCATATTGTATACCTGGAGCCCTAAGTAAGATACATGTCGTAGATCGTGACACCGAGCCAACAAGTCCGTGTGCGAAAGCATTGAGGTCGTGAGTGGTGAATTCATATCTTCATCGTGCGCTAGCAAGTGCGGGCTGTACAAGCGCATGTAAGGCGATCATATACGGTTATTTGCGGGCAGCTCTCCGTACGAGACTAGCCGCGAGTATAGCGGCGACTGCGGCTGCGCCACCGGCAATAGCCATTCCCATGTATCCCTCTGAATGAGGACCATCAGTATTATAGTCGATAATGAGAGTACGGAACGTACCTCGCTTCACACCCTGGTCAATCAGACCATTCAGTGATTGTGCTTGCATGTTTGCGGGCTCCTTGTCGAGCAGGATAGCTATACGACGTCATCGCTCGTATGGAGACAGCTTGGACTTGAGGCGGGAAGGGACGTACCGTTGAACTTTTGTGCCTCAACATAGTTGCCCATCTTGTAGTACCCTAGTGCGAGGTAGTACAGGCATTCTCTCCTCCTTACAGGCTCGTTGCGGTAGATGTCTGCGGTTGCCAGGTTAGCAAGGATTGTGGGCAATGCCATATGTTTACGCACCCTGTAGTAACCGTACACCTTCTACTTGATGGTCTCGTTGCGGGCTCTTCACCAGTCCCCATGCATAGTTGAACTTGGACTGCACTGTGACATGTCCCGCCTGAACCTCCTTCTCGTACTGCCTTTTCAGTACCTGATACCCAGCGTCAGTGCCGCATTAAAGTCGAAGGATACTGTACTCGTACCTCTAGCTCATCGAAAGACAGAGACATCTCTGCATCTGCCGCATATGGAATGTCAGTAGTCATAGTTATCGAGTGTGCGGTGGTGGTTATGGGTTAAGTTGGTATTCTGTCATGCGGGGACGCGGATCCTGGACGAGGAGACGCGCGCAGCCTCCGGCGCTTTGCCGTCTTGACGCGTCTTGAAGTTGCTTCCAGCCTCCATCATCTTCAACACCAAGACTATGGCCGAAATTACTGGTAAGCCGCTTTTACATTACTCGCTTCCTTTCCGGGTTCGAATAGTGTTTTGCCAGGTAATTACCGGGACGAGCGAGGTGAATAATACAGCTTCCACGTCGCCCGCTTAGGCAAACAAGTAGCTCAAGAGCCATCGTTTTCCACCTCTTCCCATACTTCTTTTTCAGCTAGCTAGCCCATGTTGCGAATCAAGTTGCCCGTCACCCCCCTACTAACCGGACGACCTTAAAACACGCTACTTACACAGCTCCATTCGCTCTCTTTTAGACCGCTCTCACCGCTCTTCGCGCGACGACCATCGGCGCCACGACGACCGCGGCTCATCCAGGCACGAGGACCGCTACTCTCGCGGAGGCGACAGGGAGCGCAGCTCACGTGGTGGCGAGGAACGCTACTCGTCGCACCGGGAGCACCGCGGCGACCGCAACGACCCGCGTGGCGGCGGCGAGCGCGGAGGGTACGCCAGCCGCGACGATAGGGGCTACAGGCGTCATGAGGATGATAGGCGCCCGCCGCGAGATGCGCGCCCGCCACGCGACGACGCCGCGGATGGCGGACGTCGCGGCCGCGGCAAGGAGAGGGAGAACCCCGGCGGCTTTCATGAGGGCCGTCGGTCCCCGACGCCGCCGGGATGTGTGCCGCTTTCGCAGCGCAAGCGCAAGGCCAGCGGTTGGGATGTTCACGCGCCCGGATACGAGCAGTACTCGGCTATGCAAGCAAAGCAAACTGGTATGTTTATTTGCTGCATATGTTTCGCTCATTTGCTAATATCTACTTCCTAGGTCTATTCAACCTTCCTGGCGCCAACCGTACTCAGATGCCGCCCATCCTGAGTATGCCTGGTCTACCTCAGCCGATGCCTGTTCAGCAGTTCGGCATGGGCATGGGTATCAACCCGGGTCTCTCGCGCCAGTCGCGTCGTCTGTACATTGGCAGCATCACTCCCGATATCAACGAGCAAAACTTAACCGACTTCTTCAACGAGAAGATGGCGGAGATGAAGATTGGCACGGGTGGCCCAGGCAACCCGGTTCTGGCTGTGCAGTGCAACTACGAAAAGAACTATGCGTTTGTCGAGGTACGCTTTCTTCCCGGCGAAATACTTGTTAATCGGCTGACTGACCCTGTCCACAGTTCAGGAGCGCCGAAGATGCTACGGCTGCCATGGCCTTCGACGGCATCATCTTTATCAACGGTCCTCTCAAGATCAGGCGTCCCAAGGACTACGGCGGGATGGAGACGGGCGCACCCTACCATGTCGCCGGTGCAGTCTCGACGAATGTGCCGGACTCCGAGCACAAGATATTCATCGGCGGTCTCCCTGCGTACATCAACGAGGAGCAGGTTATGGACCTCCTCAAGAGTTTCGGCGAGCTCAAGGCGTTCAATCTAGTTCGCGAGCCCAGCACCGGCGCTTCGAAGGTATGTGAACCCGCCGAGCCATGTCTTCTCACGCTAAACGTCGTGTCACAGGGCTTTGCTTTCGTCGAATACGTCGATCCGGAGGTCACCAACGTCGCTATTGAAGCCCTCGCGGGTATGGAGATCGCCGACAAAACGTTGGTCGCCCAGCTCGCCTCCGTCGGCGCGAAGCAAGGCACGATCCCGGAGATGCCGCAACCCGGCGAGATCCCACGCCCCATCATGCCCGCAGGCGACGTCTCGTCCAGCGACGCCCGCATCGTGCTCATGCTGAACATGGTCACGCCCGAAGACCTGATCGACGACGCCGAATACGCCGAACTAGTAGAAGATATCCGCAGCGAGCTCGACAACTACGGCGCTGTTGAAGACCTGCGTATCCCGCGTCCCGTGCGTCGCGAGCGCAATAAGTGGGGCGCGCCCACGGACGGTGTGGACCCTATCGTTGCACAACGCCAGGACGAAGCTGCCGGTGTTGGTCGTGTGTACGTCAAGTACAGGGATGGAGCCAGCGCGGGACGCGCGATGCAGGCTATTGCAGGCCGTTCGTTCGGTGGGCGGACGATCATCGTTACGCTGCTCAGCGAGGATATGAACGTGACGCCGCCGCTGGAGCTTATCTTTGCTCCTCAACCGGAGGCACCGCCGCCGCTCCCGGCCGCGCCTGCCCAGTAGAGCGCTCCCTGATTGCCGGTATCTCGCGTTTCCTCTGCTTACTGCCTGTCATTAAAAATACTGCTTTGACTTTGCTTTTGCTGCACTCGTGAAATGCATATTGAGTGTCGCCATATCTATTTGCCATACCTGTACGAGCTTGCGCTTCGGCAGTACGTAGTTCGACCATATATAGCCGCTCGATTGCACGTGATACGGCAAACTAGGACATTGTCCGAGCCGGAGCCATGACAAGGTTGCGCGGCAATTATGCGCTACCCATAAATGAGAGTATGGATCACACGAGACGTCCTGCAGTACGTAGTCGCGCCTTGCTTCTTACTTCCATCTTGACCGGTATCGCTACTTGAAGCCGGCCACACACATTACTACTCGGCAGTGTGGCGTAATACTCGCTTTAGAGGGGCTTTCTTGCGCATATCGTTCAGCATACCTGAAGTGGTCCCGTACTGGTAGCCTCATCCTGCTATGTGGCCGTTCTCTGGTCAACCCCCCGCTGTGGAGGCGAAGCTTGCCGCTCGAGACGCAGCGCTCTCCACTGCAGGCGAGTTCTCGGAAACTGAGCATCAGGCGTACTTGAACGCTACAGGTACGGATCTGAAGGTTTGTCGCTTTGCCCCTTGCTACATGCTGAAGCTAGACGCAATGCTTCAGCCACCGAGATCGTCAGCCGCATAGGAAAGGGCGAATGGACAGCCACACAGGTTCTCGAAGCGTACATTGCGAGAGCCGCACAAGCCCAGAAGTTGACGCTTTGCCTCACCGAAGGTGACTAGTCTACCAGAGGATGGCCCACTTCGGTTCTGACCTGGTTGCAGTGCTGTTCGAGCAAGCTCGCGCGGAGGCGAAGCAGTTGGATGAGGACTTTGCGCAGACGAAGAAGCTGAAAGGACCTCTCCATGGTGTTCCTGTCAGCTTGAAGGACATGTGTAGGTGATTCATCTTCACCTTTGGTATAACACAGTAGCTGACAGTCTTGAAGTCCAGGTTTCTGGCGTCGATAGTACTATCGGATATACTTCCTGGATCAACAGGCCTGCTAAGAGCGACGCCCTAGTCCGTGATTCCCCCTTGCGTGACCATATAGCCGAGACTCAACCTACATGAAGCTAGTGAGGCTGCTCAGAGAAGCTGGCGCTGTGCAATTCGTCAAGACCAACGTGCCGCAGACATTACTCGCATTCGAGTGCAGCAATCCGCTCTGGGGAAGGGCACTCAACCCCTGGAGCGCTGCTCATACACCCGGCGGATCGTCAGGCGGTGTGTATATCGTTGCGTTGGGATGTACCCTGAGTAGAGCTCAACGAGATCACAGGCGAGGGTGCACTACTGGCCATGGACGGATCAGCGTTGGGAGTTGGTACAGATATCGGTGGCAGCATCAGAATTCCGGCTCATTACTGCGGTATCTACGCGCTGAAGCCAGGCTGGGGAAGGTCTTCAACTGAAGGGACCACGAGTGAGCCTGCAAAGGCCCAGGCGAATGCGCTTTTCCGGTACTAATGTGATCATAGGTCCCAACCCCGGTTTCGAAGCTATCAGAGCCGTTAATGGTCCAATGGGAAGGTCGGTGTTTGTCTTACCCCCTATGGAGTTGACCTCACAGCTGTCCTTCAGATCCGTGGAGGATCTCAAGATCGTGGCGCAGGTCCTGTTCGGGCAACGCAATAGCAACTACTTCCCGGCTCCCGTTCCTTACCGCGAGATTAGTCTGCCGAAGAAGCTGCGCTTTGGATACTACACCTCAGGTTTGTCTCGTATCGACTCCTATAAAGCCTACAGCTTACGGCATATATCATCCTGCACAGATCATTTCATCAAGGCATCTCCTGTCTGTAGACGTGCCGTACTAGAGACGGTCGAAGCTTTGCGCGCGCAAGGGCATGAATGTGTTGGGTTCAAGCTCCCTGGACCTGGTAAGGATACGCTTTGGCTAGACTCTTAGACCTCAGGCTCACAAGAGGCTGATAGGGTATAGCGCTCTTTCTCTCTTCACAGCGATCACCTCAGCAGACGGCTATCAAGGACTGCTTCGACATCTTGGACCTGATCCGAAGGTGCGCAATGAAGTTCAACCTGGTATTCACTCGCACTTGTACTCAAGGCCTGTGGCAGGAGTCAGCCATGTTCTTAATCACTCTCGGTCCGAAGTTACCAGGTGAGCCAATTCAACCTTGCGTTGCGCGCTTCAACGTCTGAACGGTACGCTGCAGGCTTCTTACGATGTCTAGCCGCCTGGGCTATCAGCTTCTACGATCCTATCTTCGCGCATCTGCTCACTCAGTCGCGGCACAAGACTGTCGGAGAGTTCAATGACTATGTTGCGCTGAAGCTGGAGTACGAACGCGAGTTCAGGAAGCTCGCTTGGGAGGAGCAAAAGTTTGACGCCATCATCGCCCCTGTACAGGCGATTCCAGCAGTACCACATCAGTACGTGCATTCGCTCTCCACATCCGCGAGACTCTGAACTCATTCATGCTGACCGAAGCGGCTGCGATAACCTATCGCCTTTGGCGGCATCAACTGTGCAGTACAACATCGTCGATAGCCCCGTTGGCATCGTACCCGTCACCCGCGTCGATCCTGCGAAGGACGCTGTGACTGCGGAGTGGTTCACTGGCGATGACCACGGCTCGAGGATCTGGGAGGATGCGCTGTATGGGAAGAAGGCCGTGTATGACCCGGTGAAGATGCAGGGCCTTCCGGTGGGTGTCCAAGTAGTCGGCCTGCCATGGGGAGAGGAAGCAGTTCTGGCCATGATGGATGTGGTTGACAAGGCTCTTGGCCCTAGAGGGTTTGGGCCGGGAAGCTGGTCTCCAGGGGACCAGAAGTCGGGTTGATATCTGCGCGCTACATACTATAGCTCTTACTGTAACTGTACTGGATTCCGCATGCTACAATTAGTAACCCTCTGCTCGTACAGTTGGATCTGCGTCGAACTTGCAGATATCATGACCGTCGTCGCCGAGCCACCCGGAACAGCGGGATGAATGCCGAGAACAGTCACGGTGGCGAACGTGAGCGCGCCGCCCACGACCGCCGCCTGAAAGCGCGGATATCTGTGCCGGCGGCTGATCCCAAGGCATGGCTTCAACGTCCATCCCGCTCACCACACTCGCTGGACCCTCTCACTTTCTGCACGAACAACCGCCGCCACCTGACTCGCCGACGGATATACAGGATGTCTTCTCTGATGGACCTGGAATCCTAAGAGGTTCTGCTTCCGGAGAGAACGAACCCATCACCACCACGAGCTCACGCGCGCCTGCGTGGAAGCGCGAGCTATACGCGCTCCTTGAGCACCCAACTTCTTCACCTGCTGCTTTCGTGGTCCACATATTCTCCACTGGTTTGATCTTGCTGTCGGCTCTGGTCACGATACTCGAGACTGTACCACAATTCCATGAAATATCGAGCGGGACATGGTTTGGGCTGGAAACAAGCTTGGTTGCGCTGTTCACTATAGAATATATCGCTCGATGTGTCGCCTGGAGTCTATCGTGGAGAACGTTGGCACAATGGGTTGGCTGTGAGCGCTCCTGAAGTCATATGTGGTCTCATGCGGTACTGATAACACGCAGCGTTCTTCGGTATCATCGACCTGCTTGCCATTGTACCTTACTATGTCGAGATTGCTTTGCATCAAGATACTGTGCGTGTCACCCATCTTTCATGAGGATTCCGAGCTCATAACTTCTAGTCTTCCCTATTCAGGTTCTCCATCTTGAGAACCTTCCGTCTACTCCGTGTCTTCAAAGCATTCCGTTACAACAACGTACTGCTACTGTAAGCGATACTCCGCCGAGTGTCGAGGTTTGTAACTGAATGGCTCTTCAGGACTATTGAAGTCATGTTTTTATCATTCCGACGCTCACAACACGCCCTGCTCGCCCTAGGTTTCTTCGTAGGAATGGTCTTAATCGTGTTCAGCACGTTGCTGTACTTCATCGAACGCGGCACTTGGGATGAGAACCTCGACGCTTTCATCAATGCCGATGGAGACGTCAGCCAGTTCGCCTCCATCCCAGCCGGTACGTCGTTTATCGTCTACGGTGTCATCGACAATGGACACTCATAAGCATACAGCTGGATGGTTCGTGATCGTCACAATCACTACAGTAGGATATGGGGAGGTGCGCATGCCACACTCTACCCCCATCACGTTGCTGACCGGACTGTCAGTAGATCACGCCACGAAGCTTCCTCGGGCGCTTGATCACCCTTCCATTACTAGTCTTCGGCCTACTTCTTATCGCGTTACCGAGCTTCGTGCTGGGACGCGAGTTCAGCTTAGTATGGAACGAAATGACGAAGGATTCTGATGTCGTATGTTCTTACAGTCTCTCCAAGTTTGCCTCTAGCTCACCGTACACAGTTCCAGACTACGCCACCCCGTTCTCCCCGTCTAGTGCCGCAAACTCCGCCGGCACCGTCTCGACGAAGTACAAGCATCGATCCCAGATCGGCTTCCCCTCAACGCGGGCGATATGGCGATCGACTTACGCCGCGCGATCTGTCAAATCGCAAGCTTGCGCAGAATCAGACGGAGCTGTTCCAGCAGATTGCAGATCTGAAATCTGTCATCGAGCAGCAGGGCGCGATGTTGCGCATGCTTGTGGAACGAGAGAAGGCGGAAGGGCGGACGTAGAGGACCATTTGAGAGTTGACTTTTGTATGGATGTAGGATATCACATAGGCAATGGCGCCTTCTAATCATCAAGATTGTATTGACGCTATCTTTGCGGCTCCATAGATGATCAAACATCTATCATCATCGGCGTCTATGTATGGCAGTCGGATTCTCAGTTGGCAAATACTAATATCGCGTCAATGATTGCTCGGGGCACCGGCATCTGACTGCTTACCGAAGTCGGGCCGCATCTGCAGAAGCGGCATAACTCGACCAGGAGCAACATAGACGATGCCCAGAACGATCACGTCGTTCGTGTTGATATATCCCGGGCGTGTTCCGATTTTCCACTGTTTGCCCGTGCGTTGAGTCTGAGCCTGGTTCTTTGACTCGCAGTCCTGATTCCCCGCGCGTCTAGTTACCGGTCTATGATGAGAGTATGGCAGAACCTGCAGACATAGCATTCAGAACGGCTCCGGAGATCAAGAACACGAGACCACGAAGGGAAACATTCATTTTAGCTTGACCTGGACTAGGTTTGCCCCGCAACTGGATCTGCTTCTCGACGGGGTCATAGTTGCGCCACTGAGGTCGGAGAGGTGAGTTGTTGTGCACAATGTTTGAATGAAGAGCCTCACGGAGAGAGCAATCTTCAAAGACGACGCCTCTACTCGCGTAGGACTATCGGGTATACAATCGAAGTTGCCAGAAGCAATGGTTACACCGAGAGTCCCGTTCGTCTGCCAGAACCGGAGTGGGTGCATGTCTGTTCTATCCAATGAGTACATGAGACAAGCACTTGAGCAAGATGTTAACCCTAATGAAATCGTATTCGCAACTCGGATTGAACGAAGGACGCTGACAGTTGCCTTGGCTGTGCCGATGCTTCTGACCCGCTCATACAAAGCTATACAGTATCGATATACGGAAACCCACGGCTAACCATCTTGAAATTTGATGCACTTAGGAGAAGATTGAAATCATGGGGAGTATGCATGGTAGGTTTCATCGGACACCGTAAAGCGTACATGTACAGGCGAGCTCGGGAGTACTCCTAGCATTCCTAGGCGCAACTCGAGTACATACGACTCGTGCGGCTCGGCACAGAAACTGGGCGGCTAATCTGCTGGCCATGGACATGGTGGTAGCTGGTACTGTAAGTCCGAGTCTATCGTCGGCAGCCTTGATCCGATTCCTCAGTCGCATCAGGTGGTGTCGCGTGACGCGCCACTTGCTCTTGACGTCCGTCTCGTTCAGCCGCTGGGGTCTATTTTCTCGTACACCTCCAGTATAAATGAGCTCAGAGTCAGGGAGAGGCTCATGGCAGGCGAGGCCAGAAGACTACAAGGAGACGTTCAAGGTGCGCCGCATGAGATATTCATTGCGTTTACATCCCGGGTTTCTGACCGAAACCGATATACAGCGTCGAAAGTACGACGGTGAATTTGCTGAGTGCGTCATATCTTAGCCTTGCTATCAGTGGCATGTACTGATGGAAGAGTACGCAGCCCATGTGCCGAAGCTAGCAAGGCTTCTATGGATTGCTTGAACCGCAATGACTACGACCGAGACAAGTGTCTCGACTTCTTTCGGGCGTATAGGCATTGCAAGAGTGCATGGGTGCGGGGATACTCTTTGCGGCCTCTCGAAGATTAATTGCTCACGAATGGCTTGCAGATGGAGCAGAGGAAGGCTGACCGAAGAGCGGGGAAACAGATATATAGCACTCCTCCGCGAGAGTGAGCTTTCGCCTTCACTTTCACTGTACAGTAAACCCACTCGCCCTGCTCTCTTGCTCTTATCTGGTACTTCATGATCACAAACAACTGTCTTTTACTGCCGTAGATGTTAACTCGACAGGTGCCGTCACTGCTGAAATCCTAAGCCCACGATGAAACGCGTATGTGCGCACCCTCGTCATTCAATGCATCTTGCCTACGGGCCCGCTGGACCCGTATGCATTCCGGTTCGTGCTTCGCCAAGACGACCTTGCATTCAAAGCTACCTATGATGTTCGTTCACTTTCCAACGCGGTGTTGCTCTTTCCTTCGTCTCCTTCGCTGGTCGTGAGGACTCGTCATGAAGTTCGGCTTATCCCTGGCGTGCGCTATCGGCGCCCTTCCATTCCTTGTATCGGCTTATGACGAGAAGATCTACGGCGTCAACTTGGGTTCATGGTGCGTAGGCCCGAGTTCGACGTTCAGCTTTGGATCCCAGTGCTGACGTACGTCTCTACAGGCTCGTGCTTGAGCCCTGGATGTTACCAGCAGGTGAGTCTCAACCCGACGCTCAGGGATATGGTACTCACGACTGCAGAATGGAAGGCCATGGGTGGACAGACCTGCGACGACTGCTCACAGTGTATCGCAACCGAAGGGTACGTCTGCTACCGCTGCTCCACTTGAGACCCATGCTTACTGTGCGGTGGCAGCGCATTCGCAAAGGCGTATCCCGACTCGGTGGATCGGAAGTTCGCCAAGCACTGGTGTGTCATTGTTTCGTTTGGTGCCCTTACTCTTTCTCACGATGTGTACAGGTCTACTTGGTTCACTCAAAAGCACGTCAAGCAGCTGAAGGAGTACGGTATCAACACCGTCCGCATTCCGGTGCGTTCTATACGCCCCTTCGCTAAATCATATCGTGATCCTCACATATCCCTAGCTCGGCTACTGGATAGTCGAAGAACTCGTCGACCGCAAAACAGAGCATTTCCCCCGCGGCGGCCTTCCCTATCTCATCAAAGGTCTGCAATGGCTCAACGACGCCGGCATTCGCGTCATCCTCGACCACCACGCCCTGCCCGGTGCACAAGCCTCGATGCAAATGTTCGCGGGTGTCTGTACGAAGACGCCGCAGTTCTTCCAGCCGAAGAATTATAAGCGCGCGTTGACGTGGTCGGCGGTTATGACTGTACTTGCGCATGTGCATCCGGCTTTTGCGAGCGTGTTTGCGTTGCAGGCCGTGAATGAGCCGCTGATGGACGCTAGTAAGACCCCTGGGTACGGAGAGTGTACGTCGCACTATGTACACTTCCATGTGCTCCGTTACTTACGAATACGTCCGTATAGTCCAGGTGAACTTCGTACAAACTGTCCGCGCGGTGGAGTCCACACTCGGGATCAGCTACGATACTGACGTCGCCAGCGCGCTCGAGTCCGATCTGGGTCTGGACAAGTCGTACGGCAACGCTCTACCGGACTCGGCAGGCGATGTCGTCGGAAACCTATTCGGCGGTGTCATGAAGAAACGCGCGAAACAATCTGCCTCAATAGCGCCGTCGCCACTCACACCCTCCAAACCAGCATCAGTACCGTCTCGTCGCACTGCGATGGCGACGTCGGGGTCGCGACGACCGGTGTTGAGACGCAAAGAGGCAAAATGCGAGTCCAAGCGCAAGTCGGATGATGACGGGCCAAGCAGCAAGGCCGCAAGGGATGCTCTGCAGGATGCCATTCCGATTTTGAGCCGACTCGCGGACTCGTTGGGGATGCCTGAGCTCGCAAGCATTGGTTCTGGTTCAGCGCCGGAAGTGCGGGGAGCGGGCGAAGCTCTCTCAACGAACTTCATGGACGTGAGCTGGCAGTACAACGATCCGCCCAATGCAGCGCAGGCGGCTCTGGGTCCGCAGACGTATGATAACCACTTGTACTACCTGTGAGTACCCATCTCTGCTTTGCTCTCCTTCGAGACCGTTGGCTCATGTGTATACTGCAGGTATGGCGGTGTAGCGGATGCCAACGCCGGAGCATACCTCGCGAGTATCTGCAACCTCGACCGTATCAAGAACGCAAAGAAGTCAGCCGATACTCCACTCTGGTTCGGCGAGTGGTCGCTGGGCACGAACTTCAACGCGAACGACACCTTCACTCGCGACTGGGCGGATGCGCAGAAGATGGCGTTCTCGCAGGGAGCCGGCTGGATCGTATGTCGCCGCCTCGTGTCTTGCAATAGCGGTAACTGCAGTACTGATGGATTTCTACTCGCAGTTCTGGAACTTCCGCGTCGAAGAGAGTAAGGAGGCCGGTGACCTTGGCAGGGTCTGGTACGTGCTCCTCGTATCACTCAACGGAGATTTCATCGGGCGCTGATGCATGCTTATGTGCACAGGTCCTACTTTGAGGGCGTTAAGCGCGGCTTCCTCACTAAAGACCCGTCTGCGTACTTCAACTCACACGTTTGCGACTCTTACCGAAAGTAGTTATCGGACTGCTCGCTCGCCTCTGGAACCCCTCTATACCGTCTTGATCTCACACACTACACCACCACCTGACGCTCCCAACGACATTCACGACATCTTCTATACCCCCTCAGCAAACTACATACACTCTTTTCCCGTCTTGTATTGTATTTCTTAATCGAACACTGTAACCTACGTACTCTCACCATACGAACTGACCATATCATCCTGGCTCAACGCAACGCCGCATATATCAAATGTCCTATAGCTGTGAGCCTCGTGCAACGCGCCTACCATTCTAGGCTAGCCGCGTTCGCGAGCCTCGTGTCCCGAAGCGGCGAAGCGCGCGTTCGGTCGCATCATCGTCGCATTCCGCGAACATTCCAGCGTTCCATCCCCGCGGCGCTTTTGATTCCGGTCCACCACGTTTCCCTTCCTTTGCGCCTGTAGACGACAATGGCTATGGCGGCGTCGACGTCGACTCTCTCGGTCCCTCTGCCTGACCATGTTCATCGTGTACGTTCTTTGGTGCATACCATGCACGCAAGACTTAGAATATGCCTGGCCAGCCTGGTCCGCCACCGCCTGCTAGCTGGCAGGCTCAAGCCGCGCCGGGTCATAAACCAATGCGGTATAGAGACAAGTGCGTTTAAGTAAGCGCGTTCGAATATCGCAATGGACTTATGTGCGTGGCGCGCGCTAGGTTTCTCGCTTTGAAAGACCAATATGAGACTCTTGAACTCGTGCGTCGTATCTTTGCTCATTGTACTGATCAGAGAAGCTGATGTGGCGAGAGATCACAGGTCCAGAAAGACCGTAAACGCGAGCTTGAGCGCGCGATGGACAAGGAGCGCAGGATGCAGGATGAGGTCAAGTGCGTTTCATATGGATTCTGTCTTTCTGTCTGGGGTAACTAACAAAACTACATTTGTCTTCAGTATGCTTCTAGATGCCGCTGCTCAATCCTTCCCGCACGACTTTGGCCACCCCGTACCGCCCCCGCCGCCACCGGCCCAACAGGCGTATGAGCCTCCCCGCACTCGCGAGTCGTACGCACGCGAACCACCCTATGACGCGCCGTCTCGTGACACATACTACGAGCAACAACGTGCTGGGTACGCGCCTCCACCAGCTGCGTACCGCGATGAGAGGGGACACAGGCAAGAGGAGCGACGGCCGGTATACGACGAACGACGGCCAGTCTATGACGAGAGGCGCCCAGTCTATGAGGAACAACGACCTGTACAGGACGAGCGTATGCCTGTGCATGATGAGAGACGTCCTGTATACGACGCACGAAGACCTGCGCACGATGAGCGCCGTCCTGTATACGATGAGCGGAGGCCAGTATATGACGAGCGACGTCCAACCCACGACGACCGATACGCGCCGCCGCCACTGGATACGCCGCAAGATAGCCGCCGACCGGTATACGACGAACGCCGAGTTCCGCCGTCTTCTGCTCCCATCTCACCGCACGACGACCGTGGCCCACGTCTGCCTGTTCCTGAAGGACGCAGGCAGGTTTATGATGAGCGTGTGCCCGTATATGATGAGAGACGTCCTGTATATGACGAGCGGCCGACATTGTCACCTATTGATGACCGTCGCGGGCCTCCAGTTGACGATCGTCGCGTGGTACCCGTCGATGACCGTCGGGCGCCTTCTCTTGACGAGCGCAGGATACCTTATGACCCTGCTCGGCACTCGACGTACTCTTCGCCTCCACCACCTCGATCGCATGCTCGTGGGGAATACAGCCCACCACAGCCGCCACGCCAGCCTGTATATGCTGCTGCACCCTCCCGTGAGCCATCATACGGGGCCAGGGAAAGAGAGACATCGTACGCACGCGAAGTTCCTCCTTCCTATGCCGGCGCACCTTCGCTTCGCGAACGGGAGATGTCATACCCTACCGCGCCGCCACCTCCCCGGGATCGGGAAACTTCCTACCCGTCATCAGCCGCCCGAGAAGCTTCGTACCCTTCAACGCCTGCCCGCGAAACGTCTTACTCCCGCGAGCAGGCGTATGTAAACGGAAACGGGGCTGGGAATGGGAGTGCGCCTGGGCATTCGAGGAGAGGGTCGGTTGGAAGTATACATGGGCCTACGAGTGCGAATGGTCATGCGCAAGCCGGCGAGGGATGGGCGTCACCTGGCGCGCGGTGAGATATTTCCGGTGACGATGTGTACTGTACCGGATGGAGAGAGGGACACCAAAAGAGGTGGCAGATGTGACCAAGCGAGCCGGCGCTGTTGACGTGGATATTTGCCGGTCAAGTTGCACCCACTCGGCGTCTTCGCCGCGGCTCTGCGGGAGATCGCTGTCTCAGCGCCCGCTGTCATCGGCACGGGCGTATCGGCCCTACGCGCTACAAGCTCAAGGCCACACCGTCGAGCGGATGTGGCCAAGATTTACCCTGGGTTTCTCTATGGACTGTTGTGTAATGTAATGCTTTGTGTACGCTTGTTCTCCTTGCCCTTTGCAAGTTGCTTGCTCGAATGCTCGATTGCTTTGTTGTCCTTTCCGGCGCTTGTAGTCGCCGGTACAACATCGCGCAATCACGCCTTTCGTTCATTGCCTGACTGCTTGGATATCGTGAGGATGATATGTGATATGCCCCATATGGCCGCAGTCCGGGATCTCATCGCGCATCGTGGTGACGGGTGGTCTGGGTCGTGATGGACGACGGGCGGCTACAGGCCAATAGTAGTTTATATCTGATCAAAGTGATACTGGCTCTGTGACGGGCGCCTGGCGGGATCGCCGAGTGCCGACGAGGCCGCAACGATCTCTTCGGACTCTGAGCGGAAGTAACAAACGGTCATCATCGTCATCTTGAGCCGGCACGGGGTGTATTTGGGATTGGTTCCGCGGGCAATATTGGATAGGGGTCTGGCTGGCCAATTGGCGCCGAGGAAGGCGAACAATGCGTCCTGGGCGTGTTTTTGTCAAAGAATGAGAGATGTCAAAGGAGGTACTGCGAGGGAACGCGCTGGGCGTGGGCAGCTGTCCAGGATCTGTTGATCGGCAGTGAATAGGTCAAGCGCGGAAAAAGGGAGGGAGAAAAAGAGGGTGGGACCGAGGGGCGTGATGTGCCGTAATGTTTGCGGAAGAAATGGGACGGGATGGATATGGGAATCGGTTCAGAGGAGGAGGAAAAGGATTGGAGGGGGGGCTCTTTAGCACCTCTATCGTTACCTAACTGTGATGGACGCTTCATCGACAACGCCCGCG